AATTCATTACGTTCCAAACTACTCTATTTTTCGTTGTGTCTATATTATTGGTTTACTCTCTTCATTTTCTTCTCGTTATTCTTATATCTCTTATGTCTCTTTCTTCTCGTTTCATTTTTTCTATGACTGGTACATAAGTAGATAAAGAGCTTGTGTGTTATCCCCCTTGTTCCCGGGTCTCGAATTCTGTCTGTCTGTGCAACTTGGAGGACTGGTTTACCGTATAATGACTGGTTGTAGATTTGAATGGATATGATGGAATGAACAGGAGGGTGCACGCTGTGCTTTTTTTCCTACTCTGCATTGGTCTCAGTAAGGTGGGCAGGTTACTACATAACACACAACCAGAAAAGGTACATATATCGACCGTTGCGGAAGGTAGCACCGGCGCGGTCGTTAGGCTTCGTTGGTAGCCTTGAAAGGTGTGTGGCGCACGCTTGGTGTCGCCCACGATTCCTTAGTTGTACATTCCCCGGAGCGACCGGCCTGTGCTAAGGTTAGCAAATTCTGGACATTCTCAGCTTCAAAAACAAAGCTTCAATCGTTCAGAAAATCAGAGAAATACATACCTGTCCGCTCGTCAGTCTGCGCCAGGTGGAGGCTACTCGTTGATGAGTAGATGGTTGCTAACTTGATATAGATAAATCTAGACTAGGCACATAGTGCGCCCGACAAATGCACCACTCTCTGGGCTCAGACCGGGCGGTTGTCCTCCACGACTTTGAAGACGTGTTTTTTGGCCACTGTTCACCGTTTCGAAAATTGCTTCGCACGATAGAAAATGAAAACGCGGGGGTGAGGCAAGCACCCTGTTCGAGAACCCTCCATGATAATCATGATGCACATATGGCAGACGCATGGCGTCTGACTGCAGAGCAGTCTAACTTGTTATCGCCGACTCCGGATAATTGCATTCCATTGATTGTTCAAGGTCATTGTTTCGTGACAGGGCGTTCTTGATGTTTTGAGCTCCCGAAAGTCCAAAATTCTCAAGCTTCCAGACGGTGAAAATCCTCGTTCGCTGGTCTAAATGAAGTGAAGCGAGGATAGAATGTGACTCATTCCGGATGGGAGAATTGCACGAGGGGATTTGATTTCGGGACATCCGCGCGTTGCGATGCGACGGATGACAGGAATGATGTTCCCGTGACCTGTCCCGAAAAGGAAAGGTATCTTCGCAGCCTCCACTGCCTTTTGCCTTCAACTTCTCCTCCCCTTCTTCCCCAATCGCCTTCACGCTCGCCCGAGCGGTGAACCTTCCGGTCTTTTGCTTCCCAGAAATCCTTTCCACTCGTTTTACGCCCTTTTTTGCGCAGTCAAGTACCTGCGAACCGCGCACCCCTGTTCTCTCCCGGACGGACGATCTCGCCTGCGAAAAATCGACCTTGTTTCGACTGGCCAGCCAACCGCCCGAGTTGAACTAAAATAACAGCACTTTTTCTCGACGAAACGAAACCTTCAGAGCCTAGATATGCACGATGCTAGTCTTCAGCAGAGAGCGGTGATGCACAATCGCAGGGGTCAGCTCTTGGCGAGGCAAGCGACTACGACCACAACGGCTCGAGGTACCTTGTTGTCGTGCTAGCCTCCGATGTATGCTCATTTTCTACAGCTACAGTTGCGACGACGACGACGACGGCGAGGATCATTCCTATTCCGACTCGTCTGGTGCCGACGACGACTATCGTTCGACCAACGACTACCTCGGCGTCCTCTGCCAGTATATCAAGACCCGTTGTGAGCCCCAGCGCATCTGCCACTTCTCTCTCGACAGCATCAACCTCTACTACTCCTTCTACTACATCTACCCCTCCTCCCGTTACCACAACTGTACGTCGGTTTTATTGCGCTTATCCCTTTTTTTCTAACCCACGGCACAGTCCTCGACAACTTTGCCGGCTAGCACCACCACAAATGACACTGCGCTGCGTGGTCTTCAATCTACCAGCTCCACGACCTCCTCCACCGCTAGCGCCACAGCCACAATCCCCCGACTGGAGGTTCTAGCACTGGTGCCATCATCGGAGGTGTTGGCGGTGGAATAGCCGGTATAGCCATCATTTCCATTATCGTCGCCTATGTGGTCCGCCACCTCCGCCGCAGGCGCGACAGGAACGCCTTCGACGCCAGCCAGTTCCGCCGCTCTGCGGTCCTGCTCGACGACAAGAACGAAGGTCGCCCTCGCCCGCCTTCCATGATTGAGCGCAAGCAGATGACCACCACGCCGTCAGCGCCGTCCGCCGCCTACCCGTACAGCGATAATGCAGCCAACCAGTCAGCACCACCTTCGGTCTATGGAGGATCTGAGCGTGGGCAGTACGCTCATGGAGGTGCTGGAGGCGCGCATTATGCACCCGTTCCGCCCGGTGCACCCTCGCAGATGTACGGCGGCGGTCCATACGGCGGTCCTGGAACGATGCCTGGCGCGTATGGTGCGCAATACGACCCATCAGCAGGATATGGCGCGCCTCCTATCCCGGGCACCTACGGCCCAGGTGCGTACGCCGCGTACGGCGCCGACCCGAGGTTCGCACCTGCTGGATATCACCCTCAAGGCTACCCGCACCCGCATTACGGCCATAACCAGTACCACATGCAATACATGCCTCCTCCAGCTGGGTTCCCCTACCCTGGCGGCGCAGGCGGAATGACCCGCTCGGAGAGCACCGCCAGCGGCCCTGGGGCACTGCCCAACCCGTTCGCGCGCTCGCCTGCGTCGTCGCCCCCGCCCCCGTCTGAAAGCGGCGGCAGCGCAGGCAGTCAGCCTCTTAGCGAGAAGCGTGCGATGATGGCGGCGTCCGCCTCTTCTGCGTCATCGTCTTCTTCGCATGCTGGATCCTCGTCAGCCTCTTCGTCGCGCCATCACCCCTCGCCGTCCGACCCCGATTTCACAGCCCCGCCCGCGTATGAGGATGATGGAAGTTATTCTGAATCGAGGAGGGACGTGAAGGTGCGCCCGGGTGAGACCCAGCCCGCGAGCACGCTTGGAGTGAGGAACGGCACAGAGGGTTCTTCGTCGTCGGCCGCTGCAACGTCAGGTGCGGGGGCAGCGGCTCCCAGCACCACCGCGGCCTCTAGCACGACAGGTGCAAATGCACGCCAGCAGACCGACGCAACCGCGGGTAGGAGGCCTACCTCCTCGTATACCCTTTATGATCAGGACGACGCCTATGGTGGTATGTGAGCGGATGGTGAATGCGCGTGTGGTGCCCTGCTGTGTGCCAGGCATGTGCACCGCGCGATGCTCTGAGCAAAGGATAGTCGGGTCCTCTCTTCCTCTTAAACCTTCCCTTCCGCCGAGGCTCGACGCCTCTTAATTCTTTCTTTTTCCCACTTTCCTTCGAAGACTCGATGATCCTTTGGTCGGCCACCTCTCTCGCTCTTTCCACCTCACGTTATGTCTTTATACCTTCATCCACTGTCTTCGACGATACCTCTTCCATGTCCATGCGCATTTTTTTCTTCTCATTTATCAGGCTTTTGCGTTTTTCCCCTTCTTGACAATGCCTTGCTTTACAACTTACGCTTGTTGTTGTTTATTATCATCTTTATTCCACTACGCTTCCCCCATCGTCCATTTTGAACCTCCCTAGCCATACAATCCATATACCACTGTTCATTGGATCCACCCAACCGCCGTTCACCTGTGTTCGACCTGTGTCTTTGCCACATGCACCAATGTTCAAAGTTTAACGTTCATATCTTATACATCTTTACATTTCCAGGATCCCACTGGCAGGTCTGCATCGATTCGCCCGGCTGCCGCGCTACGGGCAGCCTGGCGCAACTTGCAAGTACTTGGGACAAAGTCTATCGTAGACTGTAGCATAGTATACCACAGTTCTTGAATCCAATTTTCGGAATCCGGATCCCAGAACAAAGTGCGATTTTTGCGCAACAATCGGCAGCATAACTTGTGAAGTCATGACTTCAATTCCTACTGAAATTTACAACATTCAAACGGCGTCTTCAGGTTTGCAATTGGAGTCTTCGCAGCTGTGGAGAGCGGCACCTCGGCGTTCATGCAGAAGCCATCAAACTCCCACGCTTCATTGTCGATCTTGCCGCAACCCAACGCAAACCTCAACACCCATTTCCACCTATGTACCCAGTTACGCGCGAAGAACAGACTTTGGACAGCATAACGATCATGATGGTTGTGGTAGGCTGCGCCATCCGTCTTCTCTGTCTGTGGTGGGACTATAAATATCTCAATGCACCAAGTTCCTGGAGTCCTTATGCAATACATGACCTAGAAGATCCTCTGCCCTCATCAAGCCAATATCTACCGCTTTCTGCAATCCTGAGCCCACATCAGCTGGATGTCGAATCTCTAATTGACAGCGTGCGAAGGGTCAATTCAACCTGGAGTTCAGTTGCTTCTCGAGGACCCACTTCCTGGGCCCTGGCAGGCGCCATGCGACGCTCGGGGTCTCCATCTCGAGATTGCCTCTTCGGAGTCTTCAGTGCACCAAATACCATGGATTTTGATATCATATAGGATCGGAATGGCGGTCTTGCTGCTGATGGTACGCCTCCACTATCTCATGACATTGGACAAGACGATCAAACTCTCATCTTCACCAAGTTAATACCTCGTCGACACCCAGTTGTTTTCTGGCCCTCTATGTATATCCCACCTCAGTCAGACTGTCGCCCATTTGGCAGCTTGGCAGCCTGCGAAGTGGTTACTCAAGTGGGCGTTTTTTTGTTTTCTAGGGACCCACAACTGCCCTGTGATGTTGCTTCGCTGTCTCCGTCCCTGGACGAGGCGTACGTCGGTGTACGTACTAATTGTTCGTCCAGGGATAGTGCACGCGTTTCGGGCTTGGATCGGGATCCCTTGTTCTTTGACTGGTGCCCGCGTTGCTCTTGAAGCTGACAGGTGTGTGTCGATGAGATATTCACCTTTCCCTCTTTTTCGTTCTTGATTTCGCACTGCCTTTGACCCGACCTGGTTGGAGGTCGGAGTACTACGTTCTTTTTTTCAACTGGAACTTTGCCCTGCAGAGTCGGCTTCGCCCTATCCTCGCGCCAAGCGCTGAAGAATGGCGGACAACTTAGACGGATGGGCGGTGGTTGATGACAGAGACCCGAGCATTCAATACGACGAGGGGCTCTGGAGACCCGTCAAGATAGGCCCAACAAACGGTGTTGGGATTGATACAACCTACAATGGGTCGGTGATGCAGCCCGTAATCCGCGGCGGCATGAGCTTCAAATTCAACGGTTAGGCCTTTCTTTCCTACCGTCTTGCGATATTCTTGCTGAACGACAATTCTTGCAGGCGGTGACGGGCGTGTCCTAGCAAGCGTCGCGGCTGCGACGGAGCGAAATATCACAGATGAGACGATCATGAATTCGATGTTCAGCTGGGAATGCTTCATCGACGGACGACAAGTCGACTCTGGCGCCCTTTCTGACATCGAGAAGGGCCAGAATAACTACGAACTCTGCCGGTGGCGAGGTTTCTCGATCGCAGAAAGGGCGCTGACGGTGAACGTCTCAACGCAAGAGTGGCCCTTCGGTATCGACCGCATCGAATACGTCCCAGCTGTGCGCGGAGGCTATACTATTGTTGACCCTCTCAATCCACGTATCAGCACGGATGCCTTCCGCAACGAGACCTCTCGCGAAGTACGTATGAATGCGAACGGATCCAAGATGACGTACGAATACTTTGGCAAGTACATCGCTTTGATACGAGTAAGGCTGTGAGCTTACCTTTCGTCTCCTGAAGGTACCGCCGTTGCTTGCCACGGAAAGATCGAAGGCTCGACGCTTCCAAGCTCATCGGCCACTTACCAGGTCGATGGAGAAGATCCAGTCTCTTTTGACGTTCCAGGAAGTTCGGGGATAGAAACCACGGGTTTGCAACTTTTCGAAACGCCAACAAGGACTTCGGGGGCGCATACATTGACCGTGACGTACACCGGCTCTCAGGCTCGCATGCCCCTCGTTGTATCGTCTTTGATCGTACAAGAAGATCCCAATGTTCCTTTCCTTCTTCCGCTCCCAGTCCATCGCCCGGTGACTCAGGTTCTTCAAGTGTCGGCGTTAGTCGGAACACAAGTTCATCGCTTGCGACTAGCGCGACGGGATCTGGTGGCACGAAGATTCCGATAGCTCCTATCATCGGATCCGTTGCAGGCGGTTTCGCCGTCCTTCTCGTCGTAATTGTCATCCTTTGCCTTCGTCTCCGCAAGCAAAGACGCGCGGCGAGAATGACGACATTCGAGTTTTTTGAAGGATCACAGTCACCCGTTGTCCACCGGTCTACGCGAGAGCCTCACCTGCAACCGTCTGCCGGATATCAACACGGATGGTACGATAGTGGAACAGCGAGTAGCCAGGCTACCAGCACTCAGGCAATCTTGACCTATCCGGAAGGCATCCAGATAATTTCTTCTCGGGTCCCATCGTCAGCTCCGACTAGAGCAAGCCTTTCAGAGTATCCCGTCGTTCAGTCGGAACAGCATTTCGTCATGGGCAGGTCGAAGAATCTTCCACCGGTATTCCATCCTGAAGTGTTGCACGCTACTCTTTCTCCGTCAACTGCACCCACCCCTCCAACGAAAGCGAAACCCGTCGAAGCCCCAGTATCTCGACCTCCCGAATCCCGCTTGGTGTCAGACCTTCCGAAGAAACAATTGCAGGATCCACAACCCACTGTCAGGAATCCACATCCGACAAGCATCTACCACCGAGACGGCGGTGTCCAGATTCTGGTCTCCAGTGATCCTCCTCTTCCGGTCAGAGAATACCCCCCTGAATATGGTGAAGCGGTCTGGAACCCGCAAACCCGTTTCGACACTATATAAACGCTCTTTCTACCCCCCGTTCGCCAACACATCCTTTCGTTATTTTTATCGACTTTGAAATTTGAACCAACCTGGGTCCTGGGATCAGATTTAATTTCGCTTCATGACTCACTTAAATTGCACTTTTACCTAGTAATTTATTCCTTCGGAAGCAAATCATTTGTTCAATTCTCGATACTACCTTCAGGCGCTTTCCTCGAAAACATTGCAACCTCCCATGAACCGCAAGTATGCGTCATTGAATTCTCTTTTTCGAATCCATCTTTTTTTCAAGCAAGTGATCAACGGGCCGGTCTCGGTTCATTACGTAAGCGATAACACTATCTGTTGGAAATCAACTTCTCTCGGCAGAACGACGGTCCGATCACACACGTGATCTGGTCCGTCACGGCTCGTGGACGGTTCGGCACAGCCACCGGCGTGTCCGGGCCGGGGTACTGTCTTCCCCTCTGTCACCCCGCGTTGCGCGTGTTTGTCTCGGGGCCCTTCGTCTCCCGCGCCGTCTATCGCTCTGGGATGGCTGACACATGCTGACATGCCCTTCTTTTTTTCCCTAGGTCGGCAGTCCCTCCGGCTGTCTCACGGGCCATCGACGGCCTGCACAACAACGGCTGGCACACGTCCCTGTTGGGACGATCGGCCCCTATCATGGGCGTCTCCACTGCCACGGGCGCCTACGCGCTCGTGCTCGTCGTCGCGTTCCTGTGCGGCTACGCGCTCGGCGCTCGGCATGGTCCTGCCTTCCGTCAGGGCGCTGCAAAAAAAGTGGGACCCGCCCCAGCCCCGGCCCCTCCTGTCCGTGCAGCGTGCACCCCACCGCCACTGCCAACACACGCACCAGGAAGCCAAGAAGACCATGAGGCGGTCCTCCGTTGGGTACGTCAATACCCAGTCTTCATATGTGGTACTCAGGCTAATCACACCTATGGCATAAATATTAGGCAAGCAACATTATTTGCACGTACTCCTACAAGACAAAGGAGGAGCGCATTGCCATCAGCAAGGCCCGACGCACAGCGGCTCGTGCTGCAGCCGAGGGGGCTTGAAGCCTAGAATTACATACATAATAGCTTTATTTAGAACGCTCTGTAAATACATAAATGCACGATCCGACTAGCGAAACTGTCTTTTGATGGTTGGAGACCGTCTTTTATTTGATGAACTGTTGGTTGTCAGTCCAGATATAGTTAAAATTTGATGAAAAGACGTGCCCCGACTGTCCTTTTTTTGACCAACCGTCCTTTTTGTGGCCCATGACGGCTTCGGAAATTGATGGCCAGTTCATCAAAGACGGTTTTTCGAGCGGCTTCCCTGCAAGTGTCACACTGGCATGGCAGCTCACCTCGTTGGCTCAGGCTCCCAGTTCGGATCAACGTACGTAAATTACAACGCACGCGTTGCGTGCGCGTCAAGGACACAATATCTATACACATCAAGTCATCCTAGCTTTCCTCTCTTCCTCTCCCACCAACACACCCCATTTCAAGAACAGCACAATGCACCCCTTCATTGTCAATATGGTATCAAAATTTAGGTAAGTTATTTACATTTTCTATTCCTTCCTTATTCTTCTCCCCTTCCTTTCCTCATTTCCCCTCGGCGATGCGCACACTCAGCGCTCGCGCACCATATCAGGCCCACGCGGCCTTGGTTTGAGTGATGGGACGCTAAGCGGGGAGCCAGCCCGTCTCGCGCCCACCTCGTGCCCGCCGTGGGCTGAGCCCCCACGGGTCGGCAACGCGGCTCGCTCGTTTGGGGCGTCCGCGTCACACCGTGACGAACCGTCCTTTTTGGCGGTCCGAGCCCTACTTCAGGTTGCACATGACACCATGCAAGTTCAACTTTGAAGCTTGAAGTTCGACGATCTGGAATCCTCAACAAACTGTTGTTCTTTTGTCATGTTTATTTTCCGCTGTATTTTGGAACTATCCACTGGGTCGGTAAACGATTCTGTAAACCTCTTTCCTTTGCTCAAACTTTTTTTAGAACTTTCGGTCAACTTTCGATGAGGAAGCCCTGGCCGTACGTGCGCATGAGTCGTGACGAAAGTTGTGGGCTCATGGTACGAAAGTTGAAGTTCCCGCGCCGTCGACGGGGTTTCCGTTTGGGGAAAGAATACAAGGTAACCTGTAACCACTTACCATCACACTCTACTGGACAGCGAAACAACGTGCAGCACAGTTCCTGCCCCGACATAGGATTTCGTAGGATATCGCCGGCGCTCTGTCTCTTGTTCCCGATGGTATCATATTCAGGGACGTACGCGTCAAACGAACAAGGCTTTCTCAGGCTCTGCCAGTTTGGCAATGGTCTCGTCACTTCGCTTTCAAGCTGAGCATGGAATGCATTGTACTTTCGCCTATCGTGCCTTTGATTTCAGTGGGTGCAGGATGCCTTGAACAACCTCGCATGTCTTGCTCTCTGACTCTATCCTTGCCAGTCTTCAGTTGAAGTGGCCAGCACGTTCCTCCTTCACCTTGGTGACGCTTTCTCGCCTTCCAGCACGGCTTCCGATATCACGCTCTCTTCTCTTCTTCGTTCCAAGTCCAATCAACCTTCTCCTTGCCTTGACCGCGAGATCGAAATCTTTTCAAAATCGGGCCTCGTCGTTCGTACTGTCAAACAACGTTGACGAATCGCGATGACGGCAAAGGACAGCAATGGTTATGTCGTCATAGACGACACCGACAGCGCCATTCAGTACACTGGCTCATGGGTGGAAGTTGACGGAAGGCGCTTTGACGGAATCGGAAACTTTGGACCGACACATCGTGGCTCGTTACACTTCGGGGAAGCGGGGTCGAGTTTGTCTTTTACATTCAACGGTGAGTATGATCCGCCTTCGACGCGGCCTTCTTGACTAAAAGCATTCAGGGACTGCCGGATATCTTCAAGGGACGAACACAGAGGAGACCTTGGACGGGTCTCCCCCCGATAGTGGCTCAGAACCTCTCGAATGGGAATGTTTAATAGATGGTAAACCGCTTGCATCAAGTGCATCTGTGGCTGCCGTCGTCCCCGAGAACAATTGGCGCTTCTGTGAATGGGATGACTTGCCTGCTGGGCCACTACATACCGTGACTTTCAATGTTATCGGCGGTACTGGTGGACGAGGCTTCTTTTTCGACCGGATAGACTACAGCCCGACTGCTGGATCGATGCGTTCCAATCAGTCGGTTATCATCGCCGCCTCGAATCCTCGAATCTCTTACAGTCCATCATGGAGACCTCTTGGTCTTAACAAGATGACCTCTGTGCTCGAAGCAACAATGTCGTTCGATTTCGTTGGTACGTCAGTCTGAGCCGTCTTCTGAGTATCATGTACTAAGGATGGCGGTATCAAAAGGTACTTCAATTGCGTTTTATGGTCAGGCATTAGCCTCGCGAAACAAGTCAGATATCAATTACCGAATAGACAGTCAAATGCCCATCAACTTGGATTTACCTGGGAATCTCAATCTCACGCAAATCAACCAGCTCTATTTTGAGACACCTACTCGTACGACAGGAAAACACACCTTGACCGTCACTTACTTCGGTAATCCAGGCGTCCTACCGTTGATCCTGTCTTCCCTTATCGTCCACAACGAGGTGGAGATCAACGCCGATGCTGCGATCGCGTCTTCGACGAAATCACCCCTTGGTCCCATACTTGGTGGTGTGTTTGGACTTACCGTATTCCTCTCAGTAATTGCTACCACCGTCTGGTGTTTGCTGTGTCGCCGTCGCTATCAATCTCGGCGCCGTAGATCAGGCAGAGTTCGTTCTGCTGATGTCCTAGCTCGCCCTTTCGCCGACTTTTCCTTGTCAAGTCCTCAAGCACCATATCAATCCTATTCAAGCACTCCCTACTCCAGTAGAACTGCGCTGAATCCCGTTCCGTCTACTTCCAGTCACACATTTTCTCCCTCATCGACCCCTCCTCGGAATGCTCACAGAACGAAAGAGCTTCCTCCCCTTCCGAGACAATCTAGAATCATGCCTTCCCCTCCTCAGCCGTGTGTTACGAATAGCCAGTCATTAATTCCTGAACCCCAGTATCCCCCAAGAAGCATTCGCCATCAAGATAGCGGTCTGCGATTGCTCACTCACGTCCTACCCATCGAGCATCCTCCAGAATACACTCCTACTTAATCTCTCATTTTGCAGTTATCCGGTTATATAGCATTGTATCGTTAGGACTAATCAACTTAGTGTAGCTAATTATAATCTGTTTGCACATGCCAAATTGGTCTTTTATTTTGACGGGATGTGCCAATCGCTTTCTTTATCACTCGCAACTACTTCGATATCTCGACTCTCGAGACATGTCTTTCGTCGAGCGCCTTCCTCCGGAAATCACGACAGTGATATTCAAACAGTGCATCCCACCGTTATCGAAGCGCCCAGGCGACTCGTATCCAAGAAGTTCTGACGCCCCTCTTGTCCTGACGGTCGTCTGCTCGTCCTGGCGAGCATTCCTTCTTGATTGTCCCACCCCTTGGACAAACTTATTTCTAACGAACAAAATAAAGGTCCCCGGAGTCGTTCAACGGGTACGAGAATGGTATACACGAAGCAAAGGCTCTCCGGGAATGCAAGTATCGTTGAGGCAATTGCCACTGGAATGGGTCAAATGGGCTCGAGCCTGGCATCCTGACGAGGAGACAAGAAGAGAATTACAAGCAGAATACGACACCCATTGGCGGGCGCTCATTCAAGTAACCCTTGTGGAGCATTCAGAGATAATCCAGGACCTGCGTCTATATGTCTCGGACGTGAAAGGCAGTCAAATATTCTTCGATATACCAAGCGGGAGCTTGTGCAACCTCGAATCTCTTACCCTCGAAATTGACAACTACAATTCGCGATTCCCGACAACGGTCTTTGCAGCAGCGCACAGGCTCCGTCGTGTGAGTCTGTGCTTTCATTCCGGATTGCTGTTAGACCCAGAAGTGCCCGACGGGGAAGCTTTGGTACTCCCTTGGGCTCAGTTGACAGAGCTTATTCTACCCCTCAAGCCTGTCTACCCGGCAATGCTTTCCAATGTGCTGTATCGCTCCCCGAACCTACGTAAATTGGCACTGGTTGTGACAGGAAGCGCCCTCGAAGACAATGCCTTCAGGTTCGTAGAAGGGCCTTTAGTGGCACCCCACCTTCGCGAACTCGCTTTGTGCCTATCCAGCGGTCCACCTGCCAATCTATCTCTCCTCGACAATGTCGTGCTTCCATCCCTATCTTGCCTAATCATTCAGGACGCCTCAACGGCCTTGACGTCTTCCTTTTTTCATTGGAATATGACCAGAACACCCACTCATTTCCTACATCAAATTCGGCAACTTAGGAAGCTTTCATTGGAGGGGCCCATGCCCCACTTGACGGGTAATGTTTTGCTGGATATACTGGCTTTCGTACCTCTTCTTGAGGACCTTCAACTCGACGCGACCATACCTGAATTCCTCCTCCTCCTCCTACGTGGGCTAACATGGCACCAAGTCCGAAACGAAGCGCGACAGGATCATGACAATTCATCCTCCAGCACGACTCTCCTTTCCAAACTCTCCACTTTTGGTGTCCACTTCAACGAGGGGCTCTACGGTAATTTGTCGCAATTCTTCATAGACATGTCGAATTTCAATGTCGACTTCGTGGCCATGGTGATCTCACGGAGCCCGCATCTGACCCTTGAAGTCTCACTGGACGAAAAGGGCGTTGCCTCGTCTCCTACCTGCGAACTGTTCGCATCTATATCACAACCTCCTGGAACCGCCCCGGGGCACTTGATATCGACGATTTGTCCAAACGTGCAGATTATCCAGAGTCCGGTGGGAAGGCTTGGACTTCGATGTCAGCAAAGACGGTTTTGACTTTGGGTTTCACGGATGGATGCGCAACGGAATATTGGATGAGTAATAAAATCCCGGCGCTCCACTTCGTTTTCGTCCACAGTATTACTGTAACTGTTTTGTTCGTGCTGTAGACTCGAGAGTGCTGTATAGAAGTGGCCCGTTGCCAAGCCATTTGTGTGGTGTGAGAACTTCTCACTCCGGCCCGCCGCATAACTCTACCACAGCCACCTTCGATGTCGTTCATGAATTGCCTACCTCCGGAACTTGTCGCGACAATATTCAAGTCGTGCATACCAGCCGCGTATAACTTCAACCGAGCTTGTGATTCCCGTAATCCTCTTCCGCAGCCTGTTTCCGACATACCTCTCATCTTCAGCCATGTCTGCCGCGCATGGCGGTCATTTGTTCTCGATTGCCCCTCCCTCTGGTCTCTTCTCGTTTTTTCCGACGAACTGCAGCACACAAGTGCTCTTGAAAAGGCGCAGGCATGGTATGAACAAAGCAAGTGTATCCCCCCCATGCGAGTTGCATTGACTCAACCCTCAAGTGCAAGGCAGGAAAGCCGCGCAAGGTTAACCAAGCTAAATGGAATTTCGTTCTTCAGGCGGCTATCTTGGACCACCCGGAAGCCATCCAGAAGCTATATCTATCTGTCGTCAACATGGACGGGAGTAAGCGTGTTTTCCAGGCGTCAAATGACCCGTTCACCAACATCGAAGTGTTGGAGTTGCAGATCCAGAAAGGGCGTTTCGACCCATCACGAGTGTCGGTTTCCACAACGACGCCAAAGTTGCGTCGTGTTTGCATCGGAATTTCCCCGCTAAAACTACCGCACGGCCTGGAGGGAGAGTGGCTCTCTTGGTCCCAATTGACGTCACTTGGCCGCGCTCGACGGGCAAAATCGACACTCATCACCATCATCCAACATTGTCCGGACCTGCGAAAAATGGCGTTGCAGGTCAATGAAGAGGGAGAAGCCCCCGACGTACAGGACAGGTTGTTGCACGCTGTCTTCGCGAGCTTGGAGTGCGGTCGCGTCGTTACCCACCAGCGGACCTTTCCATGTTCGCCAACATCGGGCTGCCCTCCCTTTCTTTTCTCGCTATTCAAGACGGTGCACGCGATGGATACATAAATCTTTTTTCCACTGGAACAACATGCATGCTCAGTTCCTTCACCTGCTTCACCTGCTCCGATCACTTTCTTTGCGAGGGATGATGCACCTGAAAACCCCCGCTCTTCTGACGGTCCTGGAGCATGTACCCCTACTCGAAGAGCTGGAGATCGACGTGGTTGTAGCCGGTATCCTCAGTCTGTTTCGCAGCCTGACGGTTTCCCAAGGCGACCAGGCAGATGGTGGGGTGAAAAAGCCTCTTCTCGTCCCCCTTCTCCATTCGTTTGGCCTTTTTATTAACGAGTCGGTCACTTACTACGTTGGTGCTGCTATTCTCGTCAAAGAAACGGCAGGAGTGAATACACACTTGGTAGCTATGATAGCTTCCCGTGGACCTCGCCCCAACTTCCACCACTCTTTCCATGATGGGACCAGCAATGCACAACTTAAGGAGACCCTTCCGACACGTCTCTGTCGCCGTCCTGCGCCGTGCGCACGTCTGTATGATTTCATGGTCGACTGATTCCACATCCTATTTTGACGAGCGAGATCTGACCGCTAGGGTGGATGCCGTTCGTTGGGAAGGCTTGACATTTGAGGTCAGCAAGGATAGGAATGGGTTTGGATACTTTGCGTGGCTAAACAATGAACTTCGAGGATGGTGAAATGTTGTTTCTGTCCCTGGGTGCATCCACATGTCTCTTCAACTTTCGTGTACGTAGTACTCGTCCTATAAGACGCCAATGATGAATGCCCCCTTTGTCGACCTGCAGTGCCGTGTCCACGGAAGAACAACATGAGCAAACTGATTGCATAACTTGGCATTGGCACTTTCAGCGGGCAGCGGAGCCTTGCCTCTCCTCGAGCGTCGAGTCCGCCACTGTCTTTCCCTTTCGAGCCGCCGCCCTTGAATGTCTTCGGATCCCTCTGCCCTCTCCTCAAAACATCTCTCTCATCTCTCAGACACGTCCGCGCTTTCTCCATACCGGAGTCCATCTCGCGATCGTCTCATTTCGCGGCCGTCTTCGCGTAGCTCTCTACGCAGCCACAGCCCTTCGTTCTCGCTCGACGATCCAGGTGGGCTTCGCGGGTTATTCGGAATCGTGTAGGAGACTGACAGCGCGCGTGTTGCGTCTCGGGCAGTTGCCGTAAGGCAGCAGATGTCAACGCTGAAGCACAACATCCGACAGCAGCAGGCCCAACTCAACAGCCTCGAGACTATCGTCCGCAACGTACCCCGCTCGTATTCGTCCAGCACCGATCTATCTTTGCAAGATATGGACTACAGCTACAATTACTCGAATATGGCATCGACATCGTCCTCCGGCTCGGCCCCACCGTCATCGTACGCACCCGTAGGCACTACCAATGGGACAGGACCTACTCCAATCAATGTGAAGCGACGATCCAGCCATGATGTCCTGCTAACTATTGCTGGGCCGGACTCGGGACTGCCACTACCCAAACGCGACTCTATCCTCACCGAAGAGAACGGTATTCGAGAAGGCATACCCACCAGCCCGCCATCGTACAAGCGGGCTTCGAGTCCTACGCGGACACTGTCTCGTGAGCACAGCTCTGTTTTTATTTTGCAGAGAACTGATCTGATGACATTGTATAGGTATACCTATATCAGCCGTAGGTAAGTCCAGTGTCCTATATATACCACTGTCACTCGAGGTTGGGAAATGACAAGTCTGGGTTCTGGGTACCAGATATGCTGGTATAGACAAGGAGCCATGTCTGAGGTCGTGCTTGCCGATTTCCCCCTCCATTCTCTTCACATTTCCGGGCCTATTTCCCCGCATGTCGCCTGACCGGGACGATCACATTTGACATATCTTCCTCCTTCCTAAACACACCCTCTATCTATCCATCTCTCACACCACCGCTTGATACTGATCGCGTCTCACAGGCAACGCCCGTGCTCTAACAGACGAAGGAGCCACGTCACGGCCTCCTGCCCTCTCCACATCCACTGGCGACACAAGCTCGCTCTTCGAAGGGCCGTCGTCTGCCTCTTTACAACCTCCTTCCCCCACTCCGAACTACAAACGATACTCGGTGACCCCAGCTGGCACGACGAAGGTCCTGGCGGACTTGCAGACGGGGGTGGTCAACGCGCGGAACGCGCTAGAGAACACCAAGGCGCAGCTGAGGTTGTCACAGCGGAGCGTGGCCACCCTGACGAGGCAGCTGGAGGACCTGAAGGAAGGGAGGGATAGGCTGAGGCTGGAGAATGAGGGCTTGAACAACGTGGTGGCGCGGAAGGAGAGGCTATTGCAGGAGGTGAGTTACGTATTGGTTCATTAATACAGGTTGTTAGAGACCTTATCTTTGACAGGTGCTGGAACGAGCACGGAAAGCAGAGGCAGAAGCTACGACCCTCAAGGCGCAGCTCAAATCCGAAACGTCGACCTCGAAAAAGACGATCAGGGATATGGAGTCCGCACTGGCGGAGTCGACCGCACTCTCATCGAAAAGCGAGCGGGAATATATCACCCTGCGGGACAGCCTCAAGTCGATGACGGAGAGCTGGAAGAACGATACTGAACGACTCCGAGACGAGATGAAGAAGAGAGAGGAGAAGGTGCGTGCGGAGGCAGAGAAGGTGGGCCGGATGTACAAGGAACTGGTAGAGGACGTGAAGAAGGAGAAAGCGGCCGCGGAGCAGGTGAAGAAGCTACGGGAGGAGGATAGTAAAAAGGGAGCGGAGGTAGAGAAGATGTGGGCGGCTGAGATTGAGAAGATGAAAGAGAGTGTGGAGAAGGAGGGCAAGCAGAGTGATGAGGCAGCCAGGATTGCCAAGTGCGTCTCTTATGTTTCCTGGCGTCTTCGTCTGTTTACGCCATCTTTCATTTTTTGTAGCCACCTTTCAGAAGAGCTAGCCCGCCTGCGCAGGTTGATGCAGAGCGCAGGCCGGACGTCACCAACAGGTGACGAAGCTTCAAGTTCAAGTAACGCCCCCAAGAACGTCGACCCACCTCCATGATAGAACCGCCCATGATAGATGGTCTATTGACCACTTACACCTGGTGTCCATCATAGACCGTTCAATGACCCAACTATCAACTAAAATCCACGGGTGGGGGTAATGTGTTGTGCTGTGCTGGTGATAATTTTAGGTTATGATTTTTCCTCTTATCACTTCTTTGTTTTGCCTACCCTTCATCCATGGGTATCGTTTGACTTTTTTCTATTTGGATGGATTATTATTAATTGCTCACTTACTTTCGGATCTGGTGCAACTCACCGTTCTTTTCCTCGTCGTGTTTTATGTTTGACCTTCACCTACTGGGATGGCTTCTTTGTTATTCCGTTCTTTTCCACCCTCCCCACCCGCTGACGACTCCACGACCGCCGCCGCCACTCTCGCCTCACCTCCCATCCTCATCTTCAAATTGTCTCAACACATCGTAACACCATTCACGACCCACTCTCGCTCTCATATCTCATTCTCATATCCTACATCGCATCGCATGCTGTCTCTCTTTCCTCTCCCTCGCGCATCCATATCTCGTAGCTTTCAGTGCATATAGTTAGATACCCATTCTAATGTTTCATGATATCTCTCTCTTTCTGATCCAAATTGTGCTTAGTCCAGAGCCCGGGTCCGAGGAGTTCCTGGAGTCGGGTGCTGCCAGACTAGGGAATTAGTACCATAAATAGCGACAAAGGTTCCGCTCTCTACCACGTCCTTGGGCCCTTCACAACCCCTCGAGCTCGCACGTCAATTTGCGATACTTTCTTTCCAAACGACTTAGGTCGGTGGTGAGTACTGAGTGCCGTACTTGCGCAGTAATCCGGAAACTCCCTGACAGAAGGTCTGCGAGGTGACTTGGCAAGCCCGTCCGGCATCAACGGAAAGATCCTGACGTTTATACTCTGTGCAATGCAATCAGATGATCACTGAGGTACATACTGAAGCTACTTGAAGAGCGGCTCCCGATGCCCAAAGCAGATGTTCTCTCGCCGGTGCCGAGGTGTGGAAGTTCTGCGTTTATGCTAGGAGCTCGGAAGATATGCTTCCGCTGTCTACTTTGAGAAGCTCTATAGGCTTTTCGTCAGAGGCTGACTTCGAGAAGGGTTAGGCAGTTCGATTGCCTCCTCTCCAAGACTAACTGTAATCTTGAAAGGCCATCAAGTTGCCGCAGGACAGCAGGACAGGCATTGGTGTACTAAAGGACTGATCCGTGAATTTCAGGCTTTTCATATCTGCAAGCGTTTTTTTCAAACACATATTAGCAGCTCAAAAGGTGGAAAACATGTCTGCCTGCCGAATTTGAAGTGTTAGATGCATGTCAGCGGGGTCGCCAAGACTGAGGATGTATTCAGGGGAACCGGGACCGGGAGTAAAATAGCCGTCCCCGCATGACGCTTCGTTTGTATACCCGGCGAGCTCAATAATCATGCACCCCCGCTCCGTCCAACATATAAATCTTTCTCCCGTCCTTTACCCCGCCTCCTGTCCCCTCTCCCTTCCCCTCCCCCACTCCTCCACTTTTCTTGACTATTTCATTTCTTGAACGATGGCAACCATCTCGACACCCATCACTGAGCTTTTCGGGATCAAGCACCCCATCCTGCTTGCTGGGTGCGTACGAGCGATGAATCGTTGCTTGTTGAACTATGGAGAGCTTACTGTGTCTTTTCGCATCCTTTTCCTAGAATGAACGTCGCCGCTGGTCCCGAGCTCGCCGCTGCTGTCACCAACGCCGGTGGCCTTGGTGTTATTGGAGGCATTGGATACACACCCAAGATCCTGCGCCAACAGGTAAGACCCAGCCTTTGTTGACCTCTCCCTCGCTTGGCCGTTCGTCGCGTAGCATCCGATTACATCCGACAGACGAGCTGTCCCGCTCATTGCATCGCTATCCCATGCGCTTCTCTGAACAACGATCCTTCTTCGGACTCTCCCTCCGAGGTGCTTGCGCTGCGCATCCGGCTTGCATTCTCTGGGCTTTTTGGATTGCACGAGGGGACGTCGGAGCTGACGAAGTGGAATTTTTAGATTCAACTCATCAAGAAGGACCTCAAGGACCCGAAAGCGCCTTTTGGTGTCGACCTTCTCCTCCCTCAAGTCGGTGGAAGCGCTCGCAAGACCAACGTACGTCCCTGTATAAACGTTCGGTTTGTCTCAACTCCATTTCCATGCATAGAGCGACTACACGAAAGGCCAACTCCCCGAGCTCATCCAAGTGATCATCGAGGAGAAAACTACACTGTTCGTCTCTGCTGTCGGTGTCCCACCCAAATGGGCCGTCGACGAGCTGCACAAGGCCGGCATCGTTGTCATGAACATGGTCGGGCACCCCAAACACGCGCTCAAGGCTCTCGAGGTCGGCGTCGACCTTATCTGCGCCCAGGCCGGTGAGGGAGGAGGCCACACCGGTGATATCCCCGCGAGCATCCTCATCCCGGCGGTCGTGGACGCGGTGAAGGGCAGGACGAGCCCGCTGACGGGCAAGCCGGTTTATGTCATTGGTGCAGGCGCGGTCTTTGACGGACGGGGTTTGGCTGCGAACTTGTCTTGGGGTGCTCAAGGTGTCTGTGAGTGCCAGAACGCGTTTTGGACTGACGATGAGTTTGCTGACATGATATGATTATGAAGGGGTTGGCACGCGTTTCGTCGCCTCAGTCGAGGCTGGTGCGCCGAAGATGCACAAGGAGCTCGTCGTATCGGCCGGCTTCGAGGACGTCGCCCGCACCGTCATCTTCACCGGCCGCCCTATGCGCGTGAGGAAGACGCCCTACGTTGCCGACTGGTTCGTTCATCTGCCTTCCTTAATGCTTCGATACTCATCTTCACCTTTATGTGTACAGGGAATCCAACCGCCAACAGGAAATCAAGGAGCTCACCTCCAAGGGTATCATCCCGCACTATAACGAGCTCGAGAAGCACCCCGAGAAGTCTGTCGAGGGCCGCCCGTGGCTCATGGGCTCCGTCTCCGCCGTCGTCAACGACATCCTCCCCGCAAAGACGATCGTGGACAACATGGTCGCGCAGGCCGTTGAGGTCCTGCAGAGCAATGCGGCGAAGGTCAAAATCAGCCCGAAGCTATGAGCCTTGGGTTGGGTGTAGTGAGTGGCTAAGGATGGCACCAAGGGTTTGCAAAAGGGACAACGGTGAATGGGATGGATGTATATACCTTACTCTACTTACGGCCAATTGTGTATTTAGTATTGCGCATTTGTAGGTACATCTGAATTGCTGTTATTTAAATGAATGATCTCTGGAATCACGTCAATGTTGGATCCTTCGATGACCAGGTATTAGGAGCAGTACAACGATGGAGAAACCACAATAGCCAACAGTCCACGAGAATCCGTGCCCGTCATGGGCCTTCCAGCAGCACAATGCGTAGTGGCAACCGCTTTCGAGTCTGTTTGAATATCTTCTTCAAACTCCATTCCACCTCAGCCGAGGTCATATCATCTTCGCCGGCATCATCGCAGTCAGAATCTGTCTCATGCTCCTCACTGTCGCACTCCGATTCTGGGAGTGTCACTTTGAGCTCGACTTGAGTTTGCTGGGAAAGGATCTGGGAGTCGGACAGGATGGAATCAAACTCGGAGAGGAAAGGAGGATAACCGTCCGCATCCGGTCCAATCCATCGTCGAACTTCACGAGACGTGCCCGGGTAGAGGTCGACGGAGATGTTGACCGCTTGAATTGTCGTTGGTGCTGTTTGGAGGAGAAGGCACCACGGAGGTATGATATTGTCATGGGTGTTCATACTGATATCCACACTGAACGCGAAGACGATAGTACGCAAACGTGTCAACGTTGATAACGTGAGTGGGGTTATCGCTTGCTCTGAGAAAGTATCTGAGTGAACAGAGGCATAAAGTGGATGAGGCAAAACCCACCTATGCCGACTTGGTCGAAGAGGAATTTTAGATGAAAAATGGCTTTAAAGCTAATGACAAATTTCAGGTTTCTCGGAGATTTTCGGGAAAACTGAACGCGGTTCCAAAACGCTTCCAAAGAATCATCGGCGTCTAGTCCGAGTGTGAGCATCTGAACGCAACCGAAGTCAATCTTCTTCGCGAGGGCGTCCAAGAAGTATGGGCGAGCTCTATCCAAATTTCCTGCAGGTGCATCCTAGGCAGGGTTATCATAATCGTGTACTCTGGAAGACCCATCGGATCTTCGATATGAAGATGCTTTAGATCCCTGCAGCGGGATAGGAAGTCGATATGAATAAAATGCAGGTGAGCAAAGTGAAGTGAAGTGAGACCTGGAAACCATCTCCAGGACGGCTTCGCGGAGGTAGGACGGAAGATTCAGCCAAGACTCCCCTTCTTCGTGGACCTCGAGCCCGAAGTTTGAGACAGAAGTGAATAACTGAAGTAAGAGATGTAAGTAAGGGGAATGTGCAATCCACTTGCCGCACGTGTGTTCCATGAAATGGACGTTTCGAACATAGGGCACCAGGTGAGGATACTGCTTTAGGAACTCGTAGAATCGGGATATTATCGTCCGCTGATAATGAGCGGTAGCGAGGCCTTTACGCATGTCAACAGATGCTTCTAACAGAATGGCAGCAGACGGGGGGACTGAAGAGAGTATGCTCTCGATGATTGACAATCGTCTTGCTTTTCTAGCTCTTCGACAATGGAGATGAGAATGTCGTCCGGAAGGCGTTGCGAATGCATGCAAGCCGGCAAATCACCAGTGGGAGACATGAAGTCAGCTTGAAGCTTGAAGCAGAGGAATGAGTATGACAACAGAGCTCGAGTCAGAAAATCGGAATATCCCAGCGGGGCCGGCCCGGATCCCTAGTTGACCAACTATCACCAACTTTCACCAACTTGCACACTCTCTCCCAATCTCAAAATATCCATCGAGGCGATTAAAGGAACATTATGGGATAAATCGCTCTCGGAAGGTTGAAGAAACCCATCGAAGACATGGCTTACTCACCAACTCGGAGAGGCGATGACTGATGTCCACAATCAGCAACTGACTTCACAGCTTGACACTGAACGCCCACCACCCCCGCTGAAGCGCTCAAGGACGATGTCTCCTGACCGCCCCAACCTTCTATCTCTCACTGTAAGCTTCCGTGGCAAGCAGCATGTCCTGTCGTTGCTGCCGGACAGCACCCTCTCCGCACTGTATGCTCAATTGGAGGAGCTTACGCAAGTCCCCCCGCCGTTGCAGAAGCTTTTGTTCAAGGGAAAGAAACTGACCGGAGGCAGTGGGGATCAGGATATCTCCTTAGGACAGGCAGGCCTGAAGGATGGGACGAAGATACAATTGGTCGCTCCGACGCCGCAAGAACTGGAGGGTATGAGGACGGTGGAGAACGAGAATCAGAGGAGAGAGAGAATCATGAGGGAGAGAGCGTTGAAGGCGCCTGTGAAGGTGCGAGCGCTTGCTGTGTTTGTTGCTCCTGAGACATCCGTACTAATCCAGAATGTTTGGTACTAGCTACGATCCACTGGCTCAGGTCCCATCGTGTCCCTCTCGTCCTTGTCTTCGCCATCCTTACAACACCGATTCCACGACCTGAAAGCGCTGGATCATCTCCCAAATCCCGACAAGGCACTGTCCCTCCTCAGGAAACTGTCAGAGGACCCGGCGATTAAACATGTCATGGAGAAACACAAGTTCGCCGTGGGTCTCTTGACAGAGCTAGCTCCTCATGAACATCCTAAATTGCTCGGCCTCAACCAGAATGCGGGCCAGACTATCCTGTTGCGATTGCGGACAGACAAGTATGATGGATTCCGGCTGTACAAGGACATTAGGATGGTTCTTTGCCACGAGTTGACGCATAATGTTTGGGGAGATCATGACGAGAATGTACGTTTATCCTACATTTTCGACGAAGATTTTGGGGCTAACATTTTTCATGTTTTTCTGAATCTCTAGTTCAAAGAACTCAACTCGAAACTCAACCGCGAAGTCGCTGAATACGAACGTTCAGTGTCAGCTGGCACACACTATCTCTCTGGTGGTCCCGATGTGTACCAGCCTTCGTCAGAGCTAGAAGCAGAGGCCCGAGCTCTTACTCTTGGAGGCTCCGGAGCTTCTGCCGGCCCTTCGTCCTTCAATGAAGAAACTCAGGAAGAACGGAGACAGAAACTGCTCCAGGCTACGATGAACCGGCTACGGAAGGAGGAAGAGGAGATTGAATACTCATGCGGGACTGGCAAATCGACTGCATAACTTCCTACTACCTTTTGTCGAATATTCTATACCTGCCATACTGGTTACATATGCCTTTGGATTTTGAGATTTCGTATGTTGCACGTGAGCTGTATGACTGCACGCGTCCAATGACACCATGACTGAGCTCAATAAGGAAAGGAGTCATCAATTCTATGATGTTCACCTCTTTCTGAAACTCTCTTCCATCATCCTTTCAGGTCGTACTCTTTTCTCTCATTTTACGTCAAAATTATCGACTGTCTACATGTTGAAGCAACAAAAGCTATCCTTTGCAACTGCAAAGCGAACCGCATCGGGCAGCAATGTTGGAAAATCCCAAGTTTCAACTCCATCTTCCTCGAAGCCCGTCCAAACCTTAGTAAAGGACTCCAACAGCAAGGAGATAAAGGAGGAAGACCGATATGCAGACATTAAAATTGCCGATTTGTCTTCCTCCGACGATGACGAAGAAGAGGATTCCCGTGCGAAGCCAGAGGACGTGAAGGCTTCCACAGATGTTCGCACCCCAGTGACGCGCTCTACATCCAAGAAGAGTGCGTCTTCTACTCCCTCCAGCTCTGCCAGTGCATCCAAAGCAAAGTTGGAGGATGCAACAACCGAAACGGTTCCTAGCCCGCGAATGCTCCAAGAGTCCAACCAGACAGCTGAGGCCCTTGCGAAGAAGGTCGAGGCCAACGTACCAAAGGAGAAAGAGGAGCTTCGAGAGCTCAACCCAAAGGACACAAAATATAGAAAGCATTACACTGAAATTAAGAAGAAGATGGGGGGTATGCCTACTAGTGAGTTCCCTTTATTCTTGTGAACCTCGAGAACAAGGTGCTAAGCTCTTTGTGTGATGTAGTTCATGGCGAAAAGCAGAATAAGATACACGAGATCCTTCGTGTGTTCGATGAGTACGTGTTTTCTTTTCTCCATTGGTTTGCGAAACAGATTGTGCTTTTGTGTGCAGCTCGTATGATTATGGACCGTGTGTTGGCATGACGCGACTTGAGCGATGGCAGAGAGCGAAGAAACTCGGTTTCAATCCACCCCAGGAGGTATGTGTTGAATAACGGTGCATACATATTGGTTGACTGTCACCCCTCACAATGATAGGTCTACGACATCCTCACCACTAAACAAGGGAAAGAGAAGCCGGAGTACGCGGAGTGCGTCTTCTACGGAGAGGTGTAATTTGTATATGAAGCTTAAGCCTGAGTTTGTCTGGAATTTTTAATTGCTGGTGCGTGTTTTTCTCCTTGTTATCCTCTCCGCCTCTCGCCAACTGAACGTAGTGCTTCTAGTTATTTCTGCCCTGTATGATTCGTCGTTATTTCCATGTACATTTCACACTTGCTGCTGCTCCAAGTCTTGACTCTTCAATTGGAGCACCTTCCTATCGCTGATTCACAATGGGTCATGACTGATTGGTTCTAACATATGTACCTTCGTAATCAGGTTAACGCGCTCAGTGTTCACCCATGTGCTCACTGTCGTGGGCGCTCAGCTTCCTTGTATAGATAATCGAGGCCCACCGCGGACGTCGGAAATGTTCAAGGCTTCCGCCGTTTGTGTCCGCGCTGAGACGCCTCCTCAGCTCTTCGACCCAATGCAAGCTTGGTCGACGTCATCACATTGCTATCCGAACTGTCGCTCTCATCCAGCCTTCTGCGATCGAAGGCTGGGCGTGGCGGGGCAGAATCCATCTTTGGTGCTCAAGGTGCATGGACCCTGGCTGACCCATGGTGGCTGTTATCCTCCATCGGGCTAAGCTCCTGTGGGCATGACGTTCGGAGCGCGTAGGCGGATGCTTCCTGGAGGGTGGTATATTCCCTTAACAGGCACCAGGTTCATTGGATGATCCACAGATAAAATGCAGGGATCTTGAATATGGGGTAGGTTGACCCCTCTCTTTCCTTCTTCCGTCTCGTTGATCCCGTTCACTTCAGATATGCCTAAGAACTCTGCCGTTAAAGAGAGCGAGGTGGATGTTCTGATTATCGGTGCTGGTCCTGCGGGGGTGATGGCTGCTCTGGCCCTGGCGAGAAATGGGGTAAATCTACGCATTGTCGACCAAAGGTGCGTCCTGCTTCATTCCAACGTCGCGTTACTCGTTGAAGTCTGACGGTGAAAGCAGACCCAACAAAGTTCCTGCTGGCCAAGCAGATGGTATTCAACCTAGGACAATAGAAGTACTGCAGGTGTTTATTCTGTGCTGGTTAAGGTTGGAGAAGTGTTCATTAGACGTAGAGCTACGGGTTAGCAGAACGTCTCTTGAAAGAAGGAAACCAGATGCATATAGCGGTATGTCAACTAAATCTTGATATTTGTCCAGCAATTTTAACAAGCAATAGGCATTCTATAACCCAGGTCCTAATGGCGACATCGAAGTAAGCCCATGAAGCTGCACCTAGTGCTCCGTTCAGATCGCAACTTAAAACAAACCCAGTTGACAGACCGTGTACCCGACGTTACAGCACCCACTGCCCGATATCCATTCGAGGTGACAAAACGATGCTTCCGTTTCCGAGAACGACACGTTTAATGGACCTGCATAGATAACATTGCACCAGGGTGCGATCGAGGCTATTTTCATGGACGCGATGGCAGAAATGGGTGTGAAAGTCGACAGACCTGTTGCTCCTACCTCAATTCAGATCTCGAAAGACGAAGCTATCTTGAGCGACCCAAAGGCTCATGCTGTAGAGGTCTGTGGCCTTCCGCCCACGGAAGACAGCTTCGACCTTGTTGACAGTGGCTCCAGGTAGTTCTGATAAATGACGAAGGAACAGAAGTAGTTCATGCGAAATTCGTCATTGGTGCGGATGGTAACATCGCTCTGCTGATGAATTATGAATTTTCTCTGACTGTGCTCCTTATAGGTGCCCATTCTTGGGTTAGGAAGACGCTGGACATTGCGATGGAGGGAGAACAGACAGACTACATCTGGGGTGTCGTCGATCTAACGCCGGATACCGACTTTCCTGATATCCGTAACAAGACTGTAGTGCATTCCAACAACGGCTCCTGCATGGTCATTCCAAGAGAAGGCGACAAAGTGCGACTTTACATCCAGCTGGATGACAGACAAAACAACTTTGTTACCTCCGATAAAAGAATTGACAAGGACAAAGTGCGACCCCAACAGATCCTCGAGGTGACTTGCACTTGAGCTGTCCGACCCAGCTTCTGATGACTAGTGTTTTATAGGTGGCGAGGAAGTCTTTCAATCCATATTCGATAAAGATGACAGACGAGTTCGATTGGTGGACCATTTATATTAGTGAGCCTAGAAAATTATAGTCGACCCTGTGTATGCACATTGACAGGATTGAATGCAGTTGGGCAACGTGTCGCCTCTCAATTTTCCGTCCATGAACGCGTGTTTATTGCTGGAGATGCCTGCCACACGCATTCTCCTAAAGCAGGTATGTTTCTGCTGCAAATGAACGGGAATCATAATCTCAAGATTTCCGACAGGTCAAGGAATGAATGCCAGCATGAACGACAGCCACAACCTGGGTACCTCTGCCGACCTCTAGATTTCACCGACACGTTGAATGACGCATCTCTCTTATCAGCGTGGAAACTTACGCACGTCCTTCGAGGCTGGGCGGATATCTCACTACTTAAGACAGTAAGCGAATTCTTTCACAACTCGACACCTAATTGGAGAAAGGTTACAGTACGAATTTGAACGAAAAACATACGCTCAAGATCTTATCAACTTCGACAAAAACTTCGCGAAGCTTTTCTCTGGAAAGCCGCGTACAGAGGATTTTCAGGACGGCGTGTCTCATGAAGAATTTCTGAGGTCAGTTCACCGTTCTTCAAGGGAACTATTGCCGCAATTGCCAGTGCTAAACTATTTATACAGAATATTCCAAACATTTGGTGGATTTACGAGCGGGATTGGCATCCGCTACGCCGAATCCTTGATTACCAACACAAGCCACCAATCTCTCGCGGCGAAGCTTATCATAGGACAGCGACTTCTTCCTCAAATCTTCTTGCGGGCTGCAGACTCGCGCCCGTTCCATATTCAAGACTTACTGCCCTCAGACGGCCGATTCAAGCTTCTCATTTTCACAGGCAACACTGCTGATGCTACGTGCAGAAAGAAGATTGTGGATGTGGCAAAGGAACTGGATTCAATGTTGTCCAGATTCACTACCGGGAAAATATCCCTGCTTTTCGACATTCTCGCTATTAGCTCGGCGACGAAGGCTGCCGTTCGTTATAACGACCTCCCGAAAATGTTCAGGTCACATTGGTCCAAGTTCGTCTTTCCTCTGAACGTCAATATACAACCGCTCATAAGCGAGTACATAAGGGTACTAATTGATGACACCGACGTAAGAGGAGCCCAAGGAGGTGATGGCTATAGGAACTACGGTATTGGCCCAGATGGTGCTGCGGTGGTTATCCGTCCCGACGGTTATGTCTCGATGGTAGCCCCTCTGGATGCCATCAACGAGCTCGACATCTACTTCAGAGCCTTCATCAAGACGCCATAAGAGGATTTCTAGCTTGAGCCGCATGGGAGGCATAGCATAGAGGGGAACACTATGAGTATAATAAGTACAACGCCACGTACCCATAAAGAAAAGTCGCGGAATTACTCTGCAGGCAAGAATCGCCTGTCTGATCACAGAAGACTTCATCATCCATACCGACTCGGATGGCCTACAAAGATGGTTTCGAAATCCGGAGGTCTTTGCCCGAGGACGAACGCTGCAGGCGGAGGCGTCAGGAATCGCTTTGAATTTGCTTGCCCAGCCGAAGACACCTTGGAAACATCATTCTCACGGCATGAGTCGTATACGAGGGCGGGGCGCAGGAGACACCTTGCTATATCTCTGAAGGCGCCTTCGCGTGCGTTCTCGCTGACACCAGAGGTCAATCACTGTCAGAAGATTCTTTGGCTGCGGCTCCGGGAAGAACGGTGATGTGTTTGGCGTAGCAAGCATGTGAATCGAACGAAACCCGGACGCATTGCTGGACGACTCACTGGCTAAAACTATGAGGCAACTCAGACCTACAACCCCGGATATTTATCAACATGTCAATAAAGAACTCTCACCATTCTTTTTTGTCGCAGACATGGCTGGCAAAAGACAAAGCAAGGGCGCGACAGACAGAAGATGGTCCCAAACGAGGTCAAGAGCGGGGTCCTTCCATGTGAGAGCCGTACTAGAGAGGGTCACGCTTCAAGCAGAAGGAGAATATGTGCCGCAATAGCTCGTCTATCAAGAGCGCTGGGTCCATTGATGGATGGCAGCGGAAGAGAGGTATGTAACGTCGATATTACTTGTGGGAAACAACAACCACGGAGGCAAACACAAGTTGGATGTTGGCTTCGTTTGTAATCTTCCATCTTCGCCCTGCTATGTACCAGCTTCCCCACAAGCGCCTAGCGTCGGTGACGAGTCTTCCAAGTCAACCCCTGCCTCCAAAAACCGAGAGGAAGACGTCGGGTACACAGACGAGAGAAAGAGGGTCAGGACATCAACTCTGTATTGAAAGAGCAGGTGCCCTCGCCCAAGTCTCTCCTGCGCTTGATTGTCGCGTGCAGCCTCGACAAGATTACATATGCCATACCAGAATTATTGGACCCCAAGTCGGAGAAGCAAGTGAAGGATGCACAGCAGAAGAAGAAATATCGGGCTGTCCGTCGATTATGTGAGTATCCCCTTCATCCCTTTAACTATCTCCAGCTAAATTATCCCGTCAGTGCGCAAGTCGTATAATAATCAATCCAACAAGGCCTGCAGCGCTTCTCCGCCGTATTTACCACAAGGCGCTGCAGCTATGACAGGTATGCTCTTATCGCTCTGTCAACTTTGAATTAGAACATAACTTGCTATCAACAACGCAAGACTCGTGGCAAGTAGACTACCGGGGTCGGTCGGCAGCACCTTGCATAAAAGCGTGAAGAGCTATATATGCCTGTCTCCCGAAGAGCAGTCAAAATCATACGCTCGATATGCCGACTTGGTTCAATCTTTGAGCACAGGCAAGTCCCGCATGAACGGCGAACTTGCAAAGAAAATACTCCATATTCCTATTAATCTCAGTGGGAGTGTCATTACCCAAGACCAAGAGAAATCCTTTGCGGAGCTCCTTGATCTGTCGCGGATTACCCGCAGAGCTTTTTTGATGGATCCAGCTTTAGACCCAGAAGTGGAGGCATTGGGTGTGAGGGAGCGACTCCGGAGGATGGCCCCAGGAATGTCTGGCGAGAAGGAGCACTTTGAGGGTTATACGGATATCAAGGGTGCATAGCTGATCACGTCGTAGGATGAAGTATTGGATGGTGCACATGATCATGAGCGTCCTAATGATGGCAAAACGGATGTGGATTCTGAGGTGCAGCAGCTCTTGTTTTTAGGTCTCATGTCTGTGATTGCTCAATAACTTTAACATTACAACCTCTATGAAATAAAATGGCGAGGAAATTTATGACACGAGTTAAGGATCCAATGACTCACAATCGTAGTATTAGGAATTTTCGCATGGGCCACGTATTGGCCAGTATAGCATAGAGGTAGCAGTAATGAGCATATAATACAATGAAAGGTATCCCTAAATAAATGTAACAGAACTATATGAAGAATCGCCCGGCTGGCCTCAAACGATTCTATTCACCCCTTCCATCCCTTACCGATGGGAGGGGCATCCGCACTGTTGATCAACACTCTTCGGGGGCCACCTCCATTCATGGACGGTTTTGGAGGCACCTTTGCTCGAGAACCTCCAGCAGTCGACGATGCTGGCGGTGCCTTCAGGACTGACTTCGGAGCTGGTTTGTTCGCACCAGCCGGCGACACCTTCTTTGCTGCACCTGTCGCATTTGAGAGCGGTGGCACTGGAGACACCTTGCCAGACCGCCCAGAAGGCGCCTTCGCTGGCTTCAGACTCTGGTTGTTCTCCTTCTCGCCCACCGCAGACGTCCGTGCACGTGCGGTAGGTTCCGCTTTCGCCTTGCCTTTCTCTACTGTTGTTAGGGGCTTCTTTACCTGCGCCTCTGGGAAGAATACACGTCCGCGAGGTAGAGGTGCTGCAACGTTGGCCTCGACCTTCTTCTCTTGCAACGGTGTGTCGGGTGGAGATTCTGGCACCCCAAGTTCTTCAGCAAGTGACATCTGACGCTGTAGCTGTGGGGGAATAGGCCCGAGACCGCCATCTTCTGGCTCCTCGGCGACGGCTTCGAGAGGTCCGGATGAAGGAGACAAAGAAGTGTTGGAAAGGAATCCATTTGGCGGTGTCACAGGTGAGTCAGCGAGCATCAGGATTCTGCTTAGCGGACTAGGTTTGGCGGGGGAATATGCGTGAATCATGCGTGCAGCAAAAGGTTTGGCGACTGGGAAGGACCGACGGGCGGCAGGAGGTGTAGAAGGGGTGATGGTTGGTTGAGCGGGTATCGAAGGAGGAGAGGTTTCTGGCGTATCAGTTGATGTGGTTTTGGGAGGCGAACCGGGCATGGGAAGTGGCAGGGCGGGCTTAGTGGGTAAGGACGCTCGCGGAGACGGTGGCGGAAGAACAAAAGATGTTGGAAGGAGAGAACTTGGACCAAGTCCCAAGGACTTCATGAGAGGGAATGCGGGCGCGGGCAAAGGAGGAGGTATCAGCTCGGTCTCGTATGAAAGCACTACCTTGAGAGGCGAGCCAGCAGACGACCGTCGCGAGACACGGTGGGCCCTCCGGCCGCTCCCAGCCTTGCCGACGTTGACGCGCTTTGCGGGAGACTTCCGAGGAGATTGATGAGGCGACTTGCGGGGCGATTTTTTTGGCGATATTCTGAATGCATTCGTGGAAGGTTTACGTGGAGAGATAGGCATTGGTGTTGGTGGAAGGTCGGACAACATCTTCTCGACCTCCCAGGAACGCCTCTCATCCAAGAATCTTAGTCTCTCGGCCTGAAGTAGTGGATGAGTACATGGGACAATCAAAACACGTCGACCTGTACGTACCTCAAAGGATGCTTTTTCTTTGCCAAATCTCACAGCTGCCTCTGTGAATTTCTGCCGTTCAGCGTCAAGCTCTCGCCTCAGAATGTCTAATCTGTCCCTCTCTTGATCTCTCAGAGGAGCTGACAGCAGCTCTACGCTCATTTCTCCAATTTCTCCGGTAGCGATTCGGTGATCTTCTGCAAACTTGTCGAACATAGCCTGGGTTTCGACCATGTGGGCCATCGATTGTTTCTGCGAGCGAGCTAAAAAAAAAAACGATGAGACGATACGAATGGAAGAGAGCAAGAGATAGAGGTATTAACCTAACTCGTCCTTGAGTTTCGCGATGACTTCTTGTAGGCGTCCTATTTCACCGTCAGGTACGGATGGAGGTTTTTCAATGGTTGTTGGAGCTGAAGCAGGTGATTTTGGTTCAGAAAGTGTCGTCAGGGCTTCTCGTAGGGCAGTTGTCATTGAGTCCACTTTATCGCTCGCGGCGGTGGGTGGTGCGACAGGGAACAGGGCCGTCATGGTGATTTGAGAAGGCTGAAGTGACCTTAGATAGATTGTTATACAAAGCCAGCGAAGAACGTACCTCTTCCAGAATTTGGTCGCCTGATAACGAGGACTGTGCTTGGTGTAATATAGATTGCACGTCGTTGACAGTCCTCAGCATCAATTTACGCAGAAACAGGTTCTCGTCACTCAGATGAGACCGCGCCTGCTCTGCCTGTTCCAAAGCGATATCAAGGAAACCTGGACCTCTACCCAACACTTCTGTCCCTTCTACAACAGCAGCGTTGGCGCAACGGATACCGCTTTGCATAGTTGCAAGCTTTGCCTGAGTGTCGGAAACCTTCTGCCATTTCTCCGTGATTTTTTCAACATCCTTTTCTTTTTTCTTTAGCTCTGCCTGATGAGTTGCCCTGAGGCCTTGCATGAGTGTGCGCGTGCGCTGCAGTTCGGCAGTCGTTTGCCTATGTGCATTCTCCGACGATTGAAGGCTTTTGAGAGCAGTACTACATGAAACATTTAATACATCTTGTAATGGACAAGCAGGATGTGGACGCACGTCATCTTTGATTTATGCAAGTTCATTTCCCGTTCCGCATTTGCTGCTTTCTCCGCTCCTGCACGCTGCATTGAACGCATTCGCTCCAAATCATAAGATACCGTCCGAACTTTGGTCGCCAAGTCCTCTGTTCGAGACATATCTTCCTATTAGAAGCCTCAGACGCGCTTCACAACTTAAGAAACAGCCCATGCGTACCACACGTTGACTGAGCAATGCCAACAGGCATTTGACGACTCGAGCAGATTCTTCATTAGTGACTCCATCCAATGATATACCGGGTGATGGAACAAAGCCGTGGGCTACCAGTTGAGCATTGAGGAACTCGAGGGTGGATGTCGATACAATGGAGGATTCGTGGATGACGTTGAAGAAAGGCGAATTGAGGTTTGAGAACGAAGGTGAGTCCACCTCCCAGTGTACAAGCTTCTTGGGTGTCGTGGTCATGGTGCTTGACGGCGTCGAGGCAATTCAAAACCACGACAAAGAACGGAGGCAACGACGGCGCCGACTTCGGCAACACCGAACCAAACCTTGACGCGCCTGTCCCGTGACCGTGATTGAAAGGCCACGTGGGAGTCCCGCGGATCTAATTCGCCACTTCCAGACTTTACCTCTTTCTTAAGACTCATTTTCTTCCCCGGGGAACATCAAATTTCAGCGCCAACCCTCAAAATTTTCTCAACTATTTCTACAACAAGAAGCTAATAACTCGACGAAAGATTAGGAGATGCCATGGTTTCGTTTACAACCCAAAGAAGTCAAGGGCAACTGCTTCCATTCCACTCTCCGGAAGCCCGTGGCCAGCACCCTGACCAGAGTAACCCTCCAGCTGCCCGGTTCCGTACACGGTTTTCGTCCAATTCTGCTTCGGGTTGCTCGAATAGGTGGTCGTTGGTGTCTGGGAGATACCGTTGACATTCGTCCATTGCTTGATCTGCTCTTGGAAATTATTGTAGTTGAGTGCTGGGTCAGCGGTGCCGTGCCAGATCTGGAGCCTTGGGTACGAGCCGGTATAACCAGGGTACGCCTGGCGAACACGGTCACCCCACTGCTGAGGTGTCTGGATTTTCTCTCCCCTCTGGCATACGTCCGGAGGGAACTGGGGCGAGTTGAAGCCAAGGCAGCCGACGGCGCTACCCGCGAAGACGGCACCTGCCTTGAAGATGTCGGGGTACGCCGCGGAGAGTACGTTGGTCATCATCGCACCGGACGACGAGCCAGCGACGAACACCTTGCTGGGGTCGATCCCCCAATTCGCGATGGCGTAGCGGACGGCCGAGACAATTGCGAGCGAGTCGCTTCCGCCCTCATGCGAAAGAGAGGCAGTAGAGGTGATGTCCCAGCAGTTGGAGTCGTTCGGCGCCTGTCCGTACAGCACCATGAAGCCGCGTTGATCGGCGAGAGCTCTGAACTGTGTCCCGGAGAAATACGCCTGGAATCGACGTGATTTAGCAGAAATATTTGAACAACAATGGCGATGAAGTACCTGGGCGGTGCCACCACAGTAGTGCAAAGCGACGAGCAAGCCAGGGTTCGCCTTGAGGCTTGAGGGCTTGTAAACATACATACCAATATTGGTCGGGTTGGTTCCGAAGTTGGTGATCCTGGTCAATGCCCCAACAGGAATCGTTGCAGCGGGGTTTGTGCCGGTAGCTGTGGTAGATGGTGGGGCTGGGATACTGGTCGAGGGTACTGGGGGTGGTGGTGGCGGAGCAGCGGTGGTGGTCGAAACCTGGCATTGCGAGTACCCTACAAATGTTGAATCACAGTAAGCTCCGCTGAGCCGCTGAGCGGTGTCAGAAACTGACAGTCATTGAGCTTGATACAGCTAAGCCCAGAGTCGCATTGGGTAGACCCAGAATAGCCTATTCCGCCACCTGCATAAACCATTTGTCCGGTATTAGTGACTAAATAAGGTGAGTGTGGCGATATTGCGTACATTGGCCCCATATGGGAACCGCGCCCACAGAGGCGACAACAACTGCGAGGAAACCGATGACGCGAGCAACAGAAAACATTTTGCTATCCGCTTGGCTGATTCGTGGATTGTTTCATTCGTGGGCTCTCCTCCAATATCTTATATCGATCTCAAGACCGAGCTCGCCCCGAGATTACTTCATAGATGGGCATTGAAATTACAAAAAATCTTTGATGTTCCCAATCTGTCAAGCGAGCAGGCCCTAACGACCGAGATATGCTCGAGCAACAACTATGCTCGAGATTTTAGCTACCTTTTCAGGGAACGGACGACCAAAAGTCGGGGAAATCTTTCTTCAAAAGAATATGTTGGGCTGCCTGGGCTACACTGTACGACCCCGTCGGCCAAGGCATGTGCTACCACGGGGACAAGTTAAAAGGTCATCCCGGATGTCGACCAGCTAGCTTCAGCATGTCCTTCGTAGCCTAATAAAGATACGACACGTCAGGGTCTACGTTTGTATAGAACGAAACCACGCAGCTCGGCGAAACGAGTCTTCCAAAAAACCTTCGTCGACCACAAGTTCGATATGCGGTCCCGTCGGCACAGAAATCTTCCCAGAGACAAGGGACGATGGAGCAAGCGGTGTAATATACCGCTACCCGACGCCAAAAGGTGGAGGGCACCAATTGCTCTTTGAATAGGATGGGCTCACCACGCGGAGAAACCCACCTTCGAAATCTCCTTAGACTGCTACAGCTTTCACCATGCGCTCCCGTCGGCACGCTCTCGCGCTGCCAGGTGAACGAGGACAGGCGCCACAAGGCTGTCACCGAATTATTTTTGGGTTGAGAAGGTCTTCGAAGCCACTAAGGTCTCCGAATCCAGGTCGTGACAACTCGTAGCTTAAACCCTTCTGATCATCGAACATTCCTATTGTGAATCGAATGGATGCCCCCATGTTCTGTGACTTTATTACCCCATCTAAATACCCCCGGCTATCTTAGCAGGTGCTCAGCCGATGATTTTGTAGCAAGTAAGAGGTCATTGAAGAATGATATGATTTGGGTGATGAGTCCTTTCAGAGCATAGAATTTGAAGATCGAAAGCACCGATACATTTGCTTAGCACCGCATCGACACTCTTCTGTTCACCTCGGTTCATGCGTCGTTGAAGGCAACAATTCGACATCCCCGCTTCGGCATGGAAGCGTAAGTTATCGAGTCCGCGAGTCTTGCGCGGATTCCTTCTCGATCCAAAAGTTCTCTCTGCCCCCCCCTCCCCGTCAGACATCCAAAAAAGTACGCTACGGAGGCAGAGGGAATAAAAAATCATTCATATTTTATCAAGCTAAACGGGTGGCACAGCAAATAATATAGACGCGACGTACAACGACAACAACATACATTTCGAGAGCGCTGAAGAAAACGGGGAGAAACGAGTACAAACCAGGACAGTATTGCGGCCTCCCATTAGGTCATAATGATTGTCCTGCCCGGAGGCCGACTTATGGTCTGTCCAATGTCCATTCAACTAATCGTCCGCGGTGTCGCCGTTGTTAAACCCCCTCATTTGATGGCGGAACGGTTCTCCTCCTTCACGCTGGTTCCCACCTGCATCCCCACGGCGTCCGCGCTGGCCACCTCGACCAGATCTACCTGCTACAATAACATATCCATCATTATCTTCCTGTGGCTGGTTTCCATTGGCGCGGTTGTTGTTATCCTCGGTAGGCCTGGTGTTTGAGTTTCTCCGATTGTGTCCTGTTTCATGAGCTGACTTCAGCACGAGGTGCCCACTGAGCCTGCGCGAAATCAAGACAGACCTCTATCACGCCAGTTACCTCTTCGGCCCCCTCTCCCACCAGCCGCACGCTCCGCCTCCGCCTTCTCCCTTGCCTTGCTCTTCACAAGTTTGTCCATGTCCCTGCAGATGCCTTTGCGGCACGCGATTTTGTGCGTCGGGCAGATCAGCTCAGGGGCCTTCTTCCTACCACCGTCCTCGTCATGCCAAAGGTTCGCCCACTGGTCCTCGCCGCCGTCTTCAAGGGGTGTCTTCGGCTCTTCTGGAGAGGTGGCCTGGTCACCTGACGTTGATTCGGCGGCCTCGGCCTCCCAGGGATGGAGAGCACTGATTTCGAGGTCTTCAAGGTTCTCTTCGTCGTCGAATCCTTCAAGCTCGGGTAGTCCACCTGGGACTTCAACGAATACAAGTTCGGGGACGGCAGGCTGGGGTGGAGCAGGCTGAGATTCGGACGCTTCAGCAGCCGTCTTGCCTTTGTTCTTCTTCCTTTTGCTCTTCGATCCTTGGTTGGCTTGCTCCTGGGTGTGCTGCTGCGGTGCTGTCTGGACCTTGCCAGGAGAAGGTGGTCGCGTACTCCATGGAGAGTTGTTCGACCCAGGGGAGCTTGACCCGCGACCCTTCGAGGAGGGCGGTTCGAACCCTAGATACCAAAAGCGGGTCAGTAAGAACACAGGAAGGTCTGGAGAGGCTGACGAACATGCATCCAAGGAAGGCTCTCCAAACAAGTCGACAGGCCTCTCGAAAGGCGATTCTCCAGCAGGGTACTGCTTCGATGGTTTCTCAGGAGCTATCTTGAGTTGCTTCGCCCCTGTATCGTTGACATGAAATGTCAGTTCATATATGCGCGAGCTTGTTTATAGGCAACGAGATCGAAGTCACGAACATGCATTGACAGGTCCGGTAGGTGCAGGCTCGGCCAATGGAGATTTTGCACCAGAGGCGGAGGCGGACTTTTGGAGATTCTGACCACCCCAGGCAGGTTTACCTCCTTTGGAAGCTGTAGGTTCCGCGGATTTGAACTTCTGCAACGGGACTGGCTTGCTCCCTGAAGAAAGCCGAAGTTAAGTGGATGGATGGAAAAAAAGGAAGGAAAAACGAACAAGTCTTCTTGCCAGAGGACATCGTGGCCGAGGGCGGAGACTTCGGTGTAGGCGTAGTAGCCTTCGCACTTTGAGGCAGAGGGAATAAGGCTAGAGGCAGCGAATATCAATTTGGCTTTGTGGTTCCCCGAGTGACATGGCACACCTGTGTTCGATGTCTGCGGAGAAGTCGCGTTTGGAGACCTGACAGTCATACTTCGAAGAGGACCTTGATTCGCCTTGGCAATATTCAACGGCGGCATTCTGTCCGCCGCAGGGGGTGGAGAAGCTACGACTTGCTTTTTAACCCATTGAGTAGAACCAACCACTACGGCGATGGGTGACCATAAGCATCTATACAATTGGATGAAAATCAGGCTTTACCTGGGGGTGGTGCCCGAGGAGGCGGGGGTTTCTTCTCTACTGGAAGGGGTCGGCAGAGCGTCTTGTTTGTTTTGTCTTCTATTGGAACTTGGCACCAGTGGGTGTGATGATATGGCTGCGCAATCAATCTACCCATCGTCAGGAGTTGGCAAGAGGCTTCATGGGATGCAACACCTACCCATCACCAGGTGCCCAACCTTTGTACCAGCTGGTCTTAGCTGGTTCTTCCAGCCACCCTTTGGATTAAAACTGAGGAGGTGATGACGGAAAGTGGCATGGGCACAAACCGTCTTTCTGGGCGTCTCGAACTGTCGAGTAAAAGCTGTGGAACACCTGGGTATATCGCACGCGCTCTTCATCTGTCGGATTCTTCAGAAACTCGCCCCAGCGGTGCTCGCCAAGCAAAAGGCCGTGATCCGTGAACGCTTTAGGTATTTCCAGCAGGATCATGCCTCGCGACTGTAGATCGAGGCTATGAGGATATCAATCCGGAGTTCTCTGAGGGGACGTACTTTGGGCTTGTGGTAAATCACGATATGGTATTGATTCCCGATAATCTCTGCGACCCACAGAGCGCACTCCTTTTGGTTGTCTTCGATCTCGAAGTTAGCATTGAGGGGATATGGCTGGTACACGGTGAAAAGTCGCGTGTCTTCCTCGATCGGAGGGGATTTGGGCCGCTTGACCATGGTGATGCAGAAATGGATGTTTGCGAGTGAATCTGGGGCGGCAAACCCAGAAGGATGTGTGTGAATTGTATTGAGATGGTTTTTATAAGAACGGCGGGCGCCTCAAAGGGCGTGGAGGTGGTTGACTAAGTATGGGGTGGCCCTTCCAGAGTGTTCTTTCACCTTCTCGATCGATCGCACGCGCTCTTCGTAGACAATGGGATTAGCTCAATAGCAGGTGTGAAAGAGAAGACAAACGAGCCAAAGCCTTGTTTGGATACGGTTCTTCAACTCGAAGAAAACGCAGAGGTCAGTACATTGTCGTTGTTTGATCGATAAAGACAAGGGTAATACTCAATCAACGTCAACCCCCAGCGGCTATTTTGAACCTTGTCAAACAAAGTTGGGCATGGCGCAGTGCATTGTACGGATAGCGTACAAGAAGCCGTACAAGAAGCGTCTATGCATGATGGCGGCGGTGAGGTCAGAGCAATACATTGGGTTCTGAAATTCTATTTAGATCGATATCCATCATCTAGGTGCGCATCATTGTCGTATTCACTGTGATTAGAAAGAGAACTTATGTATAAATCGGTAGACCACTTCTCTCAGGATACATCCAGGTTTTATGAAGGGTCATTAGCGCGCCAAAATACCAGTTGACGTGGAGCAGGCTGAGGATGCTGCTGCCAAGAACCGTGAACGAAAATGAGCCTGATTATGTAATCGCATTCCTCCGAATCAGCCAAGTGTGGCTCAGCTCTGCTCAGCTTGAGTGCTGATTCACTGACTGCGCGCCTTTCTATCCTTCCGCCATAACACTAGCGACCGCCAGAGAGCGTCGAGGGTGTAATATATCCGCATTCTTATGCCTGGGGTCGCTGTCCAGCAACCTGCAGGTTTTGGCGCATCGCACTCCAGTAAGTGGATGTCACCCCTGCCTCCCACCCTCCACCCAAAGTCATCCACGGTCCCAGCTGCTCAAAACGGCTCAAATCGCTTTCGCGATGATATGTCAGTCGCAGACATCAAAGCAAAGGCAAAAGAGGCTGTCAACAGGGAGGCAAGGGGCGTCTCTGTAATAGCCCTAATCAAGTCTGCTCGGACGCAAATTCTTTCTGCGAAGGAGCATGAAGCGAGGGGTGATTTACGAAGTGCATTCGGGTCATATATCAGGGCTGCAACACTGGCTAAGATGGCTATGGATTCACCGGAGTATGAGCAAGAGTCGAGGGGGAAGGGCGGTGTTATCCGGAAAGAGATGAATGACTTCCTCGCAGTACGTCTTCGATATGTCTTCGCTTCCTTGATTTATTTATGATTATCTCACCTAGGGCGATGGCCGAGACATAACCTCACGTACTAGTGCAGTGGAGGATAAATTAAAGGCCATTGAACGAACCCAAGCAGTGTACGTCCCGTGCTTTGACGACTGCTGCTTTGCTTATTGACCTTGTAGCGAACCGACGGAGACAAGAGATATACCGACTGGCAAATCAATCAAGGATCGCATGAAGGCGTTGCAAGATAATGGTCTCTCGCTTGGGCAACCCAAAAGTCCTGCTCTACCGACACCCCCGATTTCTCCTCGGAATTTCAACACGACTCCGCATTTCAATTCCTTGCCTACTCCCCCTTCGGTTGCACCTTCCGTTTCTACATCAGCCTCGAACCACGTCTTCGTCTCGCCCTCAACCCTAGGCCCTCCCTCTCCCACCTCGTCTCCGCCTTCTTCTCCTCCGAATACTGCCCTCAGTGCCTCTGACCTCAACGGTTTCAATCAAGCTTTCCCTTCAATCGATGAACTCGACAATACCCCTGCATTTTCTCTTCCCTCCGTACCAACCGGGCTCAGTTCCACCTCCGCCAGCTCTCACAACAAAGACCTTCGCAATGCGGAGCCACCACTCTCACCTTTGGTTTCATTCAGGAACTTCGTGCCCATTGAGCGACCCTCGAGCACACCGATTACGCCTACCAACATCAATTTTGGAAGCCGACCGCCCTCTCCGAAGCCAATGAAGCCGTCAGGGCTGTCAAACGGAGTGATTGCACCGTCTACCCCGAAGGTACCACTGCCAGTGAAGAATACAGCTTTCCCCAAAGACTTGCAGGCTTATATCCGTGACTACAACGTGCTGCTCATTGACGTGCGTCATAGAGCCGACTTTGATCGCGAGCACATCAAAGCCAACGCGGTTGTCTGCATCGAACCATCAGTTCTCTTGAGAGAAGGGTAAGTGTCAGCTTTAGACTGTGGTCCTTGATTTGACTCTTATTTGGTAGAGTAACAGCGGAGGCGTTGGAAAACGCGATGGTTGTCGGTCCTCGACAGGAAGCTAGTATCTTTGGCAATCGTGACAAGTTTGACCTGGTCGCCGTATACGACGACTCTTCGAAGACGTTCGGCGCGGAGAACACACCACTTTCCATCCTTGTCCGTGTGATCTTCGAGCAAGCGTTTAAGAAAATGCTCAAACGGACACCTATGATGCTTGTGGGAGGGATCGAGGCCTGGAAGAAAGATCTAGGAGAGGCGGACCTCGTGAGAGGATCTTCGTACATGGAAATCCGACGACCTATACCCACCAAGGATATCCAAAGCCCACTACTTGCGAGCTCCAGTCCGAAGTCGAACAACCCTTTCACGAATGGAATGATCCACACGAATAGCACTGGTAACGCTCATGATATTTGGACACCACCGCAAAGGCCCACACAATATGTCAATGGAACAATTCCCGAGCATCGTCCGACTATGTCCTTGGATCAATCTGGTCACTCGAGGTGTGTGTCTTTACTCGAGGGATGAAGTGTTGGTCACCAACCTTTCTGTAGGTCCCCAGCAGATGCCACTTATACGGGCAGCCATTCCGGTGCTGCTGACAAGTCATTAACACGCCGGCCGGCAATTCTTCGACCCAGTTCTAGCTCAATTTCGTTTTCAAGAAGTGTCGGTGATACCGTAAATAGATTCGAGATCAACAATTATATGCTGGCTGATCCCAGTTTCTAGATGCCATCCCCTGTCATCGGAACGCAGTCTATGCTCAACGGTGGCCCACCATCGAGCACGCCAATCACATACCCTCAATTCCCACGACGTATATCCCCTCATGCCTCAGGGTCCGGCTCAGGTACACTCCCAGCGCAAGTGCCATTCTCTGCCCCTCCGACTCAGTACGACATAGCATCACCACCCCAGGCATCCATCAACCCTTCGCAGTTGTCTAGAAGAAGGAGTGACTTCGTTGACCAGTCGCAGGAGGCTCTCAGCGGGTTCAATGCCTCCCGATCGCCGCCGGGAGTCGACTACCCTGAACTAACCTCGCCAACAATCGTCCGTCCGCCGCCTGTCGCGGCTTCATCGCTAGAGAGGCAGGATAAGAGAGTTACCCAACCTTTCTCGCCACCTCCTAGTGCGGCGTTGGTTAGTTCAGGCCCGAAACCTCCCAGGATCCAATCGGATTATCCTACGAATTATTGGGCGGATATCCAGATTGGAATCTCGGGCTTGAAGAATTTGGGCAATACGTGTTACATGAACGCCCCGATCCAATGTCTAAGTGCTACTGTGCCGTTTGCTCGGTTCTTTACAGGTACGTTGTTATTGCAACTTCAGGTGGATTGTTTGTTCGAACATTATCTTCAGAGGGTCGTTGGAAAAATGCTGTCAATTATACCAACCCTCTCGGGTCGAAGGGCAAACTGACAGGAGCATTTGCGACGCTCCTTCATCAGATGTGGGGCGGAGACCTTCCTTATTTGACACCTATCGAGTTCAGAGTGAGCATTCATTCCTTTATGTCCTTACCAGCAGAGATGAACTTACCTCTTCATAGCGATCTATATGTTCATTGAAGTCGCAGTACAATGGCTCGGACCAGCACGACTCACAGGAATTTCTCAGCTTCTTGATGGACGGAATTCACGAGGACTTAAACCGCATACTCTTCAAACCAAGTTATGCCCCAACACCCGAAGAAGAGGCCGAGTTGGAGCGTCTACCTCCTCAGATTGCCAGTGACAGGGAATGGCGGAACTGGCGGGCGAGGAATGACAGTTTGGTCGTGGATTACTTCCAAGGGCAGTTTAGGAACAGATTGGAGTGTTTGACCTGCCACAAGGTTCGTCCAGCGTATTTCTGTTTGAGGCACCTTATGTTTGAGCACCTGCAATAGACGTCAACAACATACAACGTGTTCTCTATATTGCAATTGCCAATACCGCATGCAAGGAGTGGCAAGATTGCGATTGAACGCTGTCTTGACGAGTTCTTCAAGGAGGAGATTTTAGAGAAGGATGATGCTTGGTGAGTCCAGCGTCCTTGTCAATCCACGATTTTTGACGTGCTGGCCCCATCTTTCCAGGGATTGCCCTCAATGCAAGACCAAACGTCGAGCAACGAAAAGATTTTCCTTAGCCCGACTACCACCTGTTCTCATGATTCACTTCAAGCGATTCGAGGCCAACGGAAGATTCTCGGACAAAATCGATACCTTTGTTGATTTCCCAATGAAAAACCTGGATCTGACCAATTATATGCCACCACCTCTACCACCCGGTGCTGACAAGTCACAGCTTAACGGCGGTCTTCCTATGTCGCCTGACGATCCGCGAACGCAGCTGCCTCCGTATCGGTATGAGTTGTATGGAGTGACGAACCACTATGGCAATTTAAGCAGTGGACATTGTGAGTCTTTATTCTTAGAACTACATTGCATACCTTTCTTCTAACGTTGTCCGTAGACACCGCATTCGTCGCTTCAAGAGGTGGATGGATGTACTGCGACGATAGCAGTGTGAAGTCAGTGGATTCCAAACAAGTAGTGGTTAGTATCTTGTTTCAATTATGTTTGTCCTCCTAATCTAATTTCCTTCTATAGAATCAAAAAGCATATGTCCTATTTTACAAGAGAGTCCGAGCCTAGACTACAATTATTCATATTCCTCCTATCGGCCATGACATTTATCCTTTCGCTGCTGTATGTTGTTATTCACTGTATTTTACCCTTCAACAGTTGGACCCCGGAATGTACTTTATAGCTAATCATTGTCACGATGTTGCAAAATTATGACACAATGCCCACCATCGGCTTCGCATTCGTCGTTGTCTCATTCAGTTCGAAATGGCATTTGTGGCACATCCATGTCTGCTTGCCCTCCTGGTGTCCATTGACGACTGAGGTTTCGGAGATGGGGTAAAAGAAGGGTGAAAATTGTGAGTGGCAGCGATAACATTCGGGATCGCGACCGTTCCCGAAAGAGGTTGGATAGTGGTTAGTCGAGCCGTAGGTTTCGATTCGGAGGTTGCTCAGGATAGTGTCGAGGTGACGGGCCTTACGCAGCAGGCCATGACCATGGGTGACCGGGGCTCGCTTGTAAGCTTTGCAGTAAATCTCCAGCGCAGTCTGGGGGGCAGCAAACCCAATCAACAAGAGTGTTCTTTCTACCATAAGATGTTTATGCTTACCTCGCCGCCCTCGTTTGTCTCGCACAGGTCATAAATGTCCCGCTTGCTACGGTCATGGTCCTTGCAAGAAACGATGGCGTCCATGCATCCAGTCTCACCCTTGAACTGCACCGTCCTTGTCATGCCACGCCGACTGCTCTTAATAGGCTGGATCTCGAAACCAAACTTGTGGCCCTGCTTCCAAGCACACGAGGCATGAAATTCCCTGGGGCAATCGCTACATCGGATGACGGCGCCCTCAATTTCTCCGCACAGGCAGCATTTCTATACCGTTGCGTGAGTTGGCGTAACGATAAGGCAATGGAGCATGAATATTTACCGTTGACCATTTGTGACGAGACAGCGTGTTTATTCCCTCAACTAGACGGAGCCGAGCAGGGTCGCGGAAATCAAGCCCGGGAGTGAACACGGCGCAGACAACGTGCGCCCAACCCTGGCCTTCCGTCGGCTTGCATGCCCTCAGGAAACTATCCGAAGGAGGCCATGGCTTTTTCCTCTTGTCCTCATTGGCCGACCGAGGGCAAAGTAGACAATCTGGATTCTACGACAGCATATGTGTTAGAAATGCCTACGTTCGAGAATGCAACGACATACCAGTGAGGCCTCTAATGTTTCTTCATTCTCGCAGAGTTCACAAGTCCACGAATCAACCGCAGTTGGATCAACAACAGCACCGCAGATTCCCCCGTGTACGCGGAAACCACATTTCTTGCACTTGAGGACCTTCCCAGCTGGACCCGTCTTCAGACATGCAGAGCAGCGGTTCTGAGGTGCGATGGAGATGGTCGGAGGGGGTGTTGACTGTGCCGAGGAGACGCTCGTCTACACAACGTCACAAACTACCCAACGAGCAAGAAAAGTAACCCTACTCACCCTAGCACGTTTGTTGGACGGCCCAGCCAACGGCGTCCCCTCTCTCTTCTCCCGCATCTTCGTAGTAGGCAGTAACTCCTCCCTCAGCGGACGTACGTTCAGGTCCGCATATTTCCGCCAATTCGTGCCGCAGGCATCGCAGAGGATGTTCGTCGGCAGCCCCTTGGGGGCCTTCCACCACACTTTCGACTCGCGGGTCCTACAGGCACCACAGCTGGGCGTCTTGGAGGGCTGTGCGATGATTGAGGAGTCGTCGTCCGGCTCGAGGCGCTGGCCACCACTGGCCTCTGCGAGCGTCATGTACCGCGGGGGGCGGGGCCTGAGGTATTGAGCGGCGGCTTTCCACCGTCGAGTCGCCAGGCCGAGCTTTGAGCTGTTAACAAGGAGCGTCATCAGAACTTCTTCAACAAGAATGGAGAGATGTTTCAGTCACTTCTTCCAGTGTCCATAGAAGCGGACGACTTCGTAGATTGATCGCGTACTGACTTCATCCCGGACAGCGCGCAGTTCAGCGCCGTGCTGCATGATGGCATCCTCGAAGGCGACTTCTTCTTGCCTGCTCCATTCTTTGTCTTTGTACGCCGTCTCATTTTTCTTCCACTACACAATTTTTTATAGATAAAATGCCGTATAGGAACATTCAACGAATCCACGCACCTTCTCAATACGCGTTGGTGTCATTTTCACACTGCTCATCGAAGTCGTACTATCCATCGCAGCCTCCGAGAGTCGACGGATGGCCTCCGTCAACCAGTCTACGCTCGACTGCAGGTTCGTGTCATTCGTGAGCCGCTTCTTGATCTCCTCAGCTGCACAATCGTCATCGACTAAACAAGAAAGCAAGGAAAGCTTGAGCAAACTAACCTTCCGCCACTGTAACCAAATTCAGTTATTACGTAATGGAACGCAAAAGGAGATACGCACATTCAGACTCGGTGAGAGTGTTGAGGATGCTGAGAACCTCGATGGTGTTGTCCCCTCCTCGTTCTTCAATTTCTGGGGGAGGCAATGAGCTCGGGTTGTTGCTTCTGAGGTGTGTATGAGGTACCTGGAGAAATATTGTACGGATCTGGGGCAGAAGGAACGTTGGCCTGATACTTTGGGCCAACACGCGACGCCGTGCGAGGGAAGATAAGATCTTCAGGGTCTAATATCGTTTATCAATACACACCCTCGTACACGCAGCTGCAGTGCACCACTTACCAAGCGTGTCTTCAGCCACGGTGTGCTGTCTAGAAATATGCTGTGAGACGCAACGCCTCTCTACAGGTCCCAGAACCACCTACCCAAAATACCTGAACGGCCACATATTGAAATGCTTAACGGGGAGGTTTTCCTCCTTCTCAGCAAGAGATTTATCTTTACGTGGCCTGCCCCGCCCTCTCGCCGCAGGAGCATTCGACTTGAGCTTGATGGGGGCTGCTGGAGTGGGATGACGAATCTCATGACTGTCCACTTCCTCTTCGTGTCTGCGAGAGCAGGGTGCGCAGGTCCAGCCGTACCCGCGAGATGGTTTGGCCATCAGCGGAGGCTGGACGCACCGCATGTGGAAATATTTCTTGCAGCGGTCGCAGAGGACCGAGTCTGGGCTGGGATGACAAATTTAGGTTGGTAAGGTGTTAGAGGTGGGATTTGGCGTTACCTTGAGCACCATTCCTGGCAAGTGTCGCAGAGGCGGATGGCATCCGTCAAGTCTGGGATGACTTCCTTCTCTGCTACAACATATTCATACCGCGAGATGAGTACGTCTCGAATCTCGTCCGGGACTAGTTAACGAAGAATAGTAATTCTTGGGTTAATGATGCGGTTGGATAAAATACAGGCAGTAGCTTACGATTGCGAACATCATGAGACGGGATAACTTCAAACTCTTTCTTGATATAAGGATCAAAGAGCCTGTTGAAATAGAACCTGTCCGGGCGTTTCTTCCAACCAGACAAATCCGATATTTTGTCTCTATGCACCACGTGGCACTTGGCGCGTAGTTGATTGATGTCGCACACTTCCGAATATATGGCAGCAAGAAGTAGACGAGGGTCCGCCACAGGGCGGTCGCTCACATCGCTGGGACGATAATACCAGGCAAGACGTACTCGAGTGTACAGATATTGCTTGTCCTCATCGCCTTTGGGCGCATCTTCTGGAGGAAGGAATTGCATAATTCTTGCCACCGAATAGGGTGTACCATCCCGGGAGTCCCAACTGGGTGAGCAGTAAACATGGTCTTGGAAAAATCGGTGAGCTATCGGTACGTATTTCTACTGGAGAGAGAAAAGGAGCAATATTACCATTTACTTTGACTTGGTCGCCGTTCCTGAGGTAAACTGGGAAAGACATGGTGGAGGAGCGCTGAGCTTGAAACTTAGAAAGGGCTAAGAAAAATGATATGGAGTTAGAAAGATGAGAAAGGGCGGGGGATATTGAGATGGAGGTGATGGGAATAAATGATGGGAGGAACGGGGGGTTTGAAGGTGATGAAGGATTGATTCTGGGCGAGAAGGTGGAGGAGGGGAAACAAGAGGGTCAGATTCACACTCCGCTCCTCCATCAACTGCCAAAAGTGTTGTGGCCCATGTCCCAATTTCGAACGCCTCTGGACTGCAACACGAGGACCTCATCGACGATCGAACCGCTGGGTGGTGCTATTTCTATATCATTTCTATACTCCCAGTTGTATCTATACTCATCGAACTTCGATGCGATCGATTCAGATTTTGGGAATTTGACCCGCCAGTGATGTTCGGCGCTTAAGGAAACACCCTCGGAGGCGCGACATTTGCACCGAGGATCTCATACTGCGAACGAAGGCTTTCGGTGTTCCCTGGGGGCTCTGGCTCTTTCTTCATGTGCCGCGGACTTGGACGGATCAGGCGCACGGAAATGGGGCATGCGGAATACAAGTTCTTACGAGAAGGCTATAGATAAAGCCCTTCTTTTTCGACAATGGAGAGGCGCCTTCGTGGTTTTGCTTTCGTCGAATCTGAGCAGAATGGACACGATCATGGGGTTTCTGCGCAGGCGGACTGACGACAGGGAGGCTCTCGACCGGCGGAGGAGGGCGTGCCGCGCTGGGCCTGGCAGTGATCCGCTGAATCAGCAGGGACCTGCCCGATCGGGCGCGGTCATTCCCTCCACAGCCAGGTTCTTGGCGGAGAACGTTCACAAGGGAGTGTCTCGTCAACTGGCCTCTCGTGTTTCACTGCATCCCACAGAGTCCCGGTCAGACTCTCCCCATGCCCAACTGGCTCAACTCTCTTCTGCGCCAAAAGTCTGCACCTCAATGGACCTCCGACCGCGTCAACTCCTGCCCTGAGCTCAAGGTCATCACAGAGAAAGACCTCCACTCGTCCAGCCATACCGCCATGCCGACTACCACGACGTCCACGGCGGCAGACTTTCCTCTACCGCCCCCGGTCCTCCAGAGCTGCGCTGCATCGACTGCAACCCGCAAAGCTCGCAGGAAACCGGCCCGAGTTGGAGGACTGACCGTCCATTGGGCTCGGTTCAAGAAACGCATCGGCACAGGCACAGCACCATCGAGCAGCTCCCACATTGGCGAGAGCGCTGCAGAGACGGGCTATAGCAGGAGAATGGAGATGGCACTGGAGGCGAACGATTTGGTGGACGAAGTCGTCGTCGATCGAGTATGGACCGAGGAGATCAAGAGCTCCGTCACCCACTCGGACAACGGTCTCAGTCCAGAGAAGTCGGGTGGTAGCCATCAACAAAACCACGGTGCCAGTGACCATGACAGCCTAACTTACGAGGGCCGCTGGAGGTGGTGGACGCCGTTTGCGATCATTCGGTATCGAACATGGCCGCTTTTGATGGAGATCTTCAGCTCGCGCTTCGTAGACGAGAAATCAGAGCAGCACTATGCGCAAGTGAGCAACTATTCCCTGACTTGTAGCTCTGCTCTTGTATCTCCCTTTCTGACCCGTGTGCGCTGCTGCGCATGTTAGGAACACTGGTTTATGAAGAAATCCTTGGCTCTGTGGGCCTCTCTATGGCTCATCATGAACTGGGTGCTTGGGTGCATCTTCATTCCGCATCATCCAGTCGTACTACTCGATAAAATATTCTACTTTGGTGTAGGTCGAATTTCCTAAGCCCCATCCCACGATGCGTAGTAACTCCGCAATTCAGATCGCACCAGTCATGAGCATACCGGTTGTGTAAGTTGGTTCTCTGGTGCTCTGGGTTGTCTCTCACTAGCGCGTCTACTAGCTTTATGGTTATGTATGACTGGCCTAGGGATCGACCTTACGTCTATCAAGTCTTTCTTCTAGTTTCTATTTGGTGTTGGTACGGTCCACGCTCATTGCGTTTCTCCGACCTTCGGCCTGACATTGTTATCCAGGTCTTTCTACCAGGTTATCTATATGTGCGCAGTCGCGTCCGTTCTGGCGCTAGTGATTTGTTTATCTCACCTTTCCTCAGACTTTCTTGCGGCTATTACAGTCTACACCCCAACTGTGGCTCTCGAGATTTCTTGTCAACATTCTATTATACCACAGTGCGTTCCTTTACCTTTCAACGACGTTTCTATAAATAATTTACTTGCACCCAGGCCCTCCAAACGATCGCACTTTTCGGCCTCAAGCTAAACCGATTCCCAGCTGCCATTGGCAGTTTGGCTTTTTTCCTCTTGTCAGTTCGCTTTCTCCGCATTTCTCCTTGGATTGCCCATTTACGGCATGCAATAGTGCGTCAATTTCGGTCATACCCGTGAGGAGGACATGGGCGCGGAGTAAGTTGCTTCTTTATCGACGCCGAGTTGAGACTCATTCAGCTGCGGTGCCTTCTTCAATCAGGCATGATCAATCTCTTCATCTTCCAAAGTTGTGAGTCTCCAGTTGCCCAGACCGATGCCGCCGGTCACTCAGTGCTTCGTCTTCCAGTTCTTATCTATGTACATTACATGAGAGAAAGTGTAAGTAAATTTACCCTCGATCTGATTCGGGAGATTGATAGGGAAATAGTCTGAGAGACGGCTTTATCGTCTCCGAGATCAGCTCAAGATACAGTACAAGGTACGTTTATCGATTTCTCGCCTTTGACCCATTCGTTTATTGAGCACCATCCAGGCTACACAAAAAGCTCAGATCAACGAGCGCAAAGCATCCGACTCAAAGCGACGCTTGACTTCGTAAGTCGACTTGCTCGATGATGCGCCGGTCCTATGTTTATCATTTCCTCCAGTTATGTCTTCCATGATACGTACATTTGTCTGGCATGCCTGTATGCACCATACTCACACTCGTCCGATATCCACAGGTCCGTGTTCCGCTCAACACGGCACGTAAGTACATTTCCGCCTTTAGGTAGTCGATTGAAGCCAATAATTGGGGTTTCATAGTCTTGGCCGTCCAAAATATGGAAGCATCTGGGACTGTGGCTAAAGATCAAGAAATCGAATTCAATGCCCTGTGTGGAAGTCTGAGCATGATGTCAAAAGGTATGGTCTATCTGAGAGCTGCACCGAATGATATTGAGTGACTTTATTTACAGTTTTGAACGACGTTCTTGACTTGTACGCCTTTTTCTATTTCGGACTCGCGGGCAGGTCAGATAACACTCTCCTTTTCAAGCAATCGAATGGACAGTGGGAAATTTGAATCCTCGTCAAGAGCAAGTCATGTTTCTCTTCCGATACAGAAATGGTTGAGCTGACCTTACAGCCATACAGCCGTATGCTTTCCACCAAGTAATGCGATCTCTCTTCGTTCCTTTGCGGTTGGCTACCGATGCAAGAGGACTGAAGTTCGAGACGGACCTGGATCCCAACATCGACAAGGTAGCCCGGAAAGCTACCTATGAGGCCATGGGAGAACCACCAGAAGCGATTCGGGAGCATATGGCGAACAATCCAGATGTCGAAGGCGTTGTTACTGGAGACGATGCCCGACTGCGGCAGATTATCACCAACTTGGCCAGGTTTGTTAGGAAGCAGACTCGTTCCGCTTCGTGTATGCTGAAGACGTCTACAGCAACGCCTGTAAATTCACTCCGACCGGTGGCAAGCTGACTATTAGGACACGCCTCGTTTTGCCCTCTATACCAGCCGGTATAGACCCGCTCGACCATGACAGCGACGACTCCGAGAAGACCGATCTCGACGAATCAGAGAACGGGCAACGGCCGCTGTCGGCGGATTATCTGTCGCAGCATAACATGGAAGGCAAATCACCGGCGCCTTTGGATTGCATCGTTGTGCGGATCGAGGTCTCCGATACTGGGTACGGGATCAGACCGCAGGATATGGCCCAGACGAAGCTTTTCTGTGAGTAAAACAACGATTTATATGTCTCTCTTTTGCAATACTCACCAAGTATGGGACTGCAGCCGCCTTCAACCAGACGGAACAAGGCAGGCAACAGGGTGGTAAAGGCACTGGCCTTGGCCTTGCACTCGTTCGCCAGATCGTCAAGCTGAGTGGTGGCCGTCTTGGGGTGAAGTCAAAGACGGGCGAAGGTTCGACGTTCTGGGTAGAACTACCTCTCGGAGTTGGAAGGAAGACGTTAGACCCGGGCCCTCCTGATCTGCCTGATGGCTCGAGTACCTCTGACCTGGATACGCTACACCGTCCGAGAGGTGGTACTCGATCGAAGACAAAGAGGGCACAGGAAAGCTTCCCCCCAGAGGCAGGCGCATCGGTTTTAAGGACTTCGACGAGACACTCGTCTGGATCTGCACAGACAAGTGCGGCTATGCAGGGTATAATGGAGCAAGGTTCGTCTTCTATTGCAGTGTTCGAATATTATCACATGGGCTGATGGGTGGGCATGTAGGTGGACGTGTCGATCTTGTGTTGCGGAAATATGGACAGAATGGGACACCAGGCTCAACGCCTCTACATGACAGAGACGATCCTCTCAAAGATGTGCAAATAACGGCTGAGCCGGAAACGATGCCACAATCTCAGTCTACGTCTCGTATGCCCAAGCAACCTGAGAAGCCACCAGAATCCTCAGAATCCACCTCCACTCCGGTACAGCCTGAACCCGGAGCTTCTGGCATCTCGTCACCGTCAGAATCCTCCAGACCAACACCGGTTCAACGACCCACTTTTGTTCGACTGCCGAGTCCTCAGACGTTCTCCATTGACGATGCTTCTCCTCCCACACAAATAGAACCTCTTGCTTCGAGCTATTCGAACCAGTCAACGACGAGCGAGCGATCAGTATCCAATCTGAAGATGTTTGACAACAATTTCACGCGTGGCAGCCCATCTGCTTCATTTACGACGCTAAACATTGAGCCGAATCTACCGGTTCTCGTGGTAGACGATGATCCCCTAACCCGGACGTTAATGAAGCGTGTATTGACGCGGCTGGGCTGTCAGGTTTCGTGTGCAGAGAACGGCGAGGTGGCGCTGGAGATGATACTGGGGCAGCGGGTTGCGGTCGGCAACACTCCCTCGAGCGAGCTGTCAGCAGCAGGCCCCATCTTGGAGCAGCAGCAGGAGCCACCGATATTTGAGGAGGGCAAGTACGCTGTGGTGTTCCTGGATAATCAAATGCCTGTCATGTCGGGATTGAGAGTGGTTGAGAAGCTTAGGGAGTTCGGAAGGACGGACTTCATTGTTGGTGTTACAGGTTAGTCTTTCATTTGCTCTTGATAGAGTGAGCTGGTTGCTTATGCTTCTGTTCGTTCCTTCAGGGAATGCTCTGTTATCTGGTACGTCTATCTCCTTGGAAAGTTGGTTCTTATGAGCTGGCCATTAATATCTCCCGATAGATCAAGAAGAATACCTCGAAGCTGGTGTTGATCGGTGAGTTATTCACTTGACTCTGAGCCGTGACATGGGACCTCATAAGTCATTTGCAGCGTTCTGACTAAACCGGTGTTGGAGAGGAGCCTGAGAGATATCCTTATTCAAGCTGACGAGAGAAGAAAAAACCGACCTGAGCCAAAACCACCTTCACGAGAATAATCGCATTTCTACGTTCGTGGACCCTTTCAAACTGGAATTTCGCTTGGTTGTATTACTATAATGCTTTGGACGTGTATGTCTATACTCACGCGTACGTTCCTTCGGACACCATCCCTCCGCTGGCGACGGCGCCCCTGCTCTGCATCATGATAGAAGACTTATTCCACCTCATTTTCGCTGATTTCAAGCTTGTCGCTATCTATCGTTATATTAGTATCTCTAGCAAATTTCTAGTTGCCTTGTCTTGCATACGCGTTTCGCTACATAATCAATTTACATACACATGCACATGTATCTTTGTTATCTCCAAGCCTGAACTCTGCTGCGATTTTGGGGTGGAAAGGTATGGTGACGTTCCCACTGGTGCATAGTGGCCCACTGTGGCCCATCATTGCGGAGGACCATGAGTTCGTATTGTCGGATATAGCCGAGAGTAAGGGTAAATGGCCCGGCCATGCCCCTTGACCTTGTCCACCACTCTCCCTTAACCATGTCACAACCACAAGAGCCCGACAATCCCCCTCCACCGTCTCCCACAGCTCCGAGACCGTCCCCCCCGAGGCTAACGCCTTCTCCAGACGCGACAGAGTCAGGTACTGCATGCCTTTACTTATCGAACTAACCCTTCGTCCCACTTATCGCAAGGAACTCGGACTCTAGAATTCAAACTGTCGAGGAAACGTGAACGCGAGGTGTCATCGGAGCCTGTGACTACGCCCACAGCTGGCAATGTGTGTTTCGATTCTGCTGACGTTGGCCTGGCCAATGCGAACTCTGGACCGGCGGCTCACACCATACTTTCCATTTGATTGTTGACAGGACTCCGACCCACACCGCGAACGCAAGGACTCGCGCACCCCCTTGAAGAAGAATAGAAGGCGGCTTGATCCCACTAAGGAAGAGGACGACGGTCCGGGTTCGGGTTCAAGATCTGGTTCTGGATCGCCCCCAACGATGGACATCGTAGCGTCTCCCCGCCAGGAAATGAAGATAAAGGTCCGACAAATCAGCCAGGGCGTCGAGGATATTAGTTGGAAGGGATTTAAGAAGGACACAACCCCAGATCAAGATGTTGACGTACCAACGGACACTGGGATGCTCAGCGCCGCCATCGAACTTCCGGAGCCTGAGGAGAAGAAGAAAGCAGAGAGCAATGCCATCACGACGGTCGATGACGACGAGACACCACCCAAGTCCCCCGACGATTCAGCACTCTCTGCTTCAGTCCAGGACTTGAAGAATGCGGATGTGACCATGCAACCGAAGGATGACTCCTTCGAAGAGCCAAACCGCCTGCGGTCGGCCTCGGAGAGTGGGGAGAAAGGCTTGAAGCGCAAGTTCCTTGAACGGGGCACCAGTCAAGGCCCGTCCGAGAACGGAGACGTTGTTAAACACCCCTCCGAGCCATTGAAGCGCCCTCGTGATGCATCTGATAAGGACGAGAACCCTCGAGAAACCAAAAGGCCGTCTCCTCCTCCTTCGCCACCACGCCGCACGCCGCCTTCTCCCAAAGTATCGAAACTTGTCAGTTGGTTTTTCCCTTGATTGTCTGCCCGTTCCTGACAGGTTGGATGTTCTTAGGGCGGATTTATAGCTTATGCCTCTACAAGTTCCCCATTCGCCTCGGTCAAGGGCCAGAATGTATTTATATCGGCCCACAAATCTACCGCGACTCCACCGCCCTTCTCTCCCAGCCCCGCCCCTTCCCTTGCGGAACTAAGTTCCACGAACAACCCCTCATCTACCCCCGCTCCCACGAAGCGATCAGGCTTCGAAGCCTTCGCGTCAACCTCATCGCCGTTTGCGACAGCAGCAGCCAGAGCAAAGTCTCCCATCCTCGGTTCGGCGTCCAAGCTGGGTCGGGCCAAATCCCCGCCACTTCGGTCAGGCGCTACTGTGAATTCGAATCCGTTCGCCTCTTATGTTGGCCCTAGTCAGGGCTTCGCCTTGCCGGCGCAGAAACGCGCTCGTGCAGGGTCACCTGATTCATCGGCCCGGAGCTCCTCAGAGAGGACCCCATCGGCACCAGCCATGTTTGGTGTCTTGGGACAGTCGAGCAATGGCTCAGATAGTGGGGCTGAGGATGAACAGGAGGAGCCGACCACATTTGGGGAGAGGTTGAGGGCGCACAAGGACGACGAGGATGAAAACAGGTCGGATGAGGAGAACGGGAAAGTTCAGCTGACTGAGCAAGACGGTACGTCCCTCCCTCGTACCTTCTCGACGCTTCTACAACGTATTTTTATTTCAGTGATGACTGGTGAAGAGGATGAAGAAACTCTGCACCAAGTCCGGGGTAAATTATTCTCACTGCATGGCAATCAATGGAAGGAACGTGGAACAGGTCTCTTGAAGCTAAATGTACGAGTGGAAGATGGAACAGGTGCTCGTCTGGGTATGTTCTCTTTCATTTCTCTCGCACATTTTCGCGTGGAGTGCCAACTCTTTGGGTCGTTTACAGTCATGCGGAAGGATGCTGTTTACACGCTGTTGTTGAACATTACTCTATTCCCCGGGATGCGCTGTTCGTTGGCCCAGGATCCACGATACCTTAGATTCACTGCAATCGAAAATGGTGTCGCTACGACCTACAATTTGAAGGTCGGTTTGCAGAACTCCGCTGGTTAGAGGATGACTTCTGAAAGTTGACTTCCATATCTAGGTCGCAAATGCTAAAATTGCAGCAGACCTCCTGGAAGAGGTCAACGCTAACATACCTAGTTGAAGTAGGTTCTGGGCTCCACAAGATATATATACGCCTGCAGAACGACCAATTACGACCATGAACTTTTTTCGCAGAAGATGCCTTGTTCGACAAGTTCATACCCACTTCCAAGACCTTTTAGCTAGCCTTCTGCTTTATGTCGCCTTTCTTGATGCTTACTGTATTATAAGTAACTTGCTATGAGACGAGATCGCAGCGTACGCATAATAGAAGCGCATTCCAACTCCTGCAATTATTTTCTGAGATTTTCAGGGAGCACATATATTTCTCACGGCTATTCATATCTGTTACCGACCTCTTCGCGAGATGCCCACCGCCTTCCTCCTCAACGCATCCCTGCCATTCCTTTGTCCATGATATAGTTGTCAGTATCTTCTCTCTTTTTATTGTACTCAGTGTGACCAAAATTCAGCAGACCTTGCAAAACATATGGAGACATCTCTCGTTTATGGCGCCGTCATTCTGGTTTCAGGAGGTCTAATCTTGGTGAGTTGCCTCTTATCCAAAAGACGTACCATAGGATGATACCCTCTCATCCTTGTTCTTCGAGTTGTGGGTTATCTCCCTGAGATACACGCTGCAACAAAGACGAAATCTCTGGGTCGGTGTGCCAGCAGCGCACCCTGGACTGAACTCGTGTTTTCTTTTTTAACCAACGGGCCAGTGAAAGTTAGCTAATATCTCTCTCTCAGCTGTATGCAGCCCTAGTATTCTGGTCGCCGCCACCGATTGTCACTCATGAATCCGAGAAGAAATATCTCTCCAGCCGCTCTCCGACCAAACCACTTCCACTGACACGTCTCTCGGACCCAAGGACACACGACTTGACTATTGTCGTGCCAGCTTACAATGAGACGGAACGCCTTCCAGCAATGATGGATGTGACGATTAAGCATCTGACCTCAGCCGGTCTGAGAGGCAAACGCACGTTCGAAATAATCGTCGTCGACGATGGTTCGAGTGACGGCACGTCCGCCATGGCGTTGAAGTTGGCAAAGCAGTACAAGGATTCCGATGTCAAAGTCGTTACTCTGGAAAAGAACATCGGGAAGGGCGGCGCGGTCAGGCATGGAATGTTATTCGCTGGAGGAGAGAGGCTGCTTATGGCGGATGCGGACGGTGCAAGCCGGATTGAGGACCTCGAAGAGCTGTGGAAGACAATGGACATTATTGCTCCGAACAACGCTTCTGGAGTTGTCGTTGGGAGCAGGGCCCACCTTGTCAAGTCAGAGGCTGTTGTAAAGGTGCGAGATGATTATTTTGGTGGGCATCAGTTCTCAACCTATTTCCCTAGCGGTCCTTCCTCCGCAATGTCCTTATGTACGGATTACACACCATCCTCCGCATTGTTGGCGTGGGCCATATCCGGGATACTCAATGTGGCTTCAAGCTCTTTTCCCGTTCGGCTGCCCAACAAATGTTCCCTGCTCAGCACCTCCCAACTTGGATATTCGATGTCGAGCTTTTGCTGCTGGCGAAGCAGCTCTCAATACCCGTCGCAGAAGTTGCTATCGAGTGGCATGAGGTGGCTGGGAGCAAGCTCAATGTCGTCACTGCGTCTGTGCAGATGCTGAGGGATCTCCTGATTGTTCGAGCGAATCATCTTCTTGGGAGGTGGACCGCTATGCCTCCAAAATCAAAAACGGAGTGAGGCATTTGTGTCGGTACATAGACTAATTATTATTTTCTATTGGATTCTCTGATTTCTCTGAAGATGATCTAGGCTGGTAATACTCTTTGTAGGGGTAATTATGCCCTGAGATTGGTCGCATATAATGTCTCTGAGCGTGCAAGAAGTCTTCGGGACCATTTCCCCTCCAATCTGTCGATACTGGACCACATTTCTGACACCCATCCATCACTTCTAGTCGGCCGTCGAGGTGACTATATTGTCGGGGACAAGCTGTGGAAATCAGTGATCCAAAGAACCGTGAGGCGTCGATGACTCTGAGCATGGCGGTGGTTCGGGTTGCACGAGTTCGTACTTACCTTCCGCCGCAGCTTTAATTATGAAAGTGACAACTCTCGATTTCACTGGATAAAAGCATCACTGATTGGCGTAATATGCTCGGTTCCGAACCCTGGACTCCCCACGATGCGGTCCGTGGATGACGCGATGACGGTTGAGATATTGCTTGGACGTCGTGTCGGGAGTGGCAAGAATTTGGGAATTTCTCCCAGGGCTTGTACTTAATGTGAAGGCTTCGGACAGAGGGAATGGATTCATGCTCGAGGCCCAAGAAAGTAGCTGAAAAAGATGCTGGTATTCCGAGTTCTAGTACTGATGTGGCACGGTGTCCTTAACCATTGAAAACCGCGACCGGTCCTCGGATGAACACACGGAAGGGTATCACCGTGATGTAAAGAACGTACTAAGTTAACTGATGTTCTCCGCACCGCCTAGTGTTAACCTCTCGAAGCGAGCTGCAAAATCTGGTTGATCCCTGTGGAAATTTCCGAACATGTGGAAGCACAACTCTGGGATGGAAATGGTCGCTGCGGGGAATAGGAAGATCATGTAGTGGTAGATGACATGCGCCACGGCTGGATGGTCCCGGTCCCACTCCCTCGGGCAAGTGTCGATCGTCAACATTTGTGAAGGGTGCTCGGTCTTGTCCTCCTGATCATAAACTGCAGCTGCAGCAGCCTTTAATGCCTTCATGATGGTTAGGAGGTCATTTTGATCGATGTCGTCGATAGAAATTGTGAGGTCCGTCAGGAGCGGAAAGGTTGTGGCGATCTCTGCAAGAATTGGTAATGTGAGGTGTGCGGCAGATGTGAGTTGAAAACATCCGAGTCGTGGCCATAGAGGGTCCGTGGCAGTGGAGGAAGAGAGCAGCTGAACAAGATCGTCAGTGTCAATGTTGACATCCTTCGCATAGAGGACTAGAAAGGTTCCTCGGGGCGCGGAGCTGAAGGAAGCCATGTTTGGACAGAGAAATGTCGGAGCGTACGGGAGGTGTACTTGCAGAGCTTATGGTCCAGGAAGTAATCGAGCTGGGTGAATTAAGGCGAAGGCAAGAGTTGATGCATTTGTTCATTGAGAAGGAAATGCTCGCCGCGGGAATCTGGGAGGGTCTCCCCAGGAAGAGGGCGAGAGATGAGAGGTTCGGCGAAGCCTTTATACCATCAAGAAGGTCGGCGACGTCAGGAGGAGAACCAAACAATCTTATGGTCTCTAAATCATTGAAGACCAGGTTAGTCGCATTGGGCAGGTATATGTTGAACAGTGATTAAGAAGGACAGGTTTCTCAATGACTTCCTCGAGTCGAGCAAAAAGTTGCAAGGGAGACGTCCGCCGTTCATGCCGTTAACATCGATCGACTTCAATTCGCCGAAGGTCGACAAAAGATTGAGAGTGTTTCCAGTCAGAATCATGCTGGTCAGGACAATGTTCTCAAGAGATGGTGCGCGGGAAAAAAGAGGAGCAAGATATGACTCCCAGAGAAAGGAGGAGTTGTTAATGCCGAACGGCAGGATACCACGAAGCAAAGGAGGAATTGAAGGGAGCATTGAGCGGTACGATGTCGGCCAATGTTCCTGTAAACCCATAAACCTTCAACGTTTTGAGAGCCGGGAAAAGGTCGAGATAGCGAGAATAGACGACGAGGGGGGATAAAGTGTTTGATGGCCTTTTGTTCGACGCAATATTACATAACAACTAGGGCTCGGGTTCGGCGAGAGTAGAACAGAAAGCGCCTCAAGTGAACATGAAGATCAGGTCCAATGAGAGTCTTGAGACTGGCGTTAGACACCGACGTTTCAAAGTGGAACTTGTCGACAGCTGGGGGTGCTCCTACTCGAACGAAGGTACATCCGAAACTGTCCATGAACGACGGTGATCCTAGAAGGGTGCTGATCAACAGTGTGGATGCCCCCCCTTTTCAGTAAGAGATGGAGAGGGTGAGTTGCGGCCAGACAGTTGTTCTTGACATATCATTAATCCATGTCATAATTCTGTTACATTTTTTATGTTTCCCTTTCATTTGTATCATACTCGCAGTGCTACCCTCTATGTTATGCCGCCCGTCTTGTCCATGCGAAAGCTTTTTCTAAGGTGTTCTAATAACGGCTTGGAGGTACTTGGTGAGCTCTGTGGTAACGGTCATTGGAGCCTAGACTCCTTGTATGAGTCATTAGTCATACATCATGTTGAATTTATTGAACGGCACACTACGAATAGACATAAGATATAGAAACAAGAACTACTGCACCCCGGAATCCACATCCATGTTGTTATCATTGGGACGTTCGTCGTCGTCTGATTCTTTTTCCTCCAACAATGCTACTGGCTTTCCTTCCGTGATATCCGTATAACCCTCAAAGTACTCCTTCTCTCCAGACATTCCTGGCGCCATCCTCCTCCCTTACACGCAATGCCTCCACTTCTGGGTCTAAAGTTGGTTCCATCAAAAAAGCTCTGCGGGTAATCCGCGACAGATCGAGGAGCTCCGCAAAGGTTTTCTCTTGGTCTTGGGCAATGACACCAAATGTTTCGGAAAGAGCACCAGCGCACCAGATATCATATGAAGTAAACTCGTCAAACTCCGAGTCATCATCGGGCCTTCGTGGACAAGTGATGGCAGAGGATCGCGATGCAAGAGCAAAGACCATACGGATCACAGGAGGAGGATTCTTGACATCGATTGAAAACAGACCAACAGAAAATGGATTCATACTTGCGAAGATAGAGGGTTGGATCTTCGAAGCAAACCGGACGCCGTTTTGAACTTGGATTAAGATAGCAGACACTTTCTTTTCGAGGAGCGCCTTGCCACGGAGAAACGGTACGACGATGTCGACACCAGCCTGATTAACGGCACAGACAACAGCGGCACCGCGCGACAGGAGTCGCCAGAGGTACTGTTGGTTGATTACATCGTGGTCCTCAACCTTGACAAAGTGATTGAACCAGATATAACAGTCATTGAACGCATCCTCGAGCGGCTTGTCGGACTATTCGCAGTCATATCCGCAAGGCTTTTGCTGTCGCCATTTGTCATCGCCGTGCAGGAGTGCATCAAGAAACTGTGGGACAGTGACAACACGTTGAGACCCATCTGACATAGGGCTTGGACCTGGTGTATTCTGTGAACAGGCCTTGTCTCGGGCAAGCAGGAGGAGTAGTTCCGCGACGAGCTCCCCACGCAATCCAGGTTCCAGGGATGAGTACTTCAAGTGCTCCGAGAGTGTCTCGGCTACATTCAGGCGAAGGTCTTTCATGATCCCGTAGGCTGCCTCCGCCAAAAGCGGCTCAGAAGGGCTAATCGTCTCCATGCTCTGAAAACCGGGAGATGCATAGAGACAGAGACGCATATGGCGCTTAACCTGAGCGCATTCCATCTCACGCCATGTTGTAACCTTGAACTTCAAGTTAAGCCGGACAGCCAGACACGCGAGCTCTTGCTCTGCCTTGAGCCGTCCTATTCCACGGGTGGGGACCGGGCCATCCAGAAGCTTCTCCTGAGCGAAGCGAATGATCTGTCTCTTGACCGTTTGATCTCCTTTATCATAGCGGGATCCAAACCTAAGACGAGGGTGAGAGGAGACAGAATAGCATAAGATAAGACATACAAGGGGCGCCCAAGATGAGTTATATGATCAAGGCTCGCCAACTTGTCAATCGTGCAACTGCCATCTGGATGTACAGGCTTTGCGAGCGCATCGAAGCCTACTTCGAAGATGGGAGGAAAGTACTCCAAAGTCAAGAAGGATATTCGGTGTGATGGCTCCAGCTTTGGTTCTGGGATGAATCGATGGATTTTGGGAGCTGTAGACAAAAAGAGGGAGAAGATAGGGAAGTGAATCATGAGACGCAGTCCTTGCCGCAACTCAGAGAAGTGTGTCCAATTGAGTTAGTGTAGGTTGGCGAATGTGTAAGAACGTCAGACTCGTCAAAGCAGAAGACGACGAGAGGTGATGTTATCTTCTCATTGTGTGGATTCAGAAACATGGTCAAGTCCTTTGCTGCTTTTATAACAGCACGTTCTGAAACCTCTAAATTATTCCATGCATATAATCTCCGAAGTATCAGCACATACCGCCTTCGCTTTCTGTTGCATCATCATGTTGGGAAGTGGGTGGGCTCGAGGATTTTTTCTTGTGAACAGAGATAGCACTCAAGAACTATGAAGGAGGCATTGGCAAAGCATTAAAGCGAGAACAGCAGAGTAGCATACCGCATTAGCATCCTCAAGCACCTTGTCATAGAATGCTCTGTGATATTCGCCGTGTCTTGAAAATGACATGCCTGTGGACATCCTCTCCCTGAAGATCGATGCAAAATGCGCCAGCCTAGCATGAACACCGACAGACTCTCCTAGTACTTGTTGACAGTTCAGATGGGGGGATGTTGGAGCTCTGCTTAGGCGACATACCGGGTCCAAACAATTCAAGATGCATTTTGGTCTGCTTTAGTGCGCCGTAGAGAAATGCCTGGCATCGTTGTGCACACTCATCTCTTGTTTTTGTCTCAGTTGTGAGCCATATGCGAACATCTAGATCCTGAGGAGGGAATCCTACGTAGATGTCAAATTAGAGAGAGGAGACAATATCGTTTGGCCTTACCTCGACCGATCACACTGAGGTTGATAGGAATATAGAGTATTTTCTTTGCGAGTTCGTCGTTCATGCGGGATTTGCCTGTACCGGAAGATTGAACCAAATTGGCATACCGAGCGTAGGATTTTGACTGTCCCTCGGGAGACATGTAGCTTGTAAGAATTGCATGCAAAGTCTCCGCTGACTGGCCCTGGTAGTCACATTGCCATGAGTTTTCCGTTGCTGATGGCAAAATAACGGCTGTGGCTTCCGGCGAAAATTGAGGAGAAGTGGTGTGGGCCTCGTTGGGCCGATCACTAAATGTTTTGCACACTGGTACGATAATTCAGGTCGAGATAGTTAATGCGGGAGCTACTCACAGAATTCACGAACAGCCCGATATTTCTTCTTCTCCCATGCATCCTTCAGTAACTCTTTCAACTCGGGGTGATATTCCAGTGATCCGAGTCTGAGTACGTCGCATTGAATCTTGCCTGCGCTCACTCCACCGATAAGGGCAAGGAGACCAATAGTGGGCCCCATGTCACCTGAGAAGGCGTTTATCGTCTCATCTTCCATCTCGTGCATTTCGTCAGTATACCCTCGGATCTTGGAGAGCGGGGGCTGACTCGGAAGGCTAGTCACGGACGCTGAACGTTTGCGGGGAAGCTGATGAGAGTCCATAGCAGGTTGAAGATGGAAGACGGAAATTGGAAGTTGAAGCCGTTCATTACATAACGGATATCGGACTCGTCCAAGACTAGTTCCCACAATCAAGGACTGCACATTGGTGTCCTCCACACACGCCGCTCCTCGTCCATTTATGCACCTGGCGCTCTTGATAGACCAACTATTGCTTCAAATATTCTCTTTCTGCTTGGAATATGACCGGCCCTCTCTTGTAGCCGCGGCGCTCACCTGCAGAGCATGGAAGGACCCTGCTCTTGACCTCGTTTGGGATTGCCTTCTGTCTGTCGAGCCCTTGCTTCGTCTTCTGCCAGGCATTTCCGGGATAGAAAACGTATGTGTGAGTTCTTCATTGACATATTGACAAACTAATCCTGAGTTGTCCCAAGATTTCGGCCAGTGAGTCGTCCAGCAATGCCTCCGTCGCGTTCAGTTCATACGCTCGCCGTGTCAAATACATCAGCCATCGTCAAGAAGCCAATAACCATCATGTCATAGTACCTGTGACGTATCCACTCTTTTCCGCCCTCAAACTCGCCCTTCCTAACCTTAGGACCGCTCATATATCCTTCCGTCGTTGCAACACTTCCTTCTTACCCTTATACCTCTCGCCTGCCCTCTGCAATCTAGAAGTTGATTTGGGTTTCGGAAAATCTTACATCGACTTGGATAGCATGCTCTGCGACTACCTCGAAAAGACTAATTTGTTGCCCATCAAACTCGAGCGTATTAGTCTTCGCGGACTCGCCTCAGAACGCCTTAACCGAGCTATCTCCTCTTTCCACCACCTCCGCTTCATCTCTCTCAAACTGGGGCGGTCGTTACTCCCGCAAACCGTGAAAGAAATCACGACATTCTCTTCACTCCTAGAATTAGAGATCCACGCTGGACACATAGACCCTGACGATCTAGAAGATACCCATAGACATGCAAGCATCTTCAAATCCCTTCGCAAGTTGCAAATTAGAGCCAAGGCATCCTTCATAGAACACGTTTTTCGCCATTTAGAGCAAGATACCCTCAATCATCTGCATATAGAATTAGACGACCATTCACCATCTTCTATATCCTGGAACAACATATTCCGACTCATCTGCGACAAAGCATCTAATACGCTTCACCATCTTTCCCTCGAGCACCATTTCGAGCTGCCGGAGATGACCCCTTCCTCTTCTGCATCACCTGGAACTTCTCTATATCTCAACCCAAATAATACACCCAACCAGGTTTCCCCCGCGCTACCGTTCTCGACGATGGCGGACCTCAGGCGTCTCAAACACGTCAAGCACTTCGTCTACGACGCGACAGTCCCGCCTATCATCTACGACAACGACATCAAGAAGCTCCTTTCTTGGTGGCCAAACCTAGAGCACTTCGAGCTTGGGTCCGTACCTCAAACAGAGGAAGGTGGTCTATTGCCACCCTTCCACATGATGATGGCTGCGCTGACCACCTTCGCCGCCAAGGCGCCAAAGCTCCAAAAACTTGTTCTTCCTCTGCCTGTGGACAGCGTGGAAGGAGAACCGGACGGAAAATTCTCCGTGGCCAAGTCGACCAGTCCATTGATGAGTTTGACTGTCGCCCAGCTCGAAACTTCGAAACCCTCCAACCTTGCCGCCTACCTACATCGTTTGTTTCCTGCCTTACGAAATCTAGATGGACCTTGTGACGACAATGTGGCTTGGACAGAGACTCGAGCAACTCTGTATGCTCTTGCCTAACAATTTATTCTCATAGAACCGGATGTAATATTCACAACGTCGATCTCATTATTTGCATACGCTCTAGAACATACACGATCCATACGTCCTCTCCCTAGATCGTGCCGTAAAGTTTCATATACTAATGTAAGCGTAGCCTTCAATAACAGGTGCCGTGGATAATCTCAAGCATTTGCACATGTCAAGCATAGATTCATTCGATATAGCATACAACATGGAGGGTGTCTACAGCTGCCGGAACGATTGGCTTAAACGACAGGGGGCTTGGTGCCCGGGGTGAAGGTGTAAGTCAGGCCACACTTGCCGCAATATTGACGGTCCTTGTGGAAGGCCATCTGAAGACCCGATGAATAAGAGAGATGTAGGAAGATTATGAATCTACTCACAAAGATACCAGCACCGCACTCGGCACTGGGGCACTCACGACGAAGACGCTTGATCTTGCCATCGGAGTCCACCTTGTAGTACTTCAATATGGACATCTTCACCTTCTTGCGCTTATGCTTGATCTTCTTGGGGGTCTATGAACGGGGGAAATGTCAGTAAGAAATGCTAGAATGAACAAACAGGGAATCGCACGTTGTAGGTCTTCTTCTTGCGCTTCTTAGCACCACCACGGAGGCGGAGAACAAGATGAAGGGTGGACTCCTTCTGGATGTTGTAATCGCTGAGAGTGCGACCATCCTCAAGTTGTTTGCCTGCGAAGATCAGGCGTTGTTGGTCGGGGGGAATCCTGAAGCGACGAGTTCAGAAAGGTCTAGATGCACAAGGCTACCTCCACGTACCCCTCCTTGTCTTGAATTTTGGCTTTTACATTGTCAATGGTGTCCGAGGACTCCACCTCCAAGGTGATGGTTTTGCCCGTGAGGCTGGAGAAAGAGAAACAATCAGTGGACGATGGACAACAACGACGGGAAGCACGCACGTCTTTACGAAGATTTGCATGGTCGCGGACGCTTCTGTCTGTCCAACGAAAAAACGGTGGAGTCTTTGACAAAAGCAAGAGCCGGAAGATGAGAAGGTGCAAAAATCGGAGTGCAAGATTTATAATGCCTAGTTTGTCATCTGTGTATGGTCCGTGCGTCGCAGAAATAAGGTTCAGTCGCGTGGGCAGTGCTGACAAATAAGGTCGGCCATCGACGCGGATGGCCGAAGACGCGTCTTCCAACATACTACGCGTTCACTATGGATAGCGACGAGGACACCCGCATGATGGATGTAGACTTCCCGCCTGCTCTCTCCAAAGGAAAAGGAAGGGCGAAGGATGACCACCCCCAGGACGATGAGAACCTGCCTTGGTATGAACTCTCACCACCGCTTTCGCTGCCACTAACAGCTGCCTAGGGTGGAGAAATACCGGCCAGTTACTCTTGATGACGTTGTGTCGCACAAAGATATTATTACAACCAGTAAGTGACGCGTAATGACGCGATACTGCTCTCTGACGAACGCGTAGTTGAAAGATTCATCGAGAAGAACCGACTGCCTCATTTGCTCTTTTATGGACCTCCCGGAACGGGCAAAACGTCGACAATCCTAGCAGTGGCGAGACGAATCTATGGGTCTGACTATCGGAAACAAATTCTTGAAGTGCGTCATCATTTACAGATACCAGAACACACCCAGTCTGACTTGTGGACGGACAGCTCAATGCCTCTGACGATCGTGGTATCGACGTTGTTCGTGAACAAGTGAAACAATTCGCAGAAACAAGAACGCTCTTTTCTAAAGGATTTAAACTCATCATCCTTGACGAGGCCGATATGATGACCCAGCAAGCTCAAGCTGCTCTTCGCCGTGTAATCGAACAGTACACCAAGAATGTCCGCTTCTGTATAATTTGCAATTACGTCAACAAAATTGCTCCTGCCATTCAAAGTCGATGTACTCGCTTTAGATTCTCTCCTTTGCCTATCGCCCAGGTTGAAAAACGTTTGGCCACGGTCGTTGAATCGGAAAAGTCGGTTCAATCGTGCTCGAAAAAATGTACTTACGTGCTAACCTTCTGCTCCAGTGTAAACTTGACAAGCGATGGGAAGAAGGCCCTCCTTAAGCTTTCTAAAGGAGACATGCGACGTGCCCTCAATGTTCTGCAGGCCTGTCACGCCGCATATGACATCGTTGGTGAAACAGAAGTCTACAATTGTACAGGCAACCCTCATCCTTCCGATGTCGAGGCCATCATAAACTCCATGCTATCAGATGAGTTCACGACTTCTTATCAGAGTAGGTTCCACGCTCTTTCTTCTGTTTCTCTCATTCTCATGTCGGACAGTGATAACCAAGCTCAAGACGGAAAGAGGATTGGCTCTTCAAGATCTTCTCACCGGAGCCTACGAATATATCGAAACCGTGGAACTCAAACCACATGCCAGGATCTACCTACTTGATCATCTTGCCGTGACAGAGTGAGCATACCGTTCCGTCAATCCGATATCTTAGACTAAATAAATCACAGGCACCGTCTAGCATCAGGTGGGAGTGAGAAGATGCAACTCACGGCATTGCTCGGCGCCTTCAAGAACGCCCTGGAATTGACTACCAAGGCGGCCTGAAACCGGCTCGTCTCAGCCAGCGACTCGATCGTGTACTCGCGCAAAAAAATCCTCCATATTGCCGAAACTCGAATGGGACGTCTCTTGACGGCACTCGTTCGCGATTACTCGTCCCTCTCCAGCTCAACCCGGTCTCTCTCGGTCCCGCGAGCGACACGACCACGGACATCCGGCGTATGTGCGACCCAGACCAACCAAATGTGGATGTCGAGGACCAACTTGATTAGATCGTAGGCGCAGATCGTGAAGTACACCAAGGGCCTGTGCCATTCCTTCCATAATTTCCTTCAGATGAGAAGCTCGATCATGATCACCCTATATCATCCGCCCGATCTTGTTAAGAGTATCTTGGTCGTTGCCTGACAGAAGAGACACTGAGGCTTTCTCCGAAGAGGGCGGACAATACCTAGGCGCCTAGTGCTTTGCCGCTCCTTGGTGTCCGCTCCTAACGGTTCTCCGTTCTCCGTTCTGTTATTGACCCAGGTTCTGCTGGACAACAATAGTACCCAACCTTAGGCAATGCGGGAATAAAGGGCGTTCTGACGCGTCAGTGATGAATAGCCACGAAATTTTTTTTAGAAAGAAAAAAAATGATAGAGAGAAGCACCAGAGGATCAATGTCGGAGTGCTCTAACCAATCTAAGTTACTTACGTCGACAGCCCCCGTCCCACCGACGCATGTAATCAAAATTTTCGATTTCGACTGAAATATGCTTGCTTCCAATGGACCAGACCGAGAAACTGGATTGTCCGGTAACAAAAGTACAAAATTGAAGAGAGCAAAAATAGTAAAAACGATGCCTTGTGATACACATGCTCATGGGCAATGAGCCTATCCAGTTATGATATAAATACAGTAAGTACTTGAGTAGTAGCTGCGATACGAGTACGACGAGGAAGAAATTGTGAAAGGATCACTCAGTAATTATTAGGGGGAAATGAGTCTAAAAGTACAATAGTATGAGAAACAGAAAACAAGAAAACCGAAGGGAGTTGGACGGGGCAAGGATTGGGGGGTGGTTGCGGTAATGGTACACTAAGAAAGAAACACAGAAAAGGGAACGGCGCAAGGAAGCAATGCAAAGAAAGAGAAAAAGAGTACATATAGACGAAATGGCTCGCGTGGTGAACTCCGTATCACAGCATAGGTATCGTGTGATGCTGGGTATGCAGTAGGGAGAATTGTAGGTGAGTGCGTGGTGGTGGTACATGCATTGCAGCTGAGTTCCAAGATGCGATGAGATGAGCGTGTATGCGAGATGGAAGCGTGTTGATGTTGGCGTGACCGATGTCTGTGTCATGATGGGGCGGGTAAACGTGTCCGTGGCAGGTGGCAGAGGCAGTGGTAGATGATAGAGAGAATGAACTCGAAGAAGACTTGAAGGAAGACGGGAAAACAAGAAGCAGAGTCCGATGCATGCGATGCAAGAAACGGTGGGTCCATGCGACAGTATGACGTCGAGGGATGATGATGAGTGTTGATAGTCGTCCAAATGCACTGGGCCAAATCAGATGGCGGCGAACGAGTCCTGAACCTTGCACAGCTGGTGCTCTAGTATGCATAACACTCGGCATTTAGTGTGTCGAACGGTTGACAGTAATACGGCTGCGACTCACGCATAAGCTTGCCTTCGTGCGAGAATAAGCTCATGGCATTGAGTCCGTGGCGATAGCTCTCCATGAGCTCGTCCTCGACGGCTGCTGCTTCCGGGTATGTCTCCTTGACCTGCCGTACCCGTGAGATTTCATCGACGAAGATGAGGTTGGCTGTCATCCAAAGGTTCTAGAAGGTGCGAGGTAAGCGGAGTGAACAGAGAACTAGAGAAAAAAGAGAGCACATACGCCTATAATAGGATTCATATGGCCCAGCTCCTGCAGGTTCAGTTCGCCGTAGTTCACCATGTTCCGGGCCGCAGATAGGCAGATCTGCTTCGAGGACGAGTACGCGTACGCGAATATCCAATGCAGCTTTATTGACGCGGCGTCTATGAGCGCATGCGTCAATAGAGTGGTTCGTATTGACGGGTCTCGAGTGCTGAAGCGAGGCATGGGTCCGAGCTTGTTGCGGAATGCATCGATGAGCACATTCACCGATCGTGCTGCGGCCTCGTAAGCAGTTCGGTCTCGCGGCGCCAGTGCTTTTAAAAGGAACGAAGTGGGTCAGTCAGCCTTATCAAGCAAGTCAAAAAGCGTCAGTGACTCACTGGGTGACCACTGCCCTGTCAAGTGTGCTGCGCGGTGGAACAGAATAGCTGCCTTCGCAGCCATCTCGAAGTGCGAAGCACCTTCGCCCACGTCACCCAAATATCCGTTCAAGAAGGCACGGACGGTTGAATTGCTTTGCAGTTCTTGTGGGAAGATGCCCTAAGAATAACAAACGTCAGTACCAAATTCTTTTTCATCGTGGACATAAATAGAAATAAGCTCACTTCCTGGAAGTTGTCCATATCAATTGGCCACGGTGTATCGATCTGCATCCCTGGGGCTTCCAAGGCCCCGCAGACATGTGGCGGTGCCTCCAGTGCGACTGTGATAAACTTGTGGAGCATGAGGACTGACCAAAACCCATTTATCCGCTCAGCCTCTTGGAGGTCGGTAATGGGTGGGGGGAGGGCATAGGGTTGGTCATTGATGATGGCGATTGTTGAGGGGGCAGTGACGTTAGCAGACCGTATTTTGTGGAGTCCAGAGCCTAGGGCAAGCGATATTGCAGATCCTGTGTAAACCTTGGCCTCAAGGAGCGACCCGACACGCAAAAAGTAATATGCGAGGAGGACTTCGGCTTGCAGGGTGTGGATAATTTTGTTCGGATGTCCGCCGAGGAGGTCCGTTGCGACATGCTGGAGGGCTCGAATCAACAAGGGGCCTTCTTGATTTGTCGGAGAATCCGGTTGCGAGAAGTGCACACCGAAGAGTTGGACGGCATTCAGGAGGCCAGGAGTAGGTCGGGACGGATGGCCGAGGGGGAAAGCGAGCAATGCAGATGCACGGAATGTCGGGACGTGAAGGAAAAAACCAAATTGTTGGGCGTGAGGAAGAAAATTGTCGAGTCTGATGGAGATAGGGTTTAGAGGGTGACAATGGCACAAGGAGGTAGACTTACGAAGTCTGAAGAGAGCTAATTGGTGGTTCCTATGAAACGAGAGAATAAGAGATTGTCAACAATAGAAACAAGGCAAACGCACCTCGAGACCTACGGAGGTGGTAGGAATGGGTTGTCGGATAGGTGAAGTAGAAGAACCACTCGAGCCTGTCAATTCAGTGTTTGCTTCGAGCGCGGAGAATGTGTTCCACTGCCTACCGGAAGGAAGACTCGACGCTGTGGAGGTCGGAGAAAAGGGCGAGAGAGGGCTGAATACAAGTGAGGAGTCTGGGAGATGCAAGGGAGGAGATTTGGACAGTCGGTGGGCCTTGTAGCTTTGATATGGATCGTGAAGGGTGACAGAAGGAGTCGAGCCTTCCGGGTTCTCCAGCTCGAGCAGGCGGGCCTCCAACCGGGTAACCGTATCCTCCAACACCTTTGTCCTCGACCTCCCAGGTCCGTCTGCATATTCGCATTCATCGTCTCTTGGGTGGAGCTGGCAGGGTCCGCAGATAGGCTTGAGTCCGTCGCATTTCTAGAGCGACGTGGTCAGCGCCCCGCAAAGGACAAAAAAAAGAAAGAAAAGATGCGTACAATCTTGAGAAACCTAGAAACGACAGTGAGCAGGGAATTACGCGTCGTGGCGAAGAACTCTCACCTGCAGTTCATGCAAGCCTTGCCTCGTTTGAGAGGCTTTGGATGTCTGGTGGGCGAAACCTTTGAAGACATCGCCAGGATGGGGAGAAAAGAACGGCGCTGGCGCCTTTGACGGATCAACAGAGAAAAAGGTGGAATGGTGGCCCATTATATAGCTCCGTTGAGGTGACTCGCTCGGAGGATACTTTGTGCTAGATCTCCGTGAAAAGCTATGCAATCGCGCAGACTCAGTGCCTCAGATCTTGCCACCCTTTTTAGGGAATGGCCAACAGTGGCCAACGATAGCCGGTCACGTGCCTGCTATGACGCACCAACCGCTCAGGCTGTGTTGCTCTCCATCGGCTTGCTGCTCGACCAATTTCCGACGTGCTGCCTGCGAACCCCTCCGTCATCCCTCCGTACCCCCGCACCTCGTTTCTCCGGCTGTTCCTCGAAATCGAGCCCCCGTCGTCGCGATATCCGCCGCAAATGCTCGCCGCACAATGCCAATGCAGCCTGACCCGCCGAAATGGCCTCCTCATGGCCCGCTGTATTCCCTCGCCGTTCAATTCACAATTGGCTTCGAACCGGAACACTTCTGCTTTCCCTCCCGAGTTCACTCTGTCAGATTACCTACCACAATGCCCCAAGCCGACCCAAGCCGGTCACACCTGCATTCCGTCTGCTCGCGCCTGAGCCTGCTCTCCCATTCTCGGACCTAAACATATCCTCGTCGTCGCCCAGAATTAGGGCCAATCGTTCCGGTTCGGACGGATTCAACCTCCACACCGCAGCAGAACGACGAAAACTTCCAAATCACTGACTCGACTGAATGGGCCCTCAATTTTTAGCTGTCCTATCCGAGAACGGTGCACAAGCGTACAGGAGTGAATGGAAGATAGCTGTACGTGCACCCCTCTTTTTTCTTCTGCGTAATTATTCATGCCTCTTTTTTCATCGAATTTTCCGATAGCAGTCCATGCAGAGTTCATACACCGGTTCATTTCTGAAATCATATTAAAATGCTGGTCCAGAGGTCCATAGCCTCCAGATGGCGCATAGATTCGCTCAAAAACTGAGACTTCAGCTGCCTCGTGTAGGCCTCGCCAACAACTCGTGACTATACACGTTGCGCCCAGAGACCCGTTTTCTGGCCTCGAGGTGGTCCCAATGTCTCTCGATCAGGTCGCGAGCAGAGCCTCCAAGTCTCCTCCACAGCATCTACCCCCTGCCCAAGGACGCGACCCCAACCAATACACCGCAAACCCCAACGCTTTCTTGTCTTCGAACTAGGAAGGTTCTATGTCTTCGCATATGATACTCCAACAAGATTTTCCTTCAGACCGCCGCGTTAGTCCTCTTCACACCTCCTAATTGCTTTTCATACCATATGAGCAATCGAGGGACCCGCCAGAACGAAAAGAGGCTGTCCGTGCACCCCCAGAAACAGACACCTTTCCCTGCCAATTTTTTGAGCCCTTCAGCGTGTCAGGGACTAACACAGCCACTTCAAGAGCCAGTTTCCCAACTAGTCAATACGGACTCGGATCGATGGGTGATGTAACTGATGTTTAATCGCAAATCATGATCAGGCAACCCTACGTTAGGTCGCGTCCTCCGTCCTCCGCCCGCCTGGCCCGAAGGGTATGCGCCGGAGGCTCGATTTCCTCATTTCGGTATTCTTATCGGTCCCTCGCATGTTTCCCCGAAGGCCCAGTTCGTGGCTCGGGAGAGGCCTGCACCGCACAGGAAGCAAACATGACGCACCAGCGAAGCCTCGGGGGCTGAGAGAATCGCCTTTTATCAGCCCCTCCTCCGTTTCACTTGTTGAACAAGGAAGACCAACTTTGGGATGCGTTACGAATGCCCTGATGTCAAGATCTTTTGGGAAGGCAAGGGAAGGCGAGTCGCCGCCGTTCTTCTACAAATCTGTCCGAAAAAGCCCACACAAAAAGCCTTCGGCAGGATCCAGGATCCTGGCGTCTTCGGTTGGGTCTTCGTGATTTCATTTCCCAGCAAGACCTTCATTCCTCCACAATCCACAGTCGACTACCGAGCGGCCAATGCCCTGCAAAGCATCTGATTTTCGAGGGAGGAGTTTCTATGAAGGGGTGCCGTCCTACCCTCTCATTTGGGTTAGATTGCGCAGTTTGTTCGACGAAGAAAGAACCCTTCCCCTCACGCGATAGCCAAATGCCCCACACTCGCCAGAGTAACGAACATGCGACTCCTTTTCTCGTTTCTGCTTGCGTCGATCGGGGCCACTCTCCGCCCACCCAATCACGACCTCGGAGCGGAATCAGATTTCGGGCCCTGTTCACTTACGAGAAAGCAATGCTGCTCATTCACCCCGTCAGTCAATTCATCGGGTTATCAATGAGTTCGATTACGGATTGCCCCCACATGTGTGACATGTCATTTTGACTTTTTCGCTCTCAGCGCTGTCGTAGAGCCCAAACTTCCAGCCTCGAGCTCTCGAACGTGAAGGCCGTCAATGAGACATACAGCTGCGACAGCCTTTCGACTGGTGTGAGTACCCAACGCTCTGGAGTTTCGGGAGTCTTCCATTCAGTCGTCAAACCCTCCATCTCTCGTTCGCGTGGTGCATAAGTTTTTTCACCTGCGGCCCTATCTCTTAGGCTTTGTCAAACTTGACTCAAACCCCACAGTCTCAATGGTGCAAAGCTCACGGCAACCAGTTTTTCTTCTCATCAGGACCGCTCGTGAAGTTTTTGATGCATATGTATCTTCTTCGGGCTCTCCTGCTCCTCCCCAGCGCCCGTTAGGAATACACCAGCCCTTGTTCTTTCTCCAAGTGACCTTCCGAATCCCGATCGCGTTTGGCAAAATCTTTTTTCTCTTCTTCCTGTCGTACGCACCCTAACGACGGATAGGCAAACCCAAATGGCAGCCAGAGCCCTTCGAGCCCATTGTCAAGATTTCAGTCATCTGCTCGTGGAGCCCCTGCCCATACGTCTCCAGCTCAAATACTCTCCATTCTCCACTTAAGCGAGGTGGGCGCGAGAGACACTAAAAACAATAGGAACAAGCAGTCCTCCTCTTCCGCTCCGGAGAGGTGGCCCGGAGCGGTATCTTTCCCCTCTCGGGCACCTAATTAGCTTCCGTAAGTGTCCAGGACAATGTACTGTGCCATCCGCGGGTGCTTACTCTATTCCAATAGTGGCAATGTGATGGTCCTGGTCCGTCCATGGGTCGAGAGACCTTCAATCATTCGCGGTACTTTTACACGGAAACGGAAGCAAACTTGTGGTTTGTACACAATTTGGACAACTACACATCTATCGGTGTATGCGGTTTCACGGGGTTAAACAAACTAGTACACAAGGCACACGACTTCTCCATCCAATGCGGGGTATTCACCTAGCTGGAATCGACGCCCATGAAACTCGTCAAGCAGCATCAATTATGGTCGTACGCGTGACGCTGCGTTTCTTCAGGTCGCCGCCACTCACAGCGCATCCAAAGTCGTCATGCGAGGGCAACCTGCATCCACCCGCGAGCTCCTCCGAGGACTCTGTCAGGGTCTGGAAGTCCCTATGTATTTCCGGCGAAATTGTGACGTGCTTGATCCCATATTCCTCGAAACAATGCTGGAGGTAGCGCTCTGTTCTCTCCCATTGTTCAAGGGAAGTTCCGAGCGGAACGCAGACGTGCAGAGAGCCCAGAATAACTCTACAATGCAAGAATGAATCGGACAAGATCGAAATATTGCTAGAATTCGAGCTGTCGTGCCAGAACTGGGGGACGGACTCACGATTGGGACAAATGCCAGACATGGAGATCGTGCACGGAAAGGACATCGGGTATCTGGGGTGCACGTATGCCCTTCAGAAAAACACAGGAAGAGGTGCGAAAATGCGAGTAAAACGGCATACCGAGAGGAGGTCCTCTTTCACCTTGGAAAGATCGAGATGAATAGGAGAAGCTTCCAAGAGGATCCTACCTGACTTCAGCGCTATATGGATGGTGTGGAATTAGGGTATGTTCTACCGGAAAGTTCTGAACTTTGGAGTACTGACTCATCGGTATAGAACTCCCGAAAATTATGAGGCTTATGGCCAGAGATACAGCTGGGTCGGCATAAAAACGTTTTGGGGAGCTGAGCTGCATCAGGATTATGGCAGCGATTATTACGCCAACGTCTGGATGTCAAAAAGAAAGTGTGAGCAGCTGTACGCCTAAAGATTTGGAGGGTGCCGTACTATTAACAGCGTCGCCGAAGAGGTGAAGCAATACTCCAACTAGGCCGAGATTATGCTGCGGTGCACTGACGGGAGGGTCTATTCTATGGTTGTGCTGTGCATGCTACGTCGCGTGCTTTAGCAGAGGTCCAACGGTCAGGAACTGAGGAGTCTTCTCACAATAATATCTCGCTGAGAATTGACCTCGTTTTCCAAAGATTCCGCTTGGAAGGTCGGGTTATGCGCATGTCCGTGGTGATCTAGGCCAAAAATAAGTTCGAGTTCAACCGCTCAGCAATTTCACTTCATAACAATCCTTGTAATTCTCACCATGAATGACAATTGCGCTCACGACATTCAGTCCTAGCCCGATGCACCCAATAATGAGAATGAGTTTTGGGGTGCTGACTTCTTCCACATGAACGAAGCGTTCGATGGACTGAAGGAATATGGACAGTGCCAGGGCCAAAAGGAAAACGCCGTTGAAAAAGGCACCTATAGATGTCTCAATCAACGGATGGTGCACCTCATAAAGTTTAAACTTTCATACCGACGAGCTCGGCGCGATGAAAGGCATACGTGAACCTATTGGTCTGGACGAGCACGCGGTCAACCACCCAGAACCCATGTGCCCCTGCTACGCATCACAACTTACATGCTGGCCGCGTTCATGCAACTGGATTTGATACGTCGTCGAGAAACGTGTAAATTGTTGACGCTTGGGTTAGATGAAATGCGTTACTTACGTACGCGGCGACAAAAGCGATGGCACTGGTTTGCGATAATGAATACGCGAGTTCGAAAGACAGAAATCACGAGCCTCACTATGCCACAATGTCCTATGCCATCGACGTTTGAATTGAGATGAAGTGTTTCGAAGATAGAGCGTCCTCACATTTAGATAATGAAACTGTCGGAGAACCTCGTGGATCAGTGGGAGGATATCGCGAAAATGGATCAAGATAGACGAACAGCATCTGCAATCAACGCGAGACTCTTCGTCTTGAAACCAACTGGAATCAAGGATAAATAAAGCGTCATGATCAGTTCCACACGAAAGGCCGTACTGGCTATCTCAGCCGCAAAGAATGCGAGGCTGATCAGGAGAACCACCCCTATCCGAGTTGTATTCTTCATCGCTCCGGGTCAATCAGAGGATTGATAGATGAGGCACCAGGAGAAAGTAAGGGAAGATGGCAGTGGGATTGAGAGGGTGTATCGTGTGTGTGGGTAGGGAACAAGAAGCAATGGGCACGTTGAGGTTCCAGGCTGTTTGTGTGCACTGCGCTGGCGGTAGTGACTCTTTAATTATCCCCTTTCAATGTCGTACGTTCGGCTGTAAGTGGACACGGCCGAAAGAGAGCTGCACGTTCGTTTCTTGGAAGCTTACGCACATGGTATTCCTGGACGACCTTCGAGGTTTCTTTCAACGCTCAGTGATCGGGATTAGTCAGACAACCTCGCTTGCGAATTGCTTGGCAGTCCAAGCTAGAGAACGCTAGGTTTGGGCACTTCTCTGAATTATGACAGAAAGGCGCATCCACGGTCGACGGAGAAAGGACGTGAGCGACGAGTCTGACGAACACATACTCACTGTCTAAGTATGCCAATACAAAGCATTGGATTCAGAATTATGCTCCAACTTAAACGCTATCGAATTTGCAAGCAAATGTGTGTTGAATATTAATTGTAGCAACTATTGCTTTGTACGTTTGCCCTTTTTGTACTCCGAAAGCTCAGATTTACGCTTCTTCTGGCCCCCGGTAAGTGTCTTCTCGGACTCGATAATCGGGTGTTTGATTCGACCGTCGTCTGTGGTAGACGACCATTCTTCGTTCTTGAGTGCCTCTGTCAACGTAGTCATCATCCAGTCATGAGACTCCAACCTGTCCAACCATTCGTTAGCTGCCTTGGGATCGTGTGTCTTTAGGAACCTATAGCTGTCCGACTCGTAGCGACCGCCGAATTCTAGCCATAGTGTCACCAGGAGCTTGGTGAAGACGGGTTGCTCGAGCTTGATGTCATGTATCGCTGAAGTTCCCATCATCATGTATTTGTATTTTTCGACGCCACCAGCAACGTCAAAGGCACGTAAGAGGGACGTGCGAAATTTTATGTCCATATCATTTGGCGCATATTTCGCCGCGATCCACACGAGAACGTGAAGGAAGGATTCGAGGTCATCAATAATTTTGTGGAAGTTTTGCTTCGCCCAGGATAGTTGAATTGAAATGAACTGCCTGGTCCCCTATCAACTGACGTCAGATAAAATAGGGCCATGAAAGGCTCCATACTCACCGTGCGTTCAAATATCCTAGCTCCGTTTTCATCTATGTGTTTGGCAAATTCCCAATCAATCAGGATACCACCTCCTTCTACAATGATGATGTTTCCTGCTGAGATGTCCCGATGAAGGATGCGAGCTTTGGTGGCAGCCTCATAATGAGCTTCGGTGGCAGTAAGTCGGTGCAAACATAATGAAAAAAAGCAACTTACCAACCATAGCACAATAAAGAGCGTTGACCATCTCCCAGGTGGAATCAAAATGAGCGAGGGGGCCGCCAACCGTATCGAGGACAAGGCGATAATGCACATGCACGCGGTGTTCGAGTGGCCTGGGCCAGATGTCCAGCGTGTCCCCGCAGACGTAGTTGGAGCCGACGACATCTCCTGCTGCTACAAGACCTGCAATATGGGACACATTGTGCTCGTGTAGCTTGCGATAGGTGTCACCCTCCTTGGGATAATCCCGCAACCTCCAGGTGTCCTTGAGCAAGACAAGTTCGCCCGTCTGACAATCGTATGCTGTGAAGCAGCGTGTACCGCGACCCAAGGGATTGAAGTGGTTCTCCGTAAATGGCTCGCTCACTATGTAGTAGCTGGTGGCGTTGGTACCATCATCGACTACGGAAACTTTGAAGAGGGGGTCGGTATCCAACACGTTAATGGCGCGGCGGGCTCGTGTGGCTTCAAGGTCCTCCATGGTGATAGGGAGAGAAAGTTGGATCTACGCCACGGGTTGTGTCATCTGCGTGCGAAAACCGCCAGAAGAACGTTGCTAGCCAGTTTTCCTTCGTATAATCGAATGCATCAGTGACCACCGTGCAGCTTTTAGACCAGTGCATGAGTCGACAGCGCGATTTGTTGATGAAAATTGTGAGTGTATGCGTCCGGGACTGCAAGGCCTGTATCGCGTTGGCATAAACGGTGAGCTGGCCGCGAGTGTCCCGGGCACTTGAGGTGTCTACTTCGAATTCTTCGTTTTTCTTCAGGGTAAAAGGTTCGTCTTCGTAATTGTTCTTCACTTCGATGCAGGTAGACATGAGGTGAGCTTGGGTAATGCAAGAATCGGCTACAGGCACGCATTCGTTCTTGTAACAGGAGATGTCTGGCTTGATGCGCCTCCCTGAAAAGACACCAGAGTCGGGATCTTCGACCCCAGATGTGTTGAGAAGTTCGATGCCTTGACAGAAAGGAAGAAGAGCCGTAATCTACGCTCGTTAAGCAGAAGGCTCGACAAACAACACGGAATAGACGCACCAAAGGTTCATACATCTCCAGCTCTTTGGACTGACTTGCAACGCGCTGGAAGGCTGCATAGTCGACTTGTGGCATGGCAGGGGTGGCCGCTGATGTCGGGAGATAACGATCAAGAAAGACTTCAGGTGAGACGGGTCCCACAAATTTTCCTTTCATTTCTACAGCCGCTTGCACGAAAACAGGATCATTTTCGAGAGCAGTGGAGGTAAACGGTGTTGTTGATGATAGGCGGTCGTGGTGTGGGGTTCCTGGGGCGGGCGTTTTGCCAGGCTTGGGCGTTTTTGGTGGGCGGCCATAAAAATTGGACGGCGGAACAGTAGCATCTGAGTCTGCCATGAGGAAGTTGGCGACAAAAGTGGGAGGATGGTGACAGCTGCTGGTCAGAGAGTTTGGAAAGGGTCCTGTATTTGGAAGCAAAGTCCTTCAAACCTCGGCATCTCGGATCAGATTTGAATTCCCGCGCTTGGTGATATGCAGGCACTCAGTAATGCACTTGTATGTACATGTGTGCACTTGCAAAAAACCTCCCTCGCATTCCAACCCCTGCGCACATGCAATTCTTTTCTGAGATTTTCAGGGAGCACATATATTTCTCACGGCTATTCATATCTGTTACCGACCTCTTCGCGAGATGCCCACCGCCTTCCTCCTCAACGCATCCCTGCCATTCCTTTGTCCATGATATAGTTGTCAGTATCTTCTCTCTTTTTATTGTACTCAGTGTGACCAAAATTCAGCAGACCTTGCAAAACATATGGAGACATCTCTCGTTTATGGCGCCGTCATTCTGGTTTCAGGAGGTCTAATCTTGGTGAGTTGCCTCTTATCCAAAAGACGTACCATAGGATGATACCCTCTCATCCTTGTTCTTCGAGTTGTGGGTTATCTCCCTGAGATACACGCTGCAACAAAGACGAAATCTCTGGGTCGGTGTGCCAGCAGCGCACCCTGGACTGAACTCGTGTTTTCTTTTTTAACCAACGGGCCAGTGAAAGTTAGCTAATATCTCTCTCTCAGCTGTATGCAGCCCTAGTATTCTGGTCGCCGCCGCCGATTGTCACCCATGAATCCGAGAAGAAATATCTCTCCAGCCGCTCTCCGACCAAACCACTTCCACTGACACGTCTCTCGGACCCAAGGACACACGACTTGACTATTGTCGTGCCAGCTTACAATGAGACGGAACGCCTTCCAGCAATGATGGATGTGACGATTAAGCATCTGACCTCAGCCGGTCTGAGAGGCAAACGCACGTTCGAAATAATCGTCGTCGACGATGGTTCGAGTGACGGCACGTCCGCCATGGCGTTGAAGTTGGCAAAGCAGTACAAGGATTCCGATGTCAAAGTCGTTACTCTGGAAAAGAACATCGGGAAGGGTGGCGCGGTCAGGCATGGAATGTTATTCGCTGGAGGAGAGAGGCTGCTTATGGCGGATGCGGACGGTGCAAGCCGGATTGAGGACCTCGAAGAGCTGTGGAAGACAATGGACATTATTGCTCCGAACAACGCTTCTGGAGTTGTCGTTGGGAGCAGGGCCCACCTTGTCAAGTCAGAGGCTGTTGTAAAGGTGCGAGATGATTATTTTGGTGGGCATCAGTTCTCAACCTATTTCCCTAGCGGTCCTTCCTCCGCAATGTCCTTATGTACGGATTACACACCATCCTCCGCATTGTTGGCGTGGGCCATATCCGGGATACTCAATGTGGCTTCAAGCTCTTTTCCCGTTCGGCTGCCCAACAAATGTTCCCTGCTCAGCACCTCCCAACTTGGATATTCGATGTCGAGCTTTTGCTGCTGGCGAAGCAGCTCTCAATACCCGTCGCAGAAGTTGCTATCGAGTGGCATGAGGTGGCTGGGAGCAAGCTCAATGTCGTCACTGCGTCTGTGCAGATGCTGAGGGATCTCCTGATTGTTCGAGCGAATCATCTTCTTGGGAGGTGGACCGCTATGCCTCCAAAATCAAAAACGGAGTGAGGCATTTGTGTCGGTACATAGACTAATTATTATTTTCTATTGGATTCTCTGATTTCTCTGAAGATGATCTAGGCTGGTAATACTCTTTGTAGGGGTAATTATGCCCTGAGATTGGTCGCATATAATGTCTCTGAGCGTGCAAGAAGAAGTCTTCGGGACCATTTCCCCTCCAATCTGCCGACACTTTTTGACACTAAGAACCCGTGAGGCGCCGATGACTAGCATGGCGGTGGTTCGGGTCGCACGAGTTGGTACCTTCTGCCGCAACTTTAACCAAGTGACAGCTCTCGATATCCCTGGGTGCTCGGCCCCGGACCCTGGTATCCTTCAATGCTGCGGTCTTTGCATTGACGGTTGAGATATTGCTCCACCGTGTCGGGAGTGCGAAGAGTTTGAAATTCCCTCCGAGGACTGGTAATATGGGATGTGCTGCCGACCTTGTGCATGAATTCATTCCCTCACGCAGGCCCAAGAAAGTGGTGAAAAAAATTGTTGGTATTGATATTGATAGGAAAGTAAGTACGGTGCCTTAACTAATCTTGCTATATATGATGTCCATTTCCACCTCGAACATATGCACGGAAGAGAGTTGGTATGGTGACAACTCAACAATAGTTAACTGGTGCTCTCCACACCCCAAGCACCAGCCTCTTGAAGCTGAGTGTTAACCTCTTAAAGCTTGACCCCAAGACAAAACTTGGTTCTAGTAGCTAGAAGATGTCAAATTTATTGGAGTGCATGACCAATAGACATAATATTCAGAAACAACTACTACACCTTAGAATCCACATCCATACTATTATCTTCAGGATGCTCATTGTCATCCAATACCTCTTCATCCAAGAGTGAAACCAGCGTGATACCCTCGAGAGTATAATTCTCAAAATGTTCCTTCTCAGTGCACATTGCCGGAGCCATCCTTTGTTGCTCACATACACATTGTCGCTCTATTTCTGGGTCTAGACCCAAATGTGTTGAATAGGCCCTGTGGATGATCTGTGACTGGTTGAGTAGCTCTGCAAAGGTTTCTTCTTCTTTCCCAGGAGCAATAACACCAAATGTCTTTGAAGAGGCACCCGCACACCAGATGTCATAACAAGTAAACCAGTCACCCTTTAAGTGGCAACTACATCAGCAAAACCTGATTTTTCCGTGGGTGCTACATGGTGCTACACGGTGCTCCATAGGTTGATGTAATCGACTGCTGTTGCTATGCAGAAGAGAACCCTTACTATGGCTCTATGGAGTGCTGTGTAGCATTGTGCAGCTCTGCATAGATGCCCAATTTCGATGTTTTTGGCCTCAAAAAATCAGGGTTTGCTGATGTAGACCTTCGCAGTGGAGGGGAGTGACAAACAATAGCATGTGATGACAATGCAAGTGCAAAAACCATGCGGATCACAGGAGGGGGGTCTTCAATGTCAGCTGAAAAAAGGCCAATGGAGAATGGATTCATACCCGCAAAGGTGGGGGACTTGATCTTTGCAGAAAATTGTACGTTGTTCTTGATTTGAAATAGCACTGCAGACACATTGTTTTTGCAGAGCACTTTGCCACGCACAAAAGGTATGAGAATGTCAACTCCTGCCTGATTAATAGCACAGACAATGGCAGCACCACAGGTGAAGACTCGCCAGAGGTACTCTTGGTTGATTAAACTGTAGTCCTCAACCTTTATGAAGTGGTTAAACCAAACATGGCAATTTTTGAAGGCATCCTCGAGCACTATGTTGGAGTCTTTGGTGTGATACTCAAAAGGGTATTGCTGTCACCATTCTGTGCTTTGGTTGGGTAGCAATGCGGCAAGAAACTCAACCACTGTGACGATGTGCTGAGATCCATCTTTTTCATTACAACCCTGTTTCTGTGAACAGGCCTTGTCTTGGGCAAGCAGGAGGAGTAACTCTGCAACAAGTTCCCCACGCAATCCAGTATTGAGATATGAGGACTTCAAATGGTCCAAGAGTGTCTCAGCCATATCCAACTTGAGGTCTTTCATGGTCTTGTATGCGGCCTCAGCCAAAAGTGGCTCAGAAGGGCCAATGGTCTCCATGTTCTGAAAACCAGGAGAAGCGTAGAGACAGAGACGCATATGGCGTTCCACCTGGGTCCGTTCCATCTCATGATCGAGCCATGCTATTGCCTTGAACTCCAGGCTAAGTTGAACAGCCAGACATGCAAGCTTTGCTGCTGCTTCCAGTGGTGTTATAGGTTTTCCACACAGAAGCTTCTCTTGAGCAAAGCTAATGATGTCTTTCTTGACTACATCATCTCCTTTGTCATAATGTGAACCAAACCTAAGATAAAGATAAGAGGAGAAAGGATGATATAATAGAAAACATACAAGAGGCACCCAAGATGAGTTATATGGTCAATACTTGCCAATTTGTCAATAGTGCAAGTACCATCTGCAGATACAGGCTTCACAAGTGTGTCAAAGCCTACCTCAACGATGGGTGGAAAATACTCCAATACCAGGTTGCTGATCCTACTTGATGCCTCTTGCTTCGAATCCGGGGTGAATTGATGGAATTTGCCAGCAGGACACAGAAAGAGGGAGAAAATGGGGGAATTAATCATCAGATGCAGTCCTCGCCGCAGCTCAGAGAAGTGTGTCCAGTTGGGGTCGGGATTGGTGGGAATTGGCAAATGTGTAAGAATATCTGACTCATCAAAGCAGAGGATGACAAAAGGTGATTCCTTCTCATCAGGTGGACATTCCATATAACGTGGATTGAGAAACATGGTTAAGTCCTTCGCTGCTTTTGTAACAGCAGGTTCTTCTGAAACCTCTGGATTATTCCATGCAAATAGTTTCTGTAGCATCAGAACATACCAACCTCACTTCCTCCTGAACTATCCTCTTGGGAAATGATGTAGCCTATGGGTGGGCTCGAGGAATTCTTTGTGAAATCAAGGCTAGTGTGCATGAACTATGGAGAGGATTATAGAAAAGTACTGAAGGGGGAATAGCAAAGCACCTACTGCATCAGCATCACATATCACCTTGGTATAGAAGTCTCTATGGTATTTGCTGTGACCATGAAATGACATGCCATCAGTCATTTTTTCCCTGAACATTGATGCGAAATGCGCCAGCCTAGTGTCAACACTGACAAAATCTCCTGGTGCTTTTATCGCAGTTGAGACAGGGGATGTCGGAGCACAGCTTAGGCAACATACCTGGGAGCAATACAAGATGTTCTTTTGTCTGCTTTAATGTGCTGTAGAGAAACACTTGGCATCGTCATTCACAATTGACTCTTGTATTTGTCCCAGTTGTTAACCAGTTGCAAACCTCTGTATCCTCAGGAGAGAATCCTTTGTAGATGTCAAATGAAAGGGAGGAAGAGATCCGAAGCGACCGTACCCTGATTGGTCCCACTGAGGTTAATGGGAATGTAGAGTATTTGCTTCGTGAGTTCATTGTTCATGCGTGACTTGCCTGTACCAGAAGACTGAGCCAGAGTGGCATACCGAGCGTAGTACTTCGAGGAATCACGAGACATATAGCTCTTCAAAATTCCATGCAAAGTCTGCGCTGATCGACCCTTGTAGTCTCCTTGCCAGGACTTTTGTGTTGCTGGTGGCAAGTTATGTTTCGACTCATTGACAGAACGATAAGAGCACACCTATCATGGCTGCAGCGTCTGGCAAAGTTTGTCGGGAAGTGGCGTAGGCCTCGTCAGGCTGATCATTAGATGTTCTGCATGCTGGTATGATAATTCAGGTCGAGATAGTTAATGCGGGAGCTACTCACAGAATTCACGAACAGCCCGATATTTCTTCTTCTCCCATGCATCCTTCAGTAACTCTTTCAACTCGGGGTGATATTCCAGTGATCCGAGTCTGAGTACGTCGCATTGAATCTTGCCTGCGCTCACTCCACCAATAAGGGCAAGGAGACCAATAGTGGGCCCCATGTCACCTGAGAAGGCGTTTATCGTCTCATCTTCCATCTCGTGCATTTTGTCAGTATACCCTCAGATCTTGGAGAGCGGGGGCTGACTCGGAAGGCTAGTCACGGATGCTGAACGTTTGTGGGGAAGCTGATGAGAGTCCATAGCAGGTTGAAGATGGAAGACGGAAATTGGAAGTTGAAGCCGTTCATTACATAACGGATATCGGACTCGTCCAAGACTAGTTCCCACAATCAAGGACTGCACATTGGTGTCCTCCACACACGCCGCTCCTCGTCCATTTATGCACCTGGCGCTCTTGATAGACGAACTATTGCTTCAAATATTCTCTTTCTGCTTGGAATATGACCGGCCCTCTCTTGTAGCCGCGGCGCTCACCTGCAGAGCATGGAAGGACCCTGCTCTTGACCTCGTTTGGGATTGCCTTCTGTCTGTCGAGCCCTTGCTTCGTCTTCTGCCAGGCATTTCCGGGATAGAAAACGTATGTGTGAGTTCTTCATTGACATATTGACAAACTAATCCTGAGTTGTCCCAAGATTTCGGCCAGTGAGTCGTCCAGCAATGCCTCCGTCGCGTTCAGTTCATACGCTCGCCGTGTCAAATACATCAGCCATCGTCAAGAAGCCAATAACCATCATGTCATAGTACCTGTGACGTATCCACTCTTTTCTGCCCTCAAACTCGCCCTTCCTAACCTTAGGACCGCTCATATATCCTTCCGTCGTTGCAACACTTCCTTCTTACCCTTATACCTCTCGCCTGCCCTCTGCAATCTAGAAGTTGATTTGGGTTTCGGAAAATCTTACATCGACTTGGATAGCATGCTCTGCGACTACCTCGAAAAGACTAATTTGTTGCCCATCAAACTCGAGCGTATTAGTCTTCGCGGACTCGCCTCAGAACGCCTTAACCGAGCTATCTCCTCTTTCCACCACCTCCGCTTCATCTCTCTCAAACTGGGGCGGTCGTTACTCCCGCAAACCGTGAAAGAAATCACAACATTCTCTTCACTCCTAGAATTAGAGATCCACGCTGGACACATAGACCCTGACGATCTAGAAGATACCCATAGACATGCAAGCATCTTCAAATCCCTTCGCAAGTTGCAAATTAGAGCCAAGGCATCCTTCATAGAACACGTTTTTTGCCATTTAGAGCAAGATACCCTCAATCATCTGCATATAGAATTAGACGACCATTCACCATCTTCTATATCCTGGAACAACATATTCCGACTCATCTGCGACAAAGCATCTAATACGCTTCACCATCTTTCCCTCGAGCACCATTTCGAGCTGCCGGAGATGACCCCTTCCTCTTCTGCATCACCTGGAACTTCTCTATATCTCAACCCAAATAATACACCCAACCAGGTTTCCCCCGCGCTACCGTTCTCGACGATGGCGGACCTCAGGTGTCTCAAACACGTCAAGCACTTCGCCTATGACACGACAGTCCCGCCTATCATCTACGACAATGACATCAAGAAGCTCCTTTCTTGGTGGCCAAACCTAGAGCACTTTGAGCTTGGGTCCGTACCTCAAACAGAGGAAGGTGGTCTATTGCCACCCTTCCACATGATGATGGCTGCGCTGACCACCTTCGCCGCCAAGGCGCCAAAGCTCCAAAAACTTGTTCTTCCTCTGCCTGTGGACAGCGTGGAAGGAGAACCGGACGGAAAATTCTCCGTGGCCAAGTCGACCAGTCCATTGATGAGTTTGACTGTCGCCCAGCTTGAAACTTCGAAACCCTCCAACCTTGCCGCCTACCTACATTGTTTGTTTCCTGCCTTACGAAATCTAGATGGACCTTGTGACAACAATGTGGCTTGGACAGAGACTCGAGCAACTCTGTATGCTCTTGCCTAACAATTTATTCTCAGAACTGGATGTAGTATTCACAACGTCAATCTTATTATTTGCATACGCTCTAGAACATACACGATCCATATGTCCTCTCCCTAGATCGTGCTGTAAAGTTTCATAAACGAAATGAATGTGCTGAAACCACATTCCGTCCTTCAGCAGCTCGAAATTTTAATCGGAGATGGTGCAGGATGGGACACCGAGTCTCTCATGCTCGGTGCCGTCCTGGCTCAGTATATTCACAAGCTGTTCCCAAATGCCTGTATCAAATTTGACATGAAGGGCGATTGGTGGGAAAGTGTGGAACACTCTTTGAGGATCGTTTGGTTAGCACTTTTCTTTATGTAGTCATTAGATGCAGATTAGTCACATTGCCTGCATAGCGTAGATTGTGGGCGAGACACGGGAGTGCCTTCCAGCCCATCGTGGGGACCTTTTCTGAGACGAGTGGAGACACCCAGCCGAAGTAGGAATGCGTGGTCATGACGCGCTGAGCGAGTCTCAGTCGGTCCCCATCAGAAGAAGGAGTGAGCACGGGTTCCGGGTAATTTCAGCGCTCTGTCCTTTGGACTTCTGCTCATGGATGCCTTAGTAGACTAAGCCCAAATTGAATGGAGTGCTCTTCCTATTGTCGCTAAGGATTCGATGAGACTGGATTGTTGTAGGCCCCCCACCGGGACATATGAGTTGCACACGAGCCATCTAGAAACACGCGTAATTTTGACTCAGAGGCCTTAGCGCCCGTGCTGGCTTTGAAACTGTTGCGCATTCGAACTCAGCTGTCTCATGAATTTTCCGAGCTGTGGTTGAGATTTGTTATTTGTCGTATCATCGCTGCTTCCAGGTAATTTCCTTTGCTGTGTAGTCGGTGCATCTGTGGCCAGGACCCGCAGGACTGCATTGTCTACGCCAGCTGTGCGCTATTTATGGTAGGGACCCCGGGTCAGGAAGTGTGCCAAACATAGCTTCCCTCCATTCCCAAGTTGTAGAAGTAAATTTTGGGAGGTAGTTGGGTCAGGTCCTTTCCAATTTTTGTACTTGGACCCATTATTTGTCTTCTGCATGAAGCCAGGCTTCCCAGGCCCAGAAGTGAATATAAATGGCTAGTTTGGTTGCATGGTCCTCTTTGCCCCAGTGCTCCAATGGGGAATAAGAGCTTACCACTCATTTTGTCCAAGAAAAGGCATCTTGCCAAGGATTTATATCACAATGGGAACAAGGATAACCTTGAGCTTAGTGTCATAGATGTAAGCCAGCCGTGCAATGCACTTTCTTAGCATGAAGGGGCTGAGGGCTCAGCTGCTGGAAAAAATTGCCACGAATGCAGGGCAATTATTATTGTCCAATAATTGAAGGAAGATACAACAGCCCCTAGTTTGGCTTTGAAACTGCGACGAAGCAAGGAGTAGTGAAAATACTGCAACTTGTATTGGAGTCAGCAATTTATACCTTCTGCTGTTCACGAAGATCAGTTGTGTTCCTTATTTTCTCAAAAGGAGGGAGGGGCACAAGATGAGTAGTTAATACCTGTGAGCTGTGAATTATGTAGTTGGATAGCGAGTAGCCAGCCTAAAATTAAACAGTGCTAGAATTATAATGGGGTTGTAAACCAGTAGCGCTGAAAACTCTCAGCTGCGTCTGAAATATTTGTGGAAAGTACGTGTAGTTCAGCCATAAATCGTACTAATGTGCGCAGATTATTACGGAGAAATCTTAGTGTTGAAATATGGTCTTACACACCCGTGGTGTGCCCCAAAATACGAGTGCATGGAGTGAATTGACAAGCCCAGCAGTTTTAGAATGTAGCTTGAGGGAGCAGTGAGTTTTAATAACTCCTCATTGGGCGCTTTGGACATTTAGTTAAATAGCGCCCAATGACAATGATTATTCATGCAGTTGGCATCTTGCACTCGCCTACCATGTCTCTTTTTGAGCGCTTCATCGAGATAGGAATTCCGACAGTTTGCGGTGAAAATTCGAGACATGGTACCAATGGCTTGACCTCAATCTGTTGATAGTCTTGTATATAGAGCCCAGGAGGCACCGACACACCATAGCATGTTTCTGCATTAAATGCTCGGGGCCACGGCAACAACCCTAACAGAATGGATGACCTCAATAGCCGTTCATGAAGTACATAGCCAGTGCTTATTTGCGAAGCAAGACCATCTCCTTAGGAGCTTAAATGTGTTGTCTGGTTTTGAGAGATTCTATTACAATTTACTAGCAATTTTGCTCCTGCTTTCTAGAAAATTACCATTTCCCATGTCAGGCCTTGCAGCACCTGAGGGTTCTGACGGTCGTCATGTCAGGTCACTTTCAGGGCCTATTAGCACTGGTAGGTCGACATATTTTATGGCTGTCATATCACAATTACGTGCATGATGGAAGACGCTTCACGGCGTTCGCGTCGCTGAGAGACTTCCAGAGGTCTTTCAAAAATCTTGCAGAGCTTGTGACTAGGTTCAGCGTTTGCCATTCAGCCTAGTTGAAACCGTCACTGCAGTTTAGCTTTCCTCTATTCAGGTTCTTAAAGGTTGGCCCAGATTTTGCTCGAGATGCTCAGCTCCAGCACAGGCAGAATACAAAGTCATCACTGGAAGGGCGAAGATGCCCTAGTTAACTTTTCGCCTCGTCGCAATGCCTCGTGTCATTCACTGGCTAAAACAGCAAGGACCACATTTCGTTGAAGGAATTCCTCATACAATGCACCTGTTTTCAGAAGAGTACTCAGGCTCTTATCGAGCAGCTTTTCGATAGACTCGAGCCTGGAACCAGGTTTCAAAGGGCATCACCAGAGCTTAATAACTCCAGCATGTTGTGGGAAGTGGCACGAGGGGTGTGGCGATATGGTACTGCGCGCTTATGCGCTTACAAGTCGGCGCGAGCAGTTTCCGACTTCAGAAATGCGACTACAGCAGTGGGCGCTAAATTAGTTCATGCTCGGTGTTGTCCGCCATGGTATGTTTTCGGCTTACGGTTTGGTACAGTGCTAAGCCGCGGCCATAACTATGGCGTGGAGGGCCCCAAGCCGCAAAAATACGCCGCATCTCTTTGGCTGATTAGTATTACGGTTTGGCACTGTGACCTCCTGGTTACTGCTGTATTCCAGGACGCTAAGCCCAGAAGAGTCTTGCAGCAGCCTTACCCTTGGGTGTCGTGGCATGGTCTCAATCCACCTTGAATACCGTGTTAGATATGACCGGATCATTCTTTCATATCGCGGGGTCGGTAGCATTCGCAGTAAGTGCTCGTATATGCAAGGAAAGATTGTCAACATTATTAGTGCGTCAATTCATTGCTTATATATGGAATAAACACATACCATGACTACCCTCACATCTTCATTACTGAAAAGTATTTACTTAGAGATGAAGTGTTTGTGTGCTCATACCAACCCAGACGGCAGGTCCAGAACTTGGCTGGCATGAGGGATCAATCTAGTAGCAGATTTTGAGTTGGGAAGATAATGCGAGACAAAAGCTTCATGAGGCGTGGAAGCCTAACGAAGTCATACATGTCATTGAGAGTAGCAAATGGCATAATGGTACATGGGCTGAATACTTGTTGGAGGGGTTTTACCGCGTAGCATAGCGAGGTGTAATGTAGAGACAGCTGGGTGACTTACTACGAACATCACGAACCTCCGTAGGTATCACAGGAGATTCAGGCCCGCGCTTGAGCCTTTATTCGGGAGTGAGATACGAGGGACATCCAATCAAACAGCATAGAACATGTTGCAGCCGAAAGGCGGACACAAAAAGGTAGGGAGCACAGCTTAGTGGGACTAGAAGGACAGCCGAATAACAGAAAACAGGCAGCAGAATAGCATGCAAGGAGCCGAGGTGATAGCGAGCCATCAACGATGTTCGTGCGCCAGCGTTAGTGACCATAGCGGGCCGGCAAAGGAATTCGGACATTTGCAGGGGCGGGAGATGTCCCAACATACGGAAGCAGCGCAGCAGGGTGAAGACTTATGAAGTAGCAAAGTATTTGCATACTAGCGGAGTGGCCGACACACAGTAGTGCCGGCAGCCGCCTACGCAGTAGCAGCATCAAATAGCGAGGGATAGCATACTAGCGAGGAGAATAACCAACTCACTGTAGCAGCAGCAGCAGCAGCAGAAGGGTAAAACCCTAAAAAATAGCGAATAGCGGGGACAGCGAACAGCGAGGACAGCGAACAGCGAGGACAGCAAACAGCGAGGACAGCAAACAGCGAGGACCGCAAAGCGGAGTAGATTGATGAACGTATTTTGCGGTCGGAGTTGCACAGATGTAAGTATGTCGATCGGTGGCGAGTCGAAAATTGCGTTGCTGGAAGGGAGTATGTTGCCGAAAAGTAGCTTTCGGGACGAAGGAAAAGGTCGGTCGGTCGGTCAGTCGTAGCGGGGTAGCATTAGTTCGCGACCATCATCGTGAGCATAACTCGGATGGGCAAAGTAGGCAGCACCGGCTGCTGTAGGCGTGGACAGGCGATCGATTAGTTTTGGGACGCTCTCGAGGCCCAGTCGTCACGCGCATTCTGCTCAGGAACCGAACGAGACAGTGTTGATTGCATAGAGGTAGCCAATCACATACCTTTTGCATTGCTTCACAGATATACCACCAGCTCGTATGCTCTCTTTCTTGGCCCTATTCCGTGTACTCGGGGGTTTAGGAGGGTCTTGAGACTCGATTTTTGACAGGGAAGCTGGGCTTCGTGCCAGCTGGAATTCGTAGATGAGATTTTGAAGTGCTCAACGCGGCCGTTGAGGTGCTGCGTTGAGGCTGAGGCGAGCCTTCGAAACGAGATGGTGGTGGCACGAAGCAGAGAGCGTCACGTGCCACCCGCCACTCACTCGAAGACTTAGTTCTATCTGTTCGCTCGTTCCTCGCTTCATTTTAGAACCGCAAATGAAGGATGGTTATCGAGCAGTCAGGTGACGTTAGTGTGACCTACACTGAGCGGCGCTGTGGAATTAGGTTAGGAATTTGGATTGATCTCATGGCTGGGCGAATATTTCTCATCTTCTATGTTCTGCGTTTGCCGGTCGCCCTATGTGGAATGACACACTTATCTACGGTCCTTGAGTTGCATTGACGAATGCCTAAAGTCACCCTTTACCCACCGTTATCTTCGTCCAATCCTAAAAATCCTCAGCCACGGCGTCCTCAGGACCTTGCAATCGTCTCCACGACTAGCTTCGCAGCACAAAGAGCCATCTGGATGTGGGAATGTCGTAAAATATAAAGCATTAATTCTGAGAAACACAATTATACGCTGCTTGAGCTAGAGGTATCAGCGGGTTTTTTGGGAGGCAGTAGACCCTTGCGAATGCTCGGCTTGATCTTCTCGTAGTCAACCTCTTCGCCCTTCTCTCTCAGGGAGCGAATCTCTTCAACAGCGTTGGAGACCATGGTCTCGCGCTGTGCCCTGCGCTCGTTAACAATACGGATGATGTGCGACCTCTTCGTAGCGTATGGCGCGTTAAGCTTGAAGGACGCCTTGCCTTCGCCCATGGTCATGCGTAGGAGCTCTTGCTTGCGCAGGTTACGTGCATGTTGGATGTTGAAATTCTTCTCCAACCACTCTTCCCTCTCCTTCCTCTTCTCGGGCTCCATGTCTTCCAACCTGAGCGGATAGTAGAAGGGGTCGACCAAGCCAACGACGGCTCGCTTGTAGGTTTTGTACGACCGACGTTGGAAACCTTGCGCCGTACGATACCATGGGGAGATATAGTTGTCGGTGCGGATGTACGTAGTCTTGACGCCATAGACGGCTTGCAGCAGCGACCGGACATCGGTCTTCGTGACAGACTGGGGGATACGGAACGTGGCTTCGTAGGGGTTGTATGGCTGCCCAGGTGGGGTGTGGTTCCTCACGAGCCGCATGACAATATTTGGCAGATACACCCTCCGACCGAGGACCTGCGTCGTCGCAGACGCGGACCCTTCCTTGTCCATCCGGCGGAAACCGCGCACACGCGACCGGCGTACGTTCACCTGCTCCAACCACTCCGCCTCTGTGGGCACCTTCCCGTCCTCCGAGCGGAGGAGCCCCTGAGCCTTTAGCCGCGTGTATCGTGCTTGCTCGGTGGGTGTGAGGCCATCCTTGGTGGCGTCAGAGGCGCCTTCGAGGGTCGCACCGAATTGCTTGCGTCGGCGCAGGCGTACAGCGAGCGGGGTGGATGCTGTCCGAGCAACCTTTGCGAGCTCCGGAAGGGGTGGTTGTGTTGCATAAGCGCGTCGAAGCTGTGGACATCGGCGGAGGGCGTGTATGTTCATGATGAGGTATCTGGAAGGCTTCAACTTCAAGTGTCGAAGTCGACGACGAAATTTCCGCTTATGACGCACACGTGATGGAACTTGGATGCTGCATTTGGGAGGTGGACACGGAGGCGCTGCGTACACATCTTCCTTCTAAACCACGAGTATCACCGCATTTCATTCGAATACCACGTCCTATCGTCTCCCTTAGCCTTAGGCTAACAGACAGTCATGGTGTCGTTTTCCTGCTATCGGTTCTTCCGCGGGCTGCGCTCGATGTGCGCGCCGATAATGACCGTCGTCGGGTTCTCTCTCATGCTCACTTATGTCTTCATTCTCTATCAACCATCGCGCGGACCTGGCATTGTCCAACGTATGGGGTGGCAGTCCTGGGAGGTTATTACCATGCCCGAACCGACGAGCCAACGCCCGACTCCTCCGACCAGCGGGACAGAGGTGCCAGAGACGGGAGTGGACTGGTGGAATGTGACGCAGCCGCAGGACAAAGTGGATGCTTCAAGTTTTCCACTGGATGTGTGGTCTCCTCTGCTACCCCATGACACAGGATGTGCGTGGCATGTATCTTTTACCTCTAATAATACATCTGATTCCCAGCATACGGTTAGTCTCTGAGGTTGCGGTGACACACTGCTTCCTCGACCCAGACGTCGGTGGGGACCTATGTGCGCCCCATTCTACGAGCGAACAAGACTCGATCAGAGGGAAATGGGTTCGAATCCCTCGAAATCTGAACCTGGAAGGCGGCTACATGGCGGGATGGGTGGTATGTATAGCTCCCACAAGGGTGGTTTTCGGAGCATTGACGCGAGCACATACAGAATATCTATTACCGTCGAACAAGAAGACAAGATATTGACCTTGTAACTGATATTAAACTCTTCGGTGCGAATGAAGGCCCAGAGTCGTTGGAAGGATGGCACAAGGCAGAAACCTCGCTCAGAGCTGGAATCAGGGGCCTTTCTCCGCTTTTCCTGTGGTACAAGACTGGGAAAAACGCGGGAGATATGACTCCTGAAGAAAAGGCGAATATCATCACCGAGCTGGACATCTTGTATGGCGAGGACATTCCTTGGTATGGCTTCGAGAAGATTGAACCTCCAACAATTGCTCAAGGCAAGAAGGTAGAGGCTACTTGGATAACTTATAGGAGAGGCGTTAAGGGTGCGTTTTCCTGTATTCTTCGTTTCTATCTTTTTTGACATCCCACCAGTACCACCACGCGCTCCACCTTTGCATTTCTCGCACTCCGGAAAGTTCAAAGTCCTGCAAGTCGCAGATCTCCACTACTCGATTGCACAAGGCTTTTGTCGGGACACCCTTCTGAAACCATGCGAACATTCCGACAATCTCACCAATACCATGATTTCTCACGTCATCGACGAAGAAAAACCTGACCTTATAGTCTTTACTGGTGACCAGCTCAATGGTCAAGGCACATCATGGGATCCCAGGTCAGTGCTGGCGAAGTTCGCGCGTGCTGTGACGGACAAGGGTATACCTTGGGCGGCGGTGTTTGGAAATCACGACGAGGATGATGGAATGCGTAAAGAGCAGCAGGTTGCTTTGATGAAAGGGCTACCGTATAGTCTGGTCGAGACCGGGCCTAAGGATGTGCATGGCGTTGGAAATTATCTCCTGAAGGTCCACAGTCCCGATGCGTATGTCCTCTTTGCTTAATTGGGGGATTCATTGGTCTAATTGTCCTGGCACAGGTCAAAGACTCATATCCTAACTCTCTATTTCTTGGACTCCGGCTCGTACTCGAAAGGCTTCTTCGATTGGTTCGGCTTCTTCACGCCCACCGAATACGACTGGATCAGACAAAGTCAAATCGATTGGTTCTTGCAAGAATCCGGTATGCAGTTGCTTCATAGACGCAGTTCATTTCCCTGACCTCTCTCTTGCAGCTACAATAAAGCCCATCGAACGGCCTTTCAGACCAGACACAGGAAAGGACATGGGCTCCATCTGGAACCGCCAGTCAGACCAAGTCATACCCTTCACGAAGAAGCTGGCCAAACCCAACGCCCTCATGTTCTTCCACATACCTCTGTTAGTTCGCATGCCTCTCTTCCCTTCCACTGCTGACCGTAATAAATTAATAATAGGCCTGAGTCCTACGCGAAGCCAGACATCAACCCGCAGACGGGCAAAGCTCTCGATGTTGGAATAAGGGGGCAGGAGCCTGCTGGCAATGCGAAGAAGAGCGACAACTTCTTTGAGAAAGGTCTCCTGACGGCGCTGGAGAGTGAACACGTTGCGAAAGGGAACGCGCCTGAGGTTAAAGTGATTGGGAATGGGCATTGCCATGGTGTGTTGTTTCTGGCTTTGTTCGAAGTGACGCTGACGTTGATCGGTTTTCAGTGACCGAGAACTGTCGCCGTGTAAAGGGTGTCTGGTTGTGTTTCGGTGGCGGAGGGTACGTTCTTTTTTGCATTCATTGTGAATTTCCGATTGACCACCTCGCAGATCCTACTCGGGCTATGGGAAAGTTGGGTTAGTCTTATTTCGTTTGATTTGTAAAACAGTGCTCATGCCTTCTTTTTTAGATTTGACCGCCGATTCCGAATCTACGATATCTCAGACTTTGGAGAGACGATAAGAACATACAAACGCACAGAGAAAGATGAGATCGTGGATGATATGATCCTGGCGGGGAGAGGTGCACCGCCTTTCTCATAGACTTGGAGGCTACTTCCTACCCATATTGTATTATTATCAGCTCGGAACTCGTTAATTTATAGATCGAATAGGGAGTGTAAGTATCTTTGGATCGGTTAGTTGGACATGAACTAGTAACTTTGAAGCGCATGTGAGGCCTCTCGTCGAACTTACTGACAGCATCATATCTTACGATACTTACCTAAATTCGAGACTGATGGGAATGTTGGAACATTCAAGCGGAAGACCCTACCTCAAGGCCTCACGGATGTCACAGCCAGCAAACGGGCTCCTGTCGGCCTCCTCAGTATGTTTTTGTTCAGTGCGCTTTGTCACTTCCAACTCTATGACAATATTGAATTTCGATCAGCCCGAATCTGCGACAACGAGCCTGTTGGTGTCTACGAAGCAGCTGGTGGAGGCTCTGGCAAAATGGGGTCAGTCAAAAATGAGCGAAGAGGCAGTCAGTAACGTCTACGTGCGCATGGGTAACGACTTCAATGCCGTCGTCGTTGTGTCCAGACAGCATGTCGTACGTGCCCTATCTTCCTTTCATTGCCCTCTCTTCAGAACGTGCATGTCTTTCTACTATTATTCAGGGATATGGCATCGATTCCTGACGACTTGCGAATGGTGTTGGAGGAATGTCTCGCTGAAGAAGCCACTCCCGAAAACCTCAGGCTCGAGCTCTATCTACCCAGAGTTCGTGAAGTTATCACCAAACTTCTTCAAGGACTACGAAATAAGCACTGTATCTACCGAAGAATCGCTTCAGAACGCGGAGGTCGGCGGTCGAAGGGCGCCGGTCATGAACAGGCGTAGGTGAATGCCATCCTCACCTCGTGATTCATTGGAAGCGCTCGTGCGATGGTTCCGGCGCCTATTCGAGAGTACGACCATTTGGAGCCGCAGAAGCTCCACACACACAAAAAAAAAAAGGAATCGAATCTTCGTGAAAATGTTGCAGTTCTTGCTTCTAATCCATATAAATTGGACTCATAAGCTGTATTTGGCTGCAGGGGTGCGTCCATAGAAATCATTATTAGCAGGAAGATATTGCTTGGGCCTGCAGTTCTCTGTGTTTATCACTCTACGGCTCTCAAGAGGTTTTCTATATATACCCGGTGCTGCTGCTAGAAAGATCTATTCCGTCGCATGGTATCGTCTTGGCTAAGCCGCTCGAATGAATATTGTTGGCGATCTACATGCGGTTTCATCGTCGTGGGTTCCGAAAGTTGCGGACGTTCATTGCTGTATATTATTCCCCGCATATTTGGCTCGATTTTTGGCCCACATGCACTTCCAATCTTTGGATATCTCATTCGCCAGTTGATCTTGAGGTGATCACTGGCACGAGTCCACCCCTACTTACTTCCCCCTTGACTAAACGGTGAAGACCGGATGTGGCCCCAAAAAAAGCGGGCCAAAAAGTCAACGAGAGGAGTCAGGGATCCTCTGGGATCCTATTCCTCGAGCAGTTTCCAGGGATGAGAGAAAGCTATGTTGCTGAAATGCCGAGGAAACAGCTGCGAGGGTATTCTTCGGATTCCGCGTAGCAGTAGAGCACGTTGGAAACCATAAAAGCCTCTAGGCCCATAGCGAGGAAGAGATTATCGACCATCATGGAGGGGGAGAAGCACCGCGCCGAATGCTCCTTATTGTATTTTTGGAAGAACTGTTTCTCACGGTGGGATATGTGATGAACGGACCCTGACTGCCTTTGAAGCACACCTCAACCTTCTCCGGCTCTACTTCTCGCCTTCCACCCCCAGGCCCGTGGCAACTAGGGATGTCCCGACCACCAAGCTCCTCGCAGTCGAATGGGCACTCTTCCCGTCGCGATAACCAATCAATCTCTTCAAATGCGTCTTCATCAGGCAGGAGTGACCGAACAGCTCGACAGCCCTCAGTACGGTCTTGCGCGTCCGCCTTGGCTTACAATGGACTGACAATCTCCACATCTAGCTCGCGGTTGAATCGGCGGTCACTCGCCTCTTGGTATCGATAAAGCAGCTATTGGAGGCTTTGACACAATGGAGTCAGCTGAGAATGGACGAGGAGGGCGTCAGTAACGTCTATGTGCGGCTAGGGAACGACTTTAATGCAGCTGTGGCTGCATTCGGGCAGTTCAACATCGAAATGTCGTGAGTATAGCACCTTTCTTTCACGAAATCGTTTTCGCCTTTGTTGACCTTATTCAGGGAGCTGCTATCTGTACCAGACGATTTACGAACAGTGCTCGAGCAGTGCCTCGCCGAAGATGCCACGACTGAAAACCTCGAGATATACCTACCAAGCGTCCGGCAAATTATCACGAATCTTCTGCAAGGGCTGCGAGGCAAGCAGTCTATCTACCGGAGAATCGTCTCTGATCACCGAAATCGGTCGGGGGAGGAGCGAACGGAAAGGTCATCGCGCACGAGTGGCTCCTCCCGACATCGCTCGCAAGGATCGAGGGCTCAGGCGAGTGAAGATGGGTCGGAGGCTGGGGGCAGCAGTCGTCGGAGTGTGCAATCGTCTTCTGGACGCCGGAGGGAGCATCTCTCTCAAGCCACTTCTCAGGCGGGCAGCGACTTTGTTGGAGGGTTCGCACCGACGATCATGGAGTACCCGACGGGCCAGAGCGAAGTTGAGCCAGAGCTTCGGAGAACCCACTCGAATGATTTAGTGGAATCCCAACGGAGGACAGATAGGCCGGGTCCTTCATCGCTCTCTCAAACGTCCTCATCTCCCAGTTTCGGCACACCGAGAAATGACTCTCAAGATCTACCTACCCAGTCGCGGAGCGCGACGCCCGCTCCTGAAGATCCTCCCTTACGCCCATCATCACCTCCTCCCGTACCCGTACCAGCTAGTGTCAAACGATATTCTCTAGTGGATAAACCCATGGAAAAGCCCTCCCCAACTCTCACCCCTACTGTCATCGTTGAACCCTCAAGTCCTTACGACCAAAACGGCACGGCATCACCTCCACCTCCAGATACACCGCCCATAGACCCGCCTCCAGCGGTTGCCAAATCCCTGGCTGCTCTCAAGTCTGGCGACGGTATCCTGGAACGGCGCGCTTCGAAGCGGTTCTCGGTGTACAACATCTCGAAGATGACCGGAGCCTCGACCACACGAGAACGCTCTCTAAGAGGTGCGGCAAACCACCCGAACCGACGGTCGCTAGCGGCGAATGGGAACCTCACCGCAGGTGAACTAGCGGTGCTTACGGAGGTAGACGACGAAGATGATGCGGCGGCTCAGGAAGAGAAGAGGATTCCAAGGGCAATTACCCCGGACGCGCCGCCAGTGCCGCCTTTGCCTTCGACACCTTCGCGGACGCCAGAGCCTACGGTGGCTGGACCAGATCGGGCTGCTCCGCCTAGTGGACCGCCTACTGACCCTTCGAAGATTACTATATTCCTGCAGCTCGGCAGAGAGGTGAAGAAGGTCACGGTTGAGCCCGGCATTTCTTTTGCTTCGCTGCGAGTGCTATTCGTAGACAAGTTCTCGTACACGCCTGGGCAGGAGAACTTCCCTGCGATCTATATTCGCGATCCGTCGAGCCATGTGCAGTACGAGCTGGAAGATACGGACGAGGTCAAGGAGAAGTGCTTACTCTCGCTCAATATTGAACGTAAGCACCTTTCACTGACGAAGCTGCGATGGGGTCTAACGCCTTTGTATCACAGCTCTCGATCAAATCAAGCAACACATCGACACTCAAATATCGCACTTGTCGAACGATATCAAGGAACTCAAGCTGGCTGTGGCTAGTGGCAACAGGCCTGCACCTATTGCGGACATCGTCGCCCAGCCCCTTGCTGAAAGCACACCAGCGCCGAATAGACCCAGTGACCGTCAGTTCCAGACTGTCGCTCGACGGCTCTCGCGGTTTATTGGTGACAGCACGCCCTCGTTCATGTCGCAGATGCAACCACCCATGCCCAGTCCCATCCCGCCGCAGGTAACGGGCCAATCACTCCAACCACAAATGACTGGCGCCTCTGTTATGTCGGAATACACGAGTAGGGTGGTGACGGACCTCAAGACGCAGTTTGACGAGGTGCAGAACCTCCGACGCGATCTCGGCATTATGAGGCAGCTCTACACGGAGTTCATGAAGTCGACGAAGGAGTCGCTGGGTGCGCTGCGTACACAAACACAGTCGGTGAAGCAGCTCGCTGACTCGAACGTTGGTGGCGCTCGCGCATACATCGACTCGGGCAAGAAGAAGCTCGACATGCGGAGCCAGAACGTGCTGACCGAAGTGGAGAAGCTGCAGGACATCGTCGAGAGCATGAAGGACGACGTGATCAAGCGGCAGGTGACACCGAACGTGGTGCTGTTCAAGTCGATCAAGCGGGACATGGACTCGGTGGCGACGGAGCTCGCGAGCCTGTCCGAGCACATCAACACGATCAAGCCGATGTGGAAGAAGACGTGGGAGGAGGAGCTGCAGAACATCGTCGAGGAGCAGCAGTTCCTCACACACCAGGAGGAGTTCCTGAGCGACCTGCTAGAGGACCATAAGGCGATGGCGGAGGTGTACGGGCACGTCGAGAAGGTGATCACGCTGCGCAAGCCGAGCGGGGGCGGGGGTGCACCACGTGTGCGCTCGCGCGGGTTCAAGCCGCCCCCGCGCGAGGAGGGCCACGATGGGCTGAGCACGGTGATGCTCGAGATTAGAGGTGCGGCAGTCGACCCGGAGAAGCGGCTCAAGGCGATCGAGGCGAACCAGAAGAACAGGGAGAAGGACCTTGCAGCGCGCTCGGACCACCTTCACTCGGAGCTGCAGGATTTTGTGGGGCATAAGAAGCTGAAGCTGACGGGGGGCGCGGAGGAGGCGGAGCGCGTGAGGCAGAGACGGAACGAGCAGACGCTGAAGGCGATGTTTAGTGGGTCCTAGTCCGACTCATGTCAGACACTGAGGGTGGTTTGGAGCTTGAAGGACGCGAGAGGTATTTTTGTTCACACAATATAGTTTGATCCACATTTTGTTTTCCATAGTTTTCAGTTTATGTGACTGACAGACATTACCTATCGTAGAGCATAATTTTACATCTACAGTGGTCCCAGTGAGATGGTATGTATGTTGATTGGTTACTTTCTAATGTTGAACCTCTAGCTCAGAGGTTAGAGCATGAGAACCTCACGGTGTGCTTTCCGAGCGCCCCGTCGAGGGTCGCTCGGGGGGCGCCAGAGAATCCTCAAGGTCACCCGTTCAATCCGGGTGAGGTTCAATTTTTGCTCATACGCAAAACAATTGAATAGCAAGGATCTTATATGTGTACAGTTCAAATTGAAGCCCTCCAAACGGTCAAAAGATAGCACTCCCAAGTGAGCCTGATTGTCGGTATCATTCTAGCACCTCCTCCGATGGTATAATCTCATTGATTGCTCGAGCTCGAAGCCACCTCACTCTTCGTCAGACTTGACGGGGTCGTACTTGGTAGGCGATCCAGATTTTCCGCCGACAAGAGAACGCAGGGATCTAGCTTTGTTGGTGAGATCTGCGGACAATCTCTTGGACGTTGTGCGGATTCTAGGACAAGATTGATAAGAATGTCGAAAAAAAAGTCGGTAGTGCTGATGAGAATGGACGTCAGGGGGAACCTCGCCTGGGAGACGGACGCGTCCCGGGGTGAGGAGGATGTAGGAGAGGCTGAAGGGCAAGAAGGCCATTCTGCAACCGGCGCGTCTGAGAGTGCTGAGAGGCGAGTACGATGGCAAGAGGCGTCAATATCAGGCAATAAGTGGGTTTATAGACGATGGATGGTGCCACCGAGGAGTAAGCTCAGTGCTCTGTGGCAGAAGAGTGCGGAAGTCAAAGAGGAATTCGAAGCGACGAGGCAAAGCTTATTGTCCCCCGGCAGACGCATTCTCCCAAGCTCGCGCTGCGATGGCACCCACAGAGGCCGCAGGGACGCTGGGAAAACATTCAACATGTCTCCGGACGGACAGGGAACAAAGGCTGTCGTCACGACGCGGGGAAAAGAGACTTGTCCAAAAAAAGATCGATCACTGGCGCACGCTGCAGGCCCAGCTTCAGCGCCAGCCTTGGCATTGTCCAACCCACACACAGACCACCATGCCTCCTCGTCCCTCTGAAAGCTCAGATGCGTCTCTATTCGAGGAGGATTTCACCCTGCCGATATCTCTCGCAACAACGATGCTGAAATCGCACTCTCGCGGCCCACCTACCGTTGCTGAACAGCTCTCCGCACCTCTGGACATTATGCAGTATATCGCGACTCTGCTTACAACAGGCGACCCAGATAGCACTCCTGGTGAGACGAAAGGAAGTCGTGTAGTCGCGGTAACTGGACGCGCCTCTGCAGACAGCATCGAAGCTCTTGCTGTGGCGACCCGGCACCCCTATCCGACCCAAAATTTCCCTGTGATGGACGACATTTCAGACGAGGACGTCGACTCGACCCTCAGGGCCGTAAAGGAGTGGCAGGGCGAGTACGTTTCTGCTGTCTCTGCTCTCAGCCAGTCCTCTTGACTATCGCGAGGAAAGAACCCCAAGGCCAAGCTTCGAGGAGTACTCAAAGACCGTCTTTGCCATGCTCAATTACTTTCGCGCCAACAAGCGTGCCCCTTCTACCGATTTCTTGAGATACGTTATACGCCAATGCTACCCAAAAATTGTCTCGCGAATGCAGCTGGCTAATGTCGTCTGGGAGGAGCCTCCACTGACTGTGATTGAAAATTACTTCAAGGGCGATTACTCATTTAATCCAAGCAAACCCTTCCCCTGGAAGCTCCGCATCCGCAAAGGCGACAGTTTCATGGTCGACCGCCTCGAGCTCTGTCGGTCCGAGCTCGATGCCCGAACTGCCACTTATGAAGTCAACGCGAACAATGTGGTAGATTGGGTCAACGAACTCGTCGCGATTTACAACGATTTTACCAAATACCTCTCTGAACCTGATGAGAGAGGTACCATGAAGGCGAAGCCAGCCCTTACGCGCGAGCTCGCAGATGCAGCGCTTCTCGACATGCTGTCCCTGGATGCGGTGATGATCCGCATGGGCTTTCTCGAGCATTTACTTTCGGACAGAGAGCCAGCGAATGAATTGGCCCGCAAGTCGGTGACTTATTCTGGTACAGCGGACGAACAATCCGACGAAGAGGAATTCAATGAAGAGGACCGGCCGGAGGAAGATGAAGATGAGTCAGACGGGAAGGACGGGGGTAAGTAAGGGTTGTTCCCTGCACTTGACCGACTAACATCCTCGTAGAATTGGCCGATCTTCTCCTACAGCGAGGGGAGGACACCCCTCATCACGTCGTGCGGTTCTACAAGTCTGTATTTGCTTGGGTGACGGCCGTCCGCTACGCCACCCGCTACGAGCTGCCCATCCACTGAGAGCATATCTCATCACGATGCCGAGTCCAGGTATTGGCGTTAACATTGGGAAGGCTCGTGTCCAGTCTGCGAAGACGTCGCTCTTCGAGAGTGTCCCTGCGAAAGTCCGTCCTTCGAAGAGGATGTTGGCGGAGAAGTGGCTGGAGGACCGATACTCGACGTGTTTCCGTTCTAGCGAGTCGGAGTACGATGGTGGCAGTGGTATGCCGGGACTGCACGCTGAAGCAGCGTTGATGGCTTTGTCTTGCTACTTCAAGGATCCCGGCGTGACGGTAGACTCGGCCACCCGAACGTGGGGGCTCACTCCTGCACAGTGTCGTATACTATTCCGAGTGTTTTCGGTGAGGGGTTTTCTCTGCTAGCGCTAAGCATTAAATTTTTCTGGCACTTATGATGCCTTCCACACAGCCGCCGAATCCAACTGTGATTGGCGTTGGCACGAGGTGCTGCTGGTGCTGCTGGAGACTTAAAACCTTGCTCAACGACAGAAAGGGTCCTGCGTCAGGGTCAGGGAACGAAGAGGTGGTTATGCTCGGCACTCATGCCACGATAGATCCTTGGTGCCCACCACAAATCGGTATTCCGCTCGACATTCTCCGAAAGTTGGAAAACGAACTGGAGGGAATGCTTGTGGACGCTGCGGAAAGAAACCTCAGAGTGGGACGGCGGAGCTCGAGTCGGTCGCCTGGTGGTTCTTCTGGGAGAGACAGCCCGGTTCCGCAGTGGGACTATGATCCGGAGTTGGACGTGAGTCGTCTTGTTTGTGTGCTTCAGAAAATTGCTGATTTGTTCTGGTGCAGACGAAGCAGGGATAGCTAGCTCCTGGAATGCACAGAATGCACAGAATTGGAGCGACGAGCTTGGAGAGCCCGTGAATGGGTGATCATCATCCTTGAGTCTTGACAACGTCGGCACGTCCTGGGGCAAGCTCCACGCAGACGGTAAGCCGCTTCGCTGCAATTGGAGCTGCCAGTGTAAGCGACCAGTTGACCCTTACCATTACCCTTGACATAGAGATTTGTGAACCAGAATGACTCGGAGGACTTTTGGTCGGGGGAGCAAAGTGGGGGTTCGTAACGAATATCTTGCGTCAGGATGTGGAGCTTATTCGCTGTTGATGTTGTCGAAATGGGCCTCGTGCCGAGGCATACAGATAGAAATGGATCCATGCTCTGGCTTTGTATCGACAGACAAGGAGCCTGCGCGGACACCTGTCTTCCAGTGGTCATCGTTGGCGTTGTCGATTGTGATTAGAGGTTATTTGCACTTCGAATATTCCTAGAAGCGCCCAAATCTCATTGGCTGAAGGAGGCCCCAAGCCAATCAGATTCACGGGTTTGTGGAGCCCTCAGAACTGCAAATAACCTCTATTGATTTGAATATTCTTGCACAAATAACGCAAATACTTACGGCTCTCTGAGGCGTCTGCAATGGACTCGATGACCCTTGCCTGCTTGACAGCTCGATATAGGGAATCCACGTATCCCCAACACATCCCAAAAAAAACACACTTAGAAACTAACTAACCACTAGTTAATTTACATGCATCGTGAACAGTACACTAACAAGGAACTTAAATGCGAAGGCAAAACACAACTGCAAAACGACAACTCGTTCAATACTTATTGCTGTCCCTGACACGGAGGCTTATTTTTCGTAAGAATGGTAATACGCATCGATGCCCAAGTTGGAGCCTTCGCCAAAGGCGTGCTCTTTGACTTTTGCTCTTTCACGTCTTTCGGGGGCGCAGATTCTGTGTTCTGGGGCTCGTTGTCAGAGGTGCCCAGAGTCCCATACCCTGTTAATCTGTCAGCATCTGAGCTCTCCAACAAGACATACGATCTCTTCGTACCTCGTATCTCATCCTCTATATACGACTTGTACCACTGCTCAACGAATCTAAAGCTTGTTCGTTCCTTCGTCACGATTATTTTCAAATATGTCAATCGATAATTTGTTTCTTGTTTGTACGGGAGCACGATGCCGTTATCAGCGGTCCCGATGACAAGCTTCCCATTTTTCTGAAGTGGGGAATCCTGCATTCCGGGAGGTGGCGAATACCAGGTGTCTACAGTATACCCTCTGCGATCAGCGTCATGCCGAGAGTGTATGTGGAGGCTCACCAATGAAGAACCCATCCGGGTCGCAAATAAAAACGTGGGGCCAAACAGGAAACTTGTTCGCATTTGTGATGCTTAAACAATAGGGGCCTAACAGCGAGTCCTCCTCAACATTCGCTTCGATACACTTTTGGACCTCGAAACCGTCCTTTTCCAGAAGATTTTCAATAATCGAGTTGGTTGAAGGGTCATATTCTCCAAATTGGACACTGAGGCTAGTCGAGAGGAAACTAGATTTGACCGGGGGAACGTATCAAGGAGGTGGTGGAATCGGGCAGCTCTGGAAATCTCTCTTCGGATCGCAAAATCGTCGTCCTCAATAGGATCTAATTTGGTGGGTTTGCCAGGAAGGTCGTTGAAACCATTCCACGTGAGGGATACCTCTCCTCCAGCAATTCCCGCTATCATGGCTGCTTGAGTCTTCTCTTTGGCGCTGATCCAATCGGAGGAAAGGGCCTTGTTGAGACGGGTCTCGGTCTCTGCATCGACAAAGATCTTGATACGTTCAAAATAGTGACGCTCTTCAACAGCGTAGAAGAAGCCGGGGACTGGAGGTTGCTGGCCTTCAACATGGCCAAGCGTCGCCGTGATGTCGTCGTCATTAAGGGTGACGACCTTCAGTATCACGATTTTGTCGCCTTCACATTCCGCATCTCGGATGTTATGCCGATAAATCCCGTAGATGGCACCCTCACGAACGCCATGCGCGTTTCCTGCAGAGAGCACAAAATGGCCTTCACTCGAGATTCGACCTGGGATGAAGGCGTAGTGACTCGGGGTGCCCTTTAAATTGAACAGGGGCCGGTCGACGTTGGATCCGAAAGCAGTGACCTCGAGATCGCGTCTAAAACGTACTCGCTGTCTAATAAGGAGCGTATCTGATAAGCTCCATCGTACCTTGCGGCTTGGACGAGACCTGCGAATGTCTGCACCGTCATATATTTAAGCCAGTCCTTTGCATCTTCCAAGACTTTGAGTGTTGCCCGCGTGAATGCCCCACCGTTGGCTGCCTCCTTTGAAAATTTCGGCGAGACAACAACAAAAGAGGTGGGATTATTCCAATTGAAATCATTGGTTGAACAATCTAGGAGGACAGTCTAGGTGCGATTTCAGAAAATCTGAGAGGGTGAACAGGAAAACCACGTACGATGTTGTTTCCGCACGATGTGGACACTTGGTCAAAGAGTTCCAGGAGGTTCTTGTCCGAAATTCCACCTTTCTTGGATCCGTCTAGGGGACAGATACCTACTTCCCTAACACCTTTTTTTGGTTTGGTTTGGCCAGTGTACCCAGAGAAAAAGAAAACTATGGCATCTCCTGGTCGGGCTTTCTTCTCAAGAGAGCTGACAGTATCTATGACTTGTTGTCTAGTTGCGTTTGAGTAGTCTTCGATGTATCCGACTTCGTAGTTCAGTACCGATGCCTCCCTGAAATACTCCGCCACTTGAGATGCATCTTGCACTGCAGCTTTCAGCGGCGTGAAGGTGGGGTAGTTGTTTACGCCGACGGTAATGGCGTGGATTCGAGAGGTCATGGTGTTCAGCTGCTAAGGATTGGTGGAGCATCGTGAATTATTGAGACTTGGCGGGTCGCGATGATATAGGGGTATCATCGCAGGGTGCTGAGTCCAGCCAAGCTTGGGTTTTTGTGTCCTCGGTGTCCATTTCTGTACGAAATAGTATCGGACATGGCATTCTGTGCTCGAGTAGGATCGAATATCACATACCCGGCATAGTCACCCCTCCTTTCCGACCACCGACCACCTTGCCTGCTCACACCTTAGACCTATGACAACGGCAAAAATTCATCCGACCACGCTGAGGGACAGTGTACTGTATGCGGTAGTGGTTGGGCTCTTTACTCCAGTAATCTGGGACTGCATTTAACCTAGAGACTTTGTGGCCAGGAATTGAGCTGAGTTGAGGTTGAAAGACTGCTGGATCTACGGACTTGCTAGTTCTAAATAAGGGCAAGCAACACCTCCGATGATCCCGAGCCAGTGACCTTTTCTCTCTCCGTCATTCCATCTCCTCAACGCGCTCCAGGATGCCAATTCTCCAACATGGCATCTCACATAGACTAGCCAGGAGCTCTCTGAACCTCTCGAAACACGCTCGTTCATCCCGCCGCACCCTCTTCACCAAGTCCACATCGGCACCACGCTCCCCCGCTCAGACAGGGCTCTATACGACCGCCTTCGTCTTGTCGGCAGGCTTGTTCACCGTGTATTACCTCGATGCCAGGTCGGCACTCCACAGATATATTATCACGCCTATCGTCCGGAATGTGTTCGATGCTGAGACGGGGCATAAGCTGGCGGTAAAGACCTTAAAGGCCGGGTTCGCGCCGAAGGACCCTTTACTGGATGATAAATTATTGGGATGCAGGGTGAGTAACAGAAAAATTATTGTCAAGTTCACTGGATAAATCTATACAGTAGATGTGGGGGGAACAAATATCAAATCCCATTGGCCTTGCTGCAGGATTTGACAAGGACGGCGAGGCCATAGACGGTACACTTGCCTTCCTCCTAGTGCTGTGAGAAAGCTAAGGCGTATTGTAGGACTATTCGGCCTTGGGTTCAGCTGGGTGGAGATCGGAAGTGTGACCCCCAACCCTCAGGTGCGTCTGCACCTTCCATGTTCGTTTTCTTTAATCCCTTACCTCAACGTCAGCCCGGAAATCCTCGTCCAAGGGTGTTCAGACTTGAAGAGGACGGAGCTGTGATCAACAGATACGGTTTCCCTTCTCAAGGTCACTCTTCCGTCCTTGCTCGAGTACGAGCTCGTATACCGACTTTCTTCACCGGTCCCGACCGGGCTGCCTTTCGTCCCGGGGCGATGCTGGCAGTGAATCTAGGCAAGAACAAGGAATCCCCAGTGGATTCTATCGATGACTTCGTTGCTGGTGTACGAACGTTTGGACCATATTCCGACGTGTTGGTTGTCAATGTATCGAGTCCTAATACACCGGGATTGCGGTTAGTGCTACCTCATGAGTTCACGTCCCGAAGTTCATATGTTTCTAGTGGCCTGCAGAACCGAGATGTTCTCGAGCGTCTGCTAGACGGTGTGACGAAAGCCCGAGATCAGCTCGAGCCGTCTCCAATAACAGCCCGGAAACCGAAAGTCGTCCTCAAGATCGCACCTGACCTAGAAGAGTCTCAACTCGTGGAGATGGCAGCTGTTATTCGAAAGAGTAAAGTCGACGGCGTAATCGTCAGTAATACCACGATCCAACGGCCAAAAACCCTGCAGAATCGTGAGTGGTTCTTATTAGCGACGTGTAATAGATGTTAACCGATTTCTAGCAAATAAAACGGAGGTCGGTGGGCTCTCTGGGCCTCCAGTAAAGCCTTTCGCTTTGAAGGCTCTTAAAACCCTGAGGAAAGAGCTGCCTGCATCAATACCCTTGATCGGTTGTGGTGGTATCACAACAGGAAAAGATGCCCTAGACTACGCCAAAGCCGGTGCCTCGATGGTCCAGGTGTACACGAGCTTTGGATACGACGGTGTTGGTGCCTGCAGACGGATCAAAGATCAGCTTGTGGAGGAGCTCAAGAGGGAAGGCAAAAGTTGGGAACAGGTTGTGGATGCGGCTGTAGCGCAGCTGAGCTGGAAGGAGCCCACCCCGGAGCAGAAGAAGGAACAGGCGATCAAGCAGCTGGTTTCTGAAGCTGAGGAACTCAGAGCGATGCTGGACCAGCTCGCAGACCAAGTAGGGGAGACAATTTAGAAATAAAATACATTTTGGACTCGACCTTTCTCGAGATAAGATAATGACGGGTATATTGTGCGCCCCGAAGCGGACGACGATGATCCTGGACCTTGCGATGCGATCAGACACCCCTTGTTGTCGCCATATTTTTCATTTTGAACTCCAGATGCTCTTATAGGGCCCTTTCCCCTTCAATAGACTTATGGACTCACCACGCTCGGTCAGGCCGCGTTCGATTCGGAGCTCTTCCTCATCCAGCAGCCTCGCATCGACAGCCTCGGTCACCGCGACGCACCTCCCCGGGAACAGCACCAGCATCAGCTCAAGACTTTCTCTGAGACACGGAATATCCTCCGACCATCTCAAGCTGCTCGCAGCCAATCCCCCAGAGACAAAGTTCGCGAATCTGTCCTGCCACCCCAAGGATGACCAGGGGCGCGCGGCCCTCATCGACGCAGAGACCGGCGTCGAGGTCCAGCGGCACGCAGACCTGTGGTTCGACGACGGGAGCGTCATATGCCGCGCGGAGGACACCCTATTCTGCGTACACATGTCCCAGCTAGCACGCCACTCGCTCGTCTTTCATGATATGTTCATGCTCCCACAGCCGGAGGCGTCGAGGCTTGAGTCGTCCATGCTCGTGCACGAGGGCAAGTCGAGGCGGATACCGGTCGTGTATCTGTACGACACCGCCGAGGATGTGGGCAATCTCCTGACTGCGCTCTACGATGGCCCGTATGTCGCCTTCTTATTCCGCCTGTTTCATCTGACGCTTTGTCAGGAGTTTCGGGAACAACGATGAGGATGATTTTCGGGTCGTCTCTGGCATCCTTCGGCTGTCGACAAAGTACCTCGTCGACTCATTGCGCGCGAAGGCGATTGCGCACCTCAGCATCGCATGGCCAGCAGACCTCAAAGCCTGGGATGCCCGAGAGGACCTTGTACGGAGTTATGATTCTGAAGGCGGCTCGAGCTCACGGGGCGTCAGCCGCTACCCCCATCCATTTGTAGGTCCCCCTAGATAACCATCTTCAAAAAAAATCTTGAAAATAGTCGCTCTACAGGAAGTGATAAGCCTCGCTCGTGAAGTCAACGCACCCTCCCTCCTCCCTTCCGCCTTCTACGACCTCTCACGGCACTCCTTCACCCAAATATATGAGCCAAACGAAGATGACTCCCTCTACCGGCCCTACACCCCTCCCCCACTCTCAGCCGCCGACATTCAGCGGCTCGCGCTCGGAAAAGAGGCCAGCCAGCACACGATCACCACCCTCATCCAGAGCATGGGCAGCGGGCAGTACATCCGCTCCAACCAGCAGCACACCACCAACTCGCACTTCCGCAAGACCTCCTCGGGCGGCATCTGTGTGTCTGCTGCTGCCTGTAGAAAGGACTTTACCGAGCTCGTTGATCTCGCGACGCAGCACTACCTGTTTGATAGGGAGCGGGGGTGCTATGACCCGCTGTATGTCGCGGAGGAGCTTGGTCAGCTGAAGAGCGCGGAGTTCTCGGAGTGCAAGGCCTGTGCAAAGTCGCTAGAGTCGTGGGCTGCGCGCGAACGCGAGAAGATGTGGAAGATGATTCCTCTGTGGTTCCGCCTAGAGACTGGGAGTGGGAGGGATGCTTCGTCGCCCATTCCCAACTGATTTCATGTTTGTTTTCTCTCCTTGGGTGTCTTATCAGTTTCAACACTTTCCATTCCGTTCTCATCTCTTCATCGTCATCTTCATCTTCAAGCTCATCTTCATCTCTGCATGTTGTACTCCATTCTGATGCCCCCATTAACCCTACACTGATTCCTGCTTACCCTATTTTTTAATGCCTTCATGTGCTTCGACCTGCATGCCCCGGATTCCGATCATGTTTTTCTCCTTTTTCTCTCTTAGAGGGCGTCGATCTAGGTCGATGTAGCAGCAACCACCTGATCTACTTGACCAACACCATCATGGATACCTCCTACCGTACGTTGTAATTATCATAGGTTTACATTTTCACGGGGATAGAGGCGAACGTGAAACTGCACGAACAGCGCGGTCAGCGACGCCACCTGGGCGTTGAAACGAGATGAGCCGCTGAGACCGACAACGTTAGAGCTGGAGGCTGCAGTTAGGCGCAACTTCTGACTGGGCGCGGAGTTCCACTGCCGAGTCGCCCTCGAACCACTGTGGAAGAACCAAAGTACGTGGAGACCTTGTTCCACGCACAATAGGGCCCATGTTGTTCAAAGTCCATTTCGGGGGGACGGGGAAAATTTAAGGAAGAGGCGTCTCCGGTTGCGAGGCAACGACAGGGGTCACATTGCCTTTTTTCCCTAATTGGGATGCCCAAAAGGTGCGGGAGTCGCAGGACGCCGCTCTTGCTCAGGCATCTGCATCACTTGGAACGCTCTGCCCGATGGCAAAGCGCTTTGGACACGATCCAACGAACGCCAACGCAATCAATCAACACGGTAACCTGGGGACGACCAGCGCTTCGCTGCCAAACGCGCTTTGGGAGGCCAAATGCATGGCCTCGGACACAAACATCGATGGGAAAAGAGTTGGAACCCTTTGTGTGGCACCTGGCCACTCCCGCGGGGACCTATAAAATGGACTTTTCTACCCCGCTTTGGCTCCATTCTTCCTGCCCCTCCCCCCTTCCCTTCTTTTTTTTTTCTCCAGCCCGGCGCAGTGCGTTGGCTGCCTGCTCGCTCTCCAGTCGACGTCGACGCACGCCCCGCTCCCCCAGTCCAGCACTGGTCTTTACTTTCACTTATTTAACTTGAAGTTATTCCGACGATCCCGCGATGGTCCAGCTCTCCACCTTCTTCCAACTCGCAGGCCTGGTCGCCTTCTCCGTGCATACGCCGTACGTCGACGCAGCCCCGCTGCTCTACAAGCGGATCGCACAAACCATTGCGGCCTCCACTGCACAATGGGAACAAGCATGCGTACGTAAAGCTTTTTTCAACCACCCGATCCCGTTCTTACCATCGTGTCTGTGGTATTTTTAGCTAGCTGCTGGGGGCGGTCAACAATGCAACCCCCTCTCTATCAAGGCCTTTTCTACCCTCCTGGCGAATGCGGGCCCGTGCGAACAGCAGGATGCTGCCGACGAGATGGTCGACCTTGCGAACCAGCTCAACAGCGCAGAGATGGTCAGGCTCTCGCAGATCTTCGTGCAGCAGCCTCGTAACACTGTACGTACTGCCTGTCATATCTCAGTGTCGCCATCTCACATCGTTTATTTTTATTGTAGCCCAACTCGGTGGCGATCCCTTATTGCCAACAAGCGCCTAGGAACAGCGAGCTCGACGGGCTCTTCCAGTGCCAATTCGCAGGCGCCAACCAGCAGACCTTTGCAGGAGGCGCCACGCTTGGTGCACCCGGTACTATCCCCTTCGGTCTCAATGCGCTCGACCCTCTGGGTTCGTGTCCCAGCAAGCCCGACGGTCCTGTTCCCGACGGCCAGCAGCTCATTGACATCGTCGGAAACGCCGCGCCTCCCTCTCAGCCAGCGCCAGAATCGACTCAGGCACCAGACCCCGCTCCAGCCCCAGCCCCGACTGAATCATGCACTACTACAATTACTTCTACTGTTACTGTTGCGGCGCCTGCTCCCACCGCTGAAACTGAAACTGGAGCTGGAAATAATGGGAACGGCGGAGGTGGCTTCCTGCTCGCAAACGGCCAAGAAGCACAGCAGCTCAACGCCAAATTCGCCAGCCTCAATGCCAACTCTGCTTGTACCGGTGCGTCCTTCCTCCTCTTTACCTCCCGTTTCTTTGTGCCAATGAAATTATTCTCTACAGACGGCGAGAACGCCTGCGTCGGGACCGCTTTCGCCCAATGCGTCGGCGGGAAATTCGCACTCACCAACTGCGCCGCCACTCTAACATGCGCTGCGCTCCCGCTAGTGAACAAGGCCGGGACATCGATCACTTGCACGACGAGTGCAGACGCGGAGGCGAGGATTGCCGCTACGGGCGCCACGGGGGGACTGACGGGCAACGGCGCGTCCGCTCCACCAGCGCAGGATGAATCCTCTGGTTCTTCTCCTGCACCCGCCCCGGCACCTGCACCAGCGCCGTCCACCGGCTCTGACTCCGGTTCCTCCAACTCTGGTTCCACAGGCGGCTCCGGCTTCCTTCTCCAAAACGGACGCGACGCCCAACAGCTCAACGCCCAATTCTCCTCGCTCACTCCCTCCTCGGCCTGTACCGCGGGCGAGAACGCCTGCGTCAATGGGTCATTCGCCCAGTGCGTCAACGGCTCTTTCGTGCTGACCTCGTGTGGCGCGGGTGGAGGGCTGACGTGTGCTGCGCTGCCCCTGGTGAACAAGGCCGGGACGTCGATCACTTGCACGACCCGTGCGGACGCGGAGGCGAGGATCGCTGCGACGGGAGCGACCGGGGGGTTCGCTGGGTAAAGTGGGCGCTTAGTACTTGGTGGTTGGCGATTAGCCGCCGAGCTGACACGATAACGACGACTTATCGGTCGTCGATGACGCGGTGATCATGAGCTGGGCCTGATCACTTGGAATAACTTATTCTTATTGTTTTCTCTCTTTCCCTTGCTTCACTATTTATTGACTTTTTTTTCTACGCATCCATCATCATAGCACCACCTGCATCACTCACTCATTTACCTTACATTTCCTGTACTCATCCCTCATCTCTGTAGTCTACGCACACAGTGCGCCTCAATGAATGAATTGAACGAAATTTGTAGCAACCAACTCGAACTACTGTTCGAAAAGCATTGATACGATACACCTCAGTTGAGGAACGCTAGCGCCCGTGCCAAGCACTCACATGAGATCCAACTTTGACGAGATGAAAGCAAATGTCCTCTGATGTGTATGATGGTAGCTCTTTGATAGCAAAATGACGACTACTGTTACAACGTTAACTAAAATAGCTTCTTCTAAGGATAGCGATGGTTAAATATTAAGCGTTTATTTTCGTGAAGACGGTCGTGAGATCAGTAGATGGAGAAGGCGTTGGCGATTCGTTCGCTAAGATGAGGGATATTAGACGTGGACAAGAGAAACAACATACTATTGAGGCTCACATCGTGTCTTTGTGGCCGTTGATGGCCAAAGTGGATTCTATCACAGAGTATCAGAATCGGTGGTGCTAGTCATACAGAGGAGGAGAGCGCACCCATGGTCCTTATCTGAGGTCTTTGGAGGGCTGACGAGTCCGTCGGTGTCCTAGAGGGAGACACTGCAGCACGACCATTCACGTTGGCTGGGAAGGGCGACTGAACCTCTTGAATAACCTACATGCCAGCAAATTCAGTTCGTTGTCGGCGGAGTAGGTCTCGGAGAGCACCCACTTACCGAAGTGGACAAAGAAGCCTGCGACGCGCTCATGTAGAGGAAGTATGTCAACGGTTCGCAGCCTAAGATCGAATGACGGTGCGGAAGAGGAGTGAGGACAAGAACGGTTTAGACTCTTGACTGAGGCACGGTTGTTGGAGAACTCAGAAGGCGCGACAGGGCCAGCAGTGGGCTTTTATTTAAATTAAGGAAATCATGGAGCTCGAGTCGCGACGGTGACGGTAAAACATGAGACGACTGGTAATTCTTGAGTCTTCAATGACTTCATCGATGACGGAATAAATTGTCGCGAGCCGACCAGCTCAACGGGGAAAGAGGGAGAAAGCGCAGGCTCCTAAAACCAGCCGCTCGTATCGCTTTCAGGCAGCTTTCTAGAGGGGGAGGATGGATAGAGTGAATTATCTTATCGGATCGACATCTTATCAAAATATAAATAATGGTAAACTCATCTAAGGGAAACCTGAAGCGATAGAGCGGCTGGCAGATTGTGGATTCGGTGATCTCGGCGATATTTTGTCCCACGACCAATCTCGACGGCTTCAACCATCCTCGAGCACTTTGAGGGTGCAACATCGCTGTATTAAATCACTATAAAATGTCAGTAAAATTAAATTTGACCTATTGAATGCTTTCCAAGTTTTTTGGCGGAGCTGCGATCCTCCGTTTGCATTATAGTCCAAGCTTTAAGCTGATTATGGACCTCAATGCATCTGGGAGCTTTAAATTGTGAATCTGTGCTGCCATGGCTGCAAGAAGGGTCCTCAATAATTATGATACATGGAACTGTCCTACCCGGTCCAAGCAGGGCCAAGTCTGAAGCTCAATATGTCCAGGCCGGCTTAGCTTCAAGAGGTTGTTATTGCGCTGTTCAGAGCATCTTGTGGTGCGCGGCTTGCGGACTGCCTGCACATTGTGCTTGCTGGTACTCATGATTTCACGATACACACTACTGAAGACCAGGATTTTAAATTACACGAGATTGACGGCCCAGTCATCGAGGATGCTATTGCCATGTAGTGGGGGTATCATGTAAGGATGATAATACGAGGTGGAGGGGAAACGGAGGATCACTGCTCTGCCAAAAAACTTGGAAAGCATTCAATAGGTCAAATTTAATTTTACTGACATTTTATAGTGATTTAATACAGCGATGTTGCACCCTCAAAGTGCTCGAGGATGGTTGAAGCCGTCGAGATTGGTCGTGGGACAAAATATCGCCGAGATCACCGAATCCACAATCTGCCAGCCGCTCTATCGCTTCAGGTTTCCCTTAGATGAGTTTACCATTATTTATATTTTGATAAGATGTCGATCCGATAAGATAATTCACTCTATCCATCCTCCCCCTCTAGAAAGCTGCCTGAAAGCGATACGAGCGGCTGGTTTTAGGAGCCTGGAGAAAGCGTGGCATTTATTGCGCTGGATTAGAAATCAATTGGAGCGGCGACATGTGGACATGCGCAAGACATGCGATGCTCATGCGGTGGGTCTGTATATAAAGAGATGTCGGGCGTGTACTACTACATGTCTTGGCGAAGTGCGGGATGTGGCGGGGAAAAACAAGCGCCGGCCCTACTGGACTCGAGGCGCCCTCCAGTTCCTTGCACCGCACGTCATTTCAAGGTTCCAGACGGAGGAACCGGCGGCGGTACACACGTCTGCTTCAAACGCCGGGCTGTCGCGTGGTCATCCGGAGCCATGATATATATCCCTATATGATCACGTCCGTCGAGTCTCAGTAATTCGATGTTCTACCCAACCCTAATAGCTGAACGCCATGATATCTCGAATCCGCGTCGGAGGTATCTTCGTAGACGACTATCCTACTCTGCAGAAGCTGCACGTTGCAGTTCAGGGTGCAAAAAAAAGGCTCCAAGACCCTGGTGCTGGGGAACGAAGAATATGGGCCGCATAGGCTTCTTTTTTTCTGGGTATGCTGGTCGAACCAAACTGCTACAAGGTGGCGATAAAATCGTTATCTGTCCCCTGGACGTCCACCAGCAAGGTGGGATTTCAGCCGAGAGGCTCCGGGAACTCTTCGACCAAGTGTCCAAATCATGTGGGAGCAACATTGTACGTGGTTTTCTGTTCATCTTGCCAGATGGTCTGAAACTGCCTTCAGATTGTTCTAGGTCATCCCCAATTGAGTCATTGCACAGCGGTTTCATGGTAGTTTCTCATCATGTAAGTATTATCAGTTCCTGAAATATTCTGAAGGACAGCTTGAGCCTTGTGTGTTAATGCTGGGGTTGGTAACCGCCCGAAAGGGCATTGCTGGGGTGCCAGATAGAGGGAGACAGGGGCTCTGTGATTTTATATATACTTCGTGTTCGTAGATACATACCGAACTCAGTCACTTTCATATCAGTATTTGAGAGTTCACAAAGCAGCCAAAATACTGGACTGAACCGCCTAGGTTGAACTTGCCCAGCAGCGAAAACAAGGCTATTTCGATGCGTGATCGAGGCGTCGAAGGAATATTTTGTGCCACTTTTTGACACTCTCAGTCGCTACCGATTCCAGCTCTTCAGCCATAGTAGGTTGTGCATCTGAAGTGAATGCCGAAACTTGAGGTAGGCAGCGCACGCTAAGGAACAAGCTTAAATCAGTATGCTGAACAAAAGAGATGACCAGAGAGAATGGGATGACGGGGTGCTTGCCTTTCCACGAGAAGTTGTAGTCCTTCCGACATGGTGCTTTCCAATTTTTCCAGGTCGGTAGGCACCTCTTGAAGCTTCGCATACGCTGCCTCTGCACGAATAAGCCCTTTCTCCCAGTCAGAAAGGGATGGACAGGACGTGGACTTGGGTTGGGATTGGTGTGCCAAAGATGAGAGTAAGATACGCTGACAGAAAATTAACCCACAGATCCGGGAAGAATGGAAGGTGTCTGAGTCAATTGCTGCATAGGCCCGGAACCAACCGGGGTCAACTGAGCGTCAAAATGAGCAGTCGGCTTCTGCTGGAGCAGGAATGGGAAGGAACGCACATCTCCCTGTTCAGATTTCTTTTTGCTGGCTTCTACAGTAGCACGGAGTACCTCAACATATCCACACATGATGACGTTAAATATCTTGTTCGATACTGGAGCAAAAAAAGGCATCAGCAAGCCCTCGGAGGTATCGAGCTGGCTTCTTCTAACCATAGATCATGTCAAAACAGAAATCGTCACGTTTCGCGTTTACAAGAATGTCTTCGTCAAAGGAAAAGGACTTGGACTTCGGATCGTAGGAGTAAAACCGGAAGCTGGAGAGGTCAGTCAGAAGGCCATAGACTCTTGTGATGTCAAAGCCAGAGCGGTTATTCGCCTCTGCTGCCGCTGTTATAGTATGAGTATGGCAAAACACATTTCACTGAAAACATACATAGCAGCTCGAGAAACAACTGGGCCAAATTGTCGTCTTTATCCAAGCCAAGCATTATCTCAATGACAAAGAACAACGCCCCCCCGATCATGACGACCTGCAAGGTCGTTGAGATTAGATATTCCTTGAAGCACCTATGGATGTCTGTACCTCATGCTCTACTGCACCACCTGTAGAGAATTTTGTGGGCAACATGACTGACTCTGGCATGTCTACAACCCTGCCCTCAAAGAGGGCAAGTATCAGCACAAACCACTGCAGTTCTTAGAGTCAGTCACCCCTCACACAAAGACGCTCGACTTACCGGCTCGAGTAACTTGACCCGTGCGGCTTCGCGATCTTGATGAGCTCTCTCTTGGTATACGTCTATGATTCGCCACCCTCCTTGGAACAGATTCTTGTGGATAGATGGCGGGAGAAAGCAGATAGGCGGCGAGAATTGCTCAAGGGAAAGCCACTTTACAGAAAGCGGGAAATCAAGTTGAGTAGCAACTTCTTCCCATTTAGCTTTCAAAAAGGATGGAAGCATAAGCCTGCTCCTCTTGATTTCCCGGTCCGTTATACCAGCCCTTTGTGCGATGTGGGTGAGAAGGACCGTGATATCTGGGTGTGCAGTGAGTATGTCAATCCAATCATCAGGGAGCCGAACACCTTCAATGATGTTTTCGACGTCTTCAATAGTACATTTGGGTGGCATCGTCGATGGTTGAGTGAGAGGAACTTAGATAACTTTCAGATAAGTATGGTTATTTGACTTGATTTACGTTGGATTTACAGTGCCGGTAAATCGTGGTCGGCAGGGCACCAGACGCCCGGAGCGCCGAAGGTGGGTTCGAGGGAAGGGCGAAAAGGCATCGCGGCCGTCAAATCAGCCCTGCATGGAGGGCCGAGCAGAGTCGGGAGTGATGGGAAGGGTGCGACGGTGTATTTGACGGAGTCCAGGACAGTGAAAATAAGCATGAAGATGCTGTACAAAAAATAAATACCAAATGTCTCGAGGAGATATCTGTGCGCGCTTGCGCGCCTCGAAATTTAGCTTGAAGGGCGGGAAATCAGAGAATTAGAGTGCCGCCATCAGAGTTGCAAGCAGCCGAGCAATAAAACAAAGGGCAGGCACTAGGCGACGGCTAAGCGCTGGCTCATCAGCCTGTAAATCGGGCCACGTAAATTGAGCCGGCTCGCTGTAAATCTTGTAAATCCAGCGTAAATCGGGCCAGCTCACCCCGTAAATCTGTCAAAATAAGTTACTTATTGAACTTATGCCACCCAGGGAGCACTTATTTCGCCCCAGGACATGAACCGGGGGTGTTTGGGCAGTCCATGGGTCTTTTCTCTCACTCTCAATGTATTTGACATGTTTAATTGATAATAATACATAATATTTACATGGGTCAAGGCCAGAAAGACCCCGGGGCACGTCCGAGGGAAGGGGACGGGCGCTGAGCGACGCGGGGGGAAGCGCACGGCGCTAGCGCCCAAGCGCGAACACACGTCGTGAGGCGTGTCAAGGGGCTGTGAGACCGCCGGCGGAGCCCGAGAAATGCGCCCAAATTGAGGAAACTTGACCGATTTGGAAAGAGTGTGATCCGTGGCTGATCCGCCGCCAAGCGAGCTCCGGCATCTCGGCACCCGCCAACGATCGGTAAATCCGTCGGCATAAGTAATTGAAATGGAACTGCTCACGTGACCTTCTACTTACGAACCAAAATTTAAGGGCCCAGAGCCGGGCCGCTACCCGTTTGGGTGCCGATGACCTCACTATGTCTCGGCAGCTCGGCCACAAGCTCGGCCAATGGTAAGCCTTATGTAGTAGAATTTGACGAGGGCACATTCCCGTCAAATTATGATAAAGAACGGGAACTTGCCGACAAAGTGACGGAAATGCACCCTCTGGCACATTCTGGTTCTTTTCTCGAAGTCTGACAGGAATTTGACGTGAATGTGATGGTGAATGCGACGAGAATGTTCCTAGTGCACTCGGCCATGTCGCAAATTGCCTTACAAGGAAGACGCCTTACCAAGGGATCATAAGAAGCCGAAAAGCCGTTTCGGCACCTTACAAGGCAGTTCGAGATAGGGGTGTTCAACAAAATCCTTTATTTTTCGGCGACTGTGAGGAATATTAGAGAAAAAACAGTACCAGAGGTATATGTCAGATGTACTTCACCTGTTTATACCACTTTCAGAGCAGCAGGATGAACTTTTTATTGGCCTAACTAACTCTTGTAATGTGTTGTAAGGCAAATGTCTGCCGTCGCTAATAATGCCTTGTAAGGCATTTCGGAAATTTCCGACGCAGGGTAAGTCAGGAGGGTTGGATCACTCGAATAGGCGTTCCGAAACACTAAAGCGAGGGATGCTGTCTGCAGAGGCACGTTGGGGAGGTCCCGAGAGGGAATCCTCGGAGCTACTGGGAGCTGGGCTGCTGGGGCTGTCTGGTGTGGTAAAGTCTAATGATGATAATGAACACGCGGGTGTCGATTGGGACTCCGCTCGGGCCGCTCGGCTCCGGGAGTACTCACAACGTCCAGTCACTGCGGCAACATGATTTCCCTTTAAATTTGAATCCTTTCCATCTCCAAGAGTGCCGTCGGTCTCGCCTGATATAAGCAGAGTTGCGATGTGCTGCATGATGTCCAGAGGTGAAGAGATATGTTGTTCAGCAACAGCAGGTGGGCCGCACAAGTAAACTTTCAGCATCATCGTTGCAGGAGACATCGGGAGGGTGATATCATTTTCGAATGAAGCTGCATCTGGTGTTTCAGAGGAACGAGGAGGCACGTTGAACAAGGGACAACACCTGACAAGTGGAAGTCACCACATGACATAACAACACGGAAAGTATAAAGTTTAAACGGCCTTTATACAAGTAAAAGTAAAGAGCAGTGCCGGGATTAGAATCATAAAAGTATCGTGTCGTCCATAAAATTCATAATTTCATACTTGAAACAAAATTGACACATAATATTAAGGCTCAATGGTCGGCGGCAGCTCCCAAATTCTGCCTTGTCGGCGCAGTGCACGGGTTTTCTTCTGTTCAGCTTCGGGATCGAAGCCCACGAAACCCGGCGGTATGAACGAGAAGCGCAGGGACCGGCGGGGCAGGAAGGGCTTGGTAAATCGCTTCCACAACAGCGTCAGCACACGCGTAAAGGATGTGCTGGATTGTCCGTCTTTTGCGAGAGCCGACTCGCGTGCACTCCTTGAACACTGTAAGACCCGGCCGCGGGGCCGACTGTTTGACGGTGGGTTTAGATAAATCCGATAGCCAGATTACTTGATATTAAAACGCACACTTTCTCGTTTTTTGTAGAAGTCGGCCGCTGTGTCCGCCTCAGTTTGACGAGGCGACCTGATCTGACGATAGCCATTGAATTGAGCGAAAGGTAAGGGTGTAAAGAGCGTGAAAGAGCGTGTCGAAGAGCCACCAGGGCGATAAGAATAGTTGAGAGACTGGAGGGAGAGTCCGCCGAGGTGTCCTCTTATAGCACATGCTGTGGCCCCGACGTGACAAAGCGCCTTCACTCCCTTTCACGCAGTAGTCGGAGACCAAGTCTGGAAGACAAAGGCGGCACAGCACATGATCGGTTGCATGAAAGGGCATGTTCACGGTTCGACGTAAAAGATTATGACCTCATCCAGTCAAGGCATTGGGCAAAGGGTATGGCCTATCGATTCAGGACCAGTGGCTCGAGAGGCGTATGAGTGATAGACCAACGCCACTAGAGCAGTAAAGGTGTGAAGATTCCGAGAGGAGAGTTTGCACGAAAATTGAAAACACAGTCGCAGGGACTGGGTAGATGGCCTGCAGGGTGTGTTGAGGCGCCTCGATGGGAGTAGGAGCACAAGGAGTTCGGCAGCTGCACAGACCAGATCGGGTGGGAGATAAACTCGGCCAACGCCGACCAAAAATTTGTGGCTTCCAAAGTCCTTTTGATCTATCCTCCTCTCTTCCTCCTCCTCCACCTATCCTCTTTCTCCGCTGGTTTCACAAACTTTAGACATGGATGTACGCGATATATCTCTCGCGATCCGCGTATCTTAGAAGCCTGATCACTGTTTCGATCTTTTTCTAGCCTAATTTTGTTCAGACGCTTCACAATCTCCTCCTTCAGACCACTTCAAATGACACTGCTCTCCTTAAAGCTGTATGATCATCTATCCCTTCCTGTATCTTCAGGAGACTTACTTGGCCAACTCTATAGGCTACCACCCAGCTAAACAAAGACTTCTACAAGGTCCCAGCTTGTATATCTGCCCTCGCCAGTATCCTCGCCAGCTCTCCAGAAATCTCAGTACGTCTCGATCGCGAAACCACTTTACTTGTTCTTATTCCACTACTACAGGTTCGTCAACTGGCAGCTGTAGAACTAAGAAAACGCGTCTCTCAGAACAGTGGTGCCCTCTGGGCGCTGCTGCCTCAAAATGAACGTGAGGAGATAAAAGTAAAGCTTCCCGAGCTGATCCTTGCGGAGCCCAAGTGAGTCCATATACCATCGCCCCTTGAAGCCTTGTTTCATTCTCTCGAAGTAATCTGGTCCGCCACTCATCCGCGCGCGTGATTGCTGCCATTGCTGCCATCGAAGTTCCCCAGGGCACATGGAATCAGCTTCTCCCTTTCCTTCAACAAACCTGCACATCCTCTCAAGTTTCCCATCGTGAAGTCGGCGCCTTCATTCTGTTCACGGTTCTTGAGAGCATCGTGGAAGGATTCCAATCACATCTTCCTGGCCTCTTTGAGCTGTTCCGAGGACTGTTGAACGATCCCGAGAGTATCGAAGTTCGCATCACCACTGCCAGGTACGCTCACCTTTTGATATGATGGAACGAAACAGTTTCCGACCGCATTTCTAGATCCCTTGGTGTCATCGCGCAGTACATCGACTCAGATGACAAGACAGAGCTCGTATGTTTCGCCACTGCTTGTCTACCGTAGCTCGTGCCTCACATGTCGCGAGTAGAAAGCGTTCCAGGCCCTCGTCCCTGCCATGATCATGGTCATTGGCCAATCTGTTGAGTCTGGTAATGAGAATGGCGCGCGCCAGCTCTTCGATGTGTTGGAGACCCTCTTGATCTTGGTACGACACAGCATTCACTGTTCACTCACCATGGCATTTCTCACTTCAGCACAGGAAGTTCCCATCTTGGGCAAACACATCCCCGAATTGATCCAATTTCTCCTCCAATGTGGTGGCAACCGTGCCTTCGACAGCGAACTTCGCGTTCTGGCCCTCAATGCCCTCAACTGGACTGTACAATAGTAAGCCGTCTTTCTTTCGGGTTAACCAAGGCTAAATGTCCGCACTAGCAAAAAATCCAAGGTGCAGAGCTTCAACCTTGCCGGGGCCATTTTGGCTGGGCTCATGCCCATTACGACTGAGGAGGAGCCGGAGGATGTCGACGACGATGCTCCGTCACGGGTGCGTGCAATTCGACTCCTCTTTTCGGTAAGACCACTGATGTCTGACGTCTGCCGATAGTCTGCTCTCCGCATTATCGATGGCTTGTCGACCAACCTGCCACCCACTCAAGTCTTCCCAGCTCTCCGCGAATTGATTGCTCAATACTTCTCATCTTCGGATCCCACCCACCGCCGTGGTGCTGTTCTTGCTCTTGGTGTTTGCGTGGAGGGATGCAGCGAATTCATGACCCCGCTCATGCCTCAAGTTTGGCCTCTTGTTGAGGCTGGATTGCAAGACAGCGACGCAGGCGTCAGGAAGGCCACCTGCATCGCCGTCAGCTGCTTGTGCGAATGGCTCGAGGAGGCATGTGCTTCGAAGCACGATGTCCTTGTCCCTGTAAGTTTAGTTTCTGTTTTATAACTTTTCGAAATGTCCTCTGACGATACGACTTAGGCTATCATGAACTTGATCAACGACCCCGCTACCCAAAGGTCCGCTTGCACTGCCCTCGACGCCTTGCTGGAGATTCTTCACGACACCATTGACCAATACCTCCAACTCATCATGGAGCGCCTTGCTGGTCTTTTGGAAACTGCTCCCATCGCTGTCAAGTCCGTCGTCACAGGCGCCATTGGTAGTGCCGCCCATGCTTCTAAGGAACGCTTCTTGCCCTACTTCCAACCCAGCATGAACGCCCTTGCCCATTTCTTGACCCTCACTGGCGAGGGAGAGGAGACCGAGCTTCGCGGAATTACCATGGATGCCATTGGCACATTCTCGGAAGCCGTTGGCAAGGAGGTCTTCCGCCCTTACTTCCCTGATATGATGAAGCATGCCTTCCAGGGATGCGAGATGGGCAGTGCCAGGTTGCGTGAATGCAGCTTCTTGTTCTTCGGAGTGATGGCTCGCGTTTTCGGAGAAGAGTTCGCACCTTATCTGCCCCAGGTTGTTGCTCCTCTTCTTGCGAGCTGCAAGCAATCTGAGCAAGGAGAAGAACAGCTTGAGAGTAAGTCCCTGTCGTCTTTCTTGTCCAATTCCGATTGAAACCAATCCCAGTTTCCGTTGCCGATGCTGCATCTGCTTTTGCCTCAGGTTCATCTCCGTCGAATGCGCTTGCTCTCAGCGATGACATCGATGCCAACATCGACATAGAGGATATTGACCTCGACAAGGCGTTAGATGTCAACAGTGCCATTGCAGTCGAGAAGGAGATTGCGGCAGACACCATTGGAACCCTCTTCGCTGCTACACAGATCCACTTCCTTCCGTTCGTCGAGCCTTGCACTCTTGAGCTCATCGCTCTCCTACCCCACTATTACGAGGGTATCAGGAAGAGTGCCACAGACTCCTTGTTGGAGATTGTCCGGACTTTCTATGACCTCGGCGATCATGAAGCATGGACTCCTGGTGCCAACGCCGTAAGTTCAATCCTCTCCGAATGCAGAATGCTTGTACTGACTGCTCCATTAGAACCCTCCTCTAAACAACCAACTCACGGAGCTGATTAAGCATGCCATCACCCCTCTTCTTGAGATGTACGAAACTGAAGACAACAAGTGAGTAAAGTGTTCCTCTGTCTCGTGTGTGGTCAGATTCTTCCCACTTGATGAAATTTTACTCAGCTCACTTCGAGCCTTGGCAATGAGACCAATTTATATACTTTTCCTGATCTCTTTTCTTATGAACCACGATAGAATTCTCTACTGACCGTTTTATTGATAGGTCCGTCGCTGCTTCCCTGTGCGTCAGCCTTGCGGAGACCATCACCAAGATTGGTCCCAACTTTGTCCAAGAACGTAAGTGCCATTGCTGCGATGCTGCGTGACCCACCCTGACTTGTCGTAGATTATGATTCCTTCTGCCAGATCGCCATGCAAATTCTTGAGCAAAAGGCGTTCTGCCAACAAGACCCCGACCAGGATGAGGATGAGGAGGCGCCTGAGGATCAAGCGGAGTACGATTCCGTTTTGATCTCCTCTGCTGGCGATCTCGTCGCTGCTCTCGCAGGTGCATTCGGGCCAGATTTCGGTCAGGCCTTCACCACTTTCTTCCCACTCGTTTCCAAATACTACGTATGTGAATTTCCCCTCTCTACATTTAATGTGATGCTAAAATCTGATCTTATCACAGAAAAAGAGTCGCTCGCTCAGCGACCGTTCCGCCGCCATCGGTTGCCTTGCTGAAATTATCTCTGGCATGAAAGGCGCCATTACTCCTCACACTGAGCCGCTCCTTGAACTCTTCTTCCGCGCTCTCGGCGACGAAGACAACGAGGTTTTGAGCAACGCTTCATTCGCCACAGGCCTGCTCATTGAATGCTCAGAAATTGATCTTTCCCAACAACTAGGGCATATCCTGGCCCGCCTTCATCCGATATTCGTTGACATCCCGCAAGATGCCCCCGCAGCTCGTCTTAACGCCAAAGATAACGCAGCCGGTGCAGTCGGTCGGATACTTGTCCGCTACTCCGACAAGGTCCCCCTTGATCAAGTTCTTCCCGTCTTCATTAGTGCTCTGCCGTTGAAGAACGACTACCTTGAAAACAGACCCGTCTTCCGTGCTCTTTTCCACCTGTTCACGACC